TATATATGACAACTTCTTGAGCGTTGGTAATCTATGTAGCTATTAGCATAAGATGCGTCTTGATAAAGAATATCCGTACATATTGTACAGATATTGGTTCCTAGCATCCGTTAACTTTCACAGTCCATCATTTGGGAATTTCAAGTTGGAAATTAACGGGTGTCCTGATATCTCGTTCCTATATTGTTTCCGCTACATGCTACATATCCTCTTATCGCCCTGTCAGCTCCTCATCATACACATTCACGCTCTCGATATAAAAGTTCCCGTTGCCTTTCTTCATAACTCTCGCTATAAACACGATCTCTTTTGTTTGCCATACGCCGAACCTCTGCCGCTTCGTCCTGACCACCGCCTATAACGTCATCCACCCCCCAATTCTTTTCACTTAGTGCCTCCACTCAACTTCCCAAACTTCCTAAGTCAACTTTGCTCTGCTCTTCTTGTACTTCATTTTCATCTTAGTAACTTATCCAACCTCATTTTTTTCTAAAACCACAAGAAAATCGGCTAAGATATTGAACATTTTCCTTTCATAGTAATCATCTCGACCATTCTCTTGTTTATGTTTATCCATCCTTCCAAAACAATTTCGCTTCTACTGTTTTTCCACTGCTTCAACACTTTTGCCGATTTGCTATGTTGGGGGACCACTGTATACAATATCTGCTCAGAAAAAAACGTGCTAGTACACAAATTGCCTTGTTATGTACGTCGGTTTATGTGACTCACAGACAGGTTCCATGTATTAGCAGCACGACGTGCTTACTAATTCCTCCTGTCCTACTTTTTTTACCCATCCTTTCGCCTTCACACAAACGAAAAAACCTATATCTTCTCATTATACTGGCGTTAAGAAAAAGGTTATTCTAAACTAGCGTGACAGTCTACCTGTTGTATCCAACAAGGCTGATAACACTCATTCTTTGTTCCGTTATTTCCCTCAAAATTTCACTAGCGTTCTTCACGGATCGCATCAGATCGGATATAAGGGCCATGCGCACCCGATCCGGATATGCGGATGCACTGATGAAATTCAATCCGCCGTATATTCCAAGATTGCGCAGGAATGAATGACAGCCTTCCACTGTATGCTCTCAGTCAACTAGATCACAACAATTGTTCGATAATGTGCTCCGGTTGCTATGCCTATTCCGCTGCAAATGTTATTAATGTTCGCATTATCTATTTTAAGAATGACCCCAGCAGAAACAAACAAGTTCGATAAATCAAACAAAGACAGTAACGTCGCCAGTTTCAAAAATCAGTATCGGTAAGTTCAGAAACAATAAAACTGAACCCAACAACAAAAGTTCATATTCTGGCCTTATTGATGGACGGAGCCACTGCAGCAAAGATACTGCAAGGCCATGCAACACCCTGAAGCGAATCAAAATATCGGAAGTTCCAGCTCGGCAAACTCTATGATGTAGAGCAGCTTACTTCCATGCAATGGGCCAGAGATGCTTGAGACTTAGTCTTATAGGAAACAATGAAATGTTGCTGGCATCACACAGGATTGCTCGATGTAGAGACAGAAGAGGAAAAGAAGACTAGAGAGACTGCAGAAGAAGCTGAAAGGCTACTGTCTGATGAGCTTGATGCCGTGATTTTGAATACTCGCGAGAAGACATGTGGCGTTACCACATGACGAATCGGAGGATATCCATGCAACAACTTCTTTCGACGACCTCGTTAACGAGCCCTCTCTTCCTCCGAACCGTCTCCGGGCTCTCCTTCCTGCACCACATCTTCTCCGTCCCTTCTTCTTTCATTCGATCATCGATCTCCTGTTGCTTCTTCTCGTAGTACCATAATGGAGCAGGACTAAGAGAATTTAAATCCTTGCTCATGATGGCTCCTTCTTTGCCAGTCGCGCCTATTCATTCGCTTTTTGCGCCTCTTCCAGCATTTCTACAAAAGTCTCCTTCTCTTTTCTTCCTCGACGACCTCCAGACGGGCGGGCTTCACCTGTTCACCAGCCAGGCTCTCAAGATCGTCGTCTTCGGCGTGTCGTCTCTTCAGAGCCTTGGCTTTCTTGTTACCAATGGGCCGCACATCCTTCTCGCCATCCACGCTGACCTCGTTGGCCATGTCGCTGATGAACTTAAATTTTTGCTCATCCTTCAGCAGAGGCCAGCAAGAGCCATCTTGAACGGCTTATACCGTGCTTCAACTTTGCCGTTGTACCTTTCGATGATGCGCTGTTTCTATTATAGGAACTTATAGGAACTTCTCGAATCTGTTATATGCATATTATTATGCAAAAGACTACCTTGTCATCATCGGCCTCGCCACTTTTTGGTGGCCTTCTCTTGATAAAGGCCACGGCCGCTGCATATCTCACGATTCGCGCGCTGACGATTTCCCAACATCTTGACAATTTTCGGGGGTGCGGTTCTTGTCATTGCCGCCTTTTTGAAACTCTTCAAAAACGCGTTGCCAAACGGTTTGAAGTCTTGGTTGAAGCCAACTTTTTCATCCTTGTTGGCGAGAAGGTAGGCTTGGACCAAGAGCTGATCCTCGTCATTGCGCCACCAAGCACCTTTCGTCTTTTTTTTTCGGCAGTTGTGACAGGGGAGGCAGCGGTAGCGTTTCGGCTTGAGGAGGGGTGGTGTCGGGGGAGAAGTGACCGTAATCGTAGACATGGAAATGCTGTTGTCGTTGTTGGTGTTCTTGATGTTACAGGACAGGACCAGTTACTTTACAGATTCTCAATTCTACAGATAATCCGTTGCGAATGCTCATAACACGCACTGCTCTTCTGTCTTTTCGGAAGACGTGCAAGATGACACTGACAAACCCGTTTTGGATGAATGACGAAAAGGAAACCGCGGTGACGAAAAGGGAATGGGCGGGAAAATGACAAGCAGTGAACGAAAAGGGAAGAACGTAGCACAAGTAAAAAAGAAAGAACTAGCCGAGTGGAGTGACGGCGTGAAAGCGTAAACAAGAAGTAGCGAAAAGGAAAAGGAAGGAAGAGGTAGCACAAGCAGTAAGGAAAGAAAGCATGAAACGGGCGGTTGTCATGGTCACCACTGCATGTGGGAAAGCACTTCTTCCAGTGGTCCAATGCTCTGCTGGCTCGGGGCCCCAGGACGATATGAATACTTGAAACAAGGGGTGCCGCTTTTCATTTCTTCCCTCTTACTTTGCCTTTTTTTTACCAAAGTTCTTTTGTTGTTTACTATTGCTCAACATTGCTTCTTTCGACGTCCTTCAAAACCATCTGATCACGCTAGCTCCATCTCGCTTGACGCCATTCGAACATTTCACGTCTTTGCCACCTACACTTGCTACAGCTGCTCTGTCCTTGCCTTCAACAGAACGTTGCTTTTTCCTGTCACTACCGTCAATCGTGCTGGCTGCCATCTGTAGTGACGCTATTCTGCTCTCGTATATGGCGCCCTTGTTGCTCTGTTACCTGCAATACGTATTCGTGCTCACTCTGTTTTTTTTTTTTGGCTGTTGTTATACCTTGACTTGCTCCATCTCGCAATTCTCTCGCCATCTAAGATCTTGTACGTGTTGGATATTCTACTCATTGTACAGACAAATTCTTTTCCTTGGGTGTCTTGAACTCTGCCGGACGTATTTTGTGGCTCTACTTGGCGTCTTTGTTTCCAAGGCTCCTTTGCTGGACGGACTTTTTTTGGTTTTCCCGTGCTTGCCAAAGATGCTGTGCATGGATGCTGCTCTGCCGCTTCAACGGACGACCTGTTCTTCTCATAGCTTTCCTGTATACGCTTAAGCTGTATGCCTTCATCCGCCGTTTTAGATTTATCAAGATCAAGGCTGAGACTGTGTTGGTTGCTGTGGCTCTCCATGGATGAACTTGTTTTTTTCTGTCACATGCGATTCCGTTGTAGGCTCCTGCTGTGCTTGCCGAAATTATGATCCACATGGTAAAGTCTCCCTTTTTATTAGCTAGTTAGAACGTGTGAGGATTGTTTTCCTAGAAAGCAAGAATGGTTAATAGGATGAACGAGTGCTTGTAAACGCGCGATCGTTGACGGCGGCCATTGTGGGTATTGGCGACGGTGGCAGAGGAATTTGGATGGGCAGGTTATTCTGTTTGTTTATGGAACAGATGCAAGACCATTGACCGTTGGTGTGATAAGGTACTTTACTTTTTGATGTATGTGTATTGCTGGATCAGCTTGAGCCATTTTCTAATTTGAGGCTGTCCTTATTGCTACGTGTGAGGATCCAGGTAAGTGGTCAAGAGTGATTGCTGGGCAGAGTATGCTGTGCTTAGTTTAATTGTGTTGAGCATGCTGGTTGTGGATGGGTGTGGTGGATGAGTGATGTGGATATATATTTCAGAGTGCCGGTCTTTGTTTGCTGAAGGCAACAGTGTTGGACTAGAAGAATAGAATTCTTTAATAAAGACGATCAATTTAAAAAAGAAAAAATACTTTTTGAGCGGGTTAGAAGATGTGCTGTGAACGGCAGTTCTTTTGTCGGATTACTGATACGACGGATTGTGTGAGAGCACTGGTAAAAGAAATAGAAACAGAAGGATCTCTATTTTATAACTTGGCTTGATTACCAGCATGTATATATGGATAGTCGAACAACGACATATGAATATGACGGTGAACCATGATCGTGCTGTCTTTGAGTGACTGTGCTGCTGAAAAAGAACAGCACATCTCTACCAAACAAAAGCATGAATATCACGAACGCTCCACACCATCGATCGTACAAGCACCTCTGACAACTCAACATACCATTCTACTGGTGTCACTGGGACCGTGTGCTTCTCACGAACGTTTGCATACAACGATTTCTCTGGACGACGATTAGCAGATCATCTCGTCTGTAACGATATAATATATACCAAAATGACACATTCAGGCGGCAATTGTACTCACAGCACTCGAACATATATAAAAACTTTGACGAACGAATATACAACACACATTTTACACAATCGTCAGTGGTCATTCAATCGCTGTCAAAATCGGCATTTTTTGATATTAGCAACACCACTGAATATGTTCTATGCCAGCCGATATATTTTCTTCCATCACGTGAAGAAAAGAAGGGTTACACAGCACCATAAAAACAAAGACGGTATCCAGCGCTAATTTTTTGATTATGACGTTGGTGCAATTTTATCAACATTCAAGTAAAGATGTATATATCATCCCATTACACCGAACAGCAACAGCACCAATCACTTTCGAACCCATTTCTCAGGACCAAAAGGAAACAGGCAATCCTTCTCATAACATTTTTGCACACATCCAGGCTTCGATCCAGCAGACTATCTAGACAAAATTAATCGGTATGTCATCTTTACTATTTCTGCTGTTGCTATAGTAATGAAGGGATAACGCTATTTGATTGCAATGGAATAAAAGAGACCGGTCTGTGTACTTTCTGTGTAAGAGACACTGGATTCGCAAGTTGAAGATAGGATGATGTTTGTGAAAAAAAAAAGGAAACAGCAGCATTTTCGCTGGTATGCAGGCTTCTTCCTAATACATTGCCCACGCGATCCAAAATATCTTACTGCATTGTCATGATATCAAGCAGCTACGTTACTGATAAATATAGGACATAGTGATGAATTAAGTCACTCAATAGGTTGGAAAGAAGGGCGAGTAGCTCGCAACGAATTGTGGGGCCTGGCAGCGAACGCCAGTGAGTGAGCAGGTTTAGGCGAACGCGCAAGTCCTGGTCTGGGTTTAGTCTGGTTTCGGGTTTAAAGTTTCCAAATGATGAGCTTGGATGTATATGGGACTATCGTCTTCTTCTTCTCCTCCACCACTTATTTTGGATTGTTTACAGTAATTCTAGAACGTTCTATACTTCTTGGGTGCTGATGTGTATGTACCTGTATTCGAGAGATAATACTAAAGGTCGTGATTGCCAATAATGGTACTTGCTCTAGTTATTATTTGTTTTGCTGAGCTGTAATTCCATTCAAAAGCTCGAGACGCGACTCAAACTTTCTAAGCAGTGTCCTTTCCGCCTTTCCAAACGATTCAGTAAAATCCAGCAATCATTTGCCATTGCAGCAAGAACAAAAGTTTGCTTCGAAATCTCGTTAAACAGTATCTTCACTAACAGACGTTGAGAAGTGAGTTTGTGCTGTTGAAATAAAAGTGACGACGACACTGCTATGCTAATACTGACTGTGTTACAAGAGATATTTTTTTATATTTGAATAGGCAAAGATACAAATCAGCAACCTATAAAAAAGTGGAATGGAATTGGGTCGAGCGAACTTTCAGCAGAATACTCCATGGGTCGAACAAAATCCACATTATCACTTGTAGATATTTGGTCCGCCAGGGCAAATGATACGAGTCCTTGGAAATTCAGCAGTAGTTACTGCTTCCCAGATCGCACACGAGCACTCATCCGTTGTTCATAATCATCGTTGGCAATCTGTCTTTCTTCCTTATCATTTCTAATTGAGTTGTTCAGTCGCATCTTTTTTTTCTTGCGTACTCATTGAACAAGTTGATATTCGAAACGTACCTGTATTTGACGCGGAGGCCAGGTGCGTGTACTGACACTTCTTTCCAAAATAAGCGGCGACAGTATCGGAGGGTACATCGGCATGGTGAAACATACATAGCATGTCGATCACTGCTGCTGTAGCGTATTTGACTTCTTCACGACGACTATCACTTACACATCTCCTTCGCCTTCCCTTTGCTTTTGGGTCAAGTTGCGTCATATGATATAAGCGGTCCATAAAATGAGCCAACCAGAGCCTTACAAATGAGAGCCAATCAAAATGATGGATTTCATTGAAGACCCGAGCGTGACGGCAAAAAATTGTCTGGATAAGAATACCAAAAAACCCCCCACCCCTCCCATTTTTTTTCTTCTTCAGTTCCATTTACACAAACTTTATGAAGCGCAAAGTGTTGTGTGAATCCTTGACTTGGAAAGCTATCCGCCGAGTCGAGGTGGATATTTTCACCCGAAAGATGCTTCAACGGTAGCAAGGTTGTTGGAAGCATGCCCTAGGGCTGCACCAACGTAGTACAACAACCTTGAGGCATCTTTGTGCTTAGTTGACGTTGTGGGCACACACGGCACGGGCGCCACTAGTGAATGGCGAAGGTCTCTCATTGCGTAGCGACCATTCACTACCTGCGTCTTCGATCAGGTTTTGTTGTCTTCCTGGAAAAAAGAGACAGCAGGAGTTTTTCCCCCTCTTTTTCTATTGGAACTTCCTAGAAAAGAGGGTTTCTCTTTAAAATACAATAAGAAAATGACAAAAAGATAATAATCAACAAGAGAAGCTTTCTATGTTTGACTCTTATTATAACGGAAACTTAATCTTTCGTTGGGTAATGCCATCCCAATTCACAAAGAAAGATCTCTCGCGTATTGATCGACCTTGTGATGTACTTTTGTACTTTGTTTGTGAATGTACTGATTGAGATTTAGGATCTTTTATAAGTGCATATAAAGCGGTGGCAGCTCTGTGACACCGTGCTCTCTACGCACAGACCCTGCTATTGTTCTTAAAAGAAAGAAACGAGGTTGGCATTCGTGTTTTTCAGTTCTGCGATGCACGATTCGTTTGAAACAAATGGCCATCAACGGCAGCAATTGAGACACGCTTGACTTCAAGTCAAGCTTGACCTGACCGACTGCTGCGGATTCGCGTTGTCAAAGCTTGGTTCAAAAAGGTTTATACGATATTTTATAACGCGCTGGTATTGCAAGTAGGATGCCTTTTTTCCCGCTACTCTCCGGTTTCATAAAGTACCACTTTCCTCTTGACCATTCGTTTTTCGTAAACGGAATACACCTTGTCAATGGCGTTTGAGCTTGCGTTACTTCTCCCTCGCGCTTACAGGCGAAGAATGACCCTTTTATCATTTTAGTTATCATCCTCGCATTATCTCTGTCGCGTAACCTGCATGAATAATTTATGTGGCACACGTGCTATACACATATACACATATACAATGCAAATTGCCAATTGCATCAGTCAGCTTACTTTTGTTGGTAAGAGTTGGCGTGGCACGAGGTGTTAAAGAATGTGTGAGTAAACGATGCAATAATATCATTTTACGCGTGATTTTACTTACGCATATATGATTCTTCATCAGTAATTTGTATTAAGCGCGTAACAACCGAGCCATCTCATCTCCTCCACTTACGGCTATATTCTCATTTGTAAGCAGCCACAGAAATGGCGGCGTAAAACAAAGTATATTTTTTTTCCAGATACGAGAGCACTTGTTAATAGACCGCATAGATTCATAGAGTTGCGAAACTACAAGAATGCTTTTACTCTTGAAGGATGATGGTCGAGAAGAAGGAGATATGGCAGTCGCTATCCGGATCATTTTTTCAACAACATGTTCGTGCCACCACTTTCTCTTCTTATTTTTTTTACGCTGATAACATTCTTACTAAAACTCTGGTCCCAAACTATATGGTCACAACGTCAATGCTCTCAGATATAAACAAGTCAAATGCAAAAATGCTTATGCATAGATTCATAATCGAGAGATGTGACTGACTCGCTTGTAAGAGTGTCTAATTCTTTAGACCCCTTGCTTGAGCATGAGAAGTCATTGTTTGTATGCATGACGTCAACAACCAAATTACTTGACTATTTCACCATCTTGTATAAGCTGTTCGTCTTAAATCGTGGCGCATTTTAATGTACTGATATTGAACAATTCCTGGAAAGTTGAAGGCTGAAGACTTAATATATAGAAGCGCAACGTGTATGCTCCAGAAAAGCTGAACGCTCCCCGAGAAACGCAAGGTGGTTGGAAGAATTGCTTAGAACTTGATCGTTTGTCGGATCACGGTCTTGCTTGGATCTTTTACTTTTGTTCTCGATAATCAAAGTAACGCAATGATCACCACCATGGCAAATAAGTGTTGTAGTTGATGCGTGTTAGTCGACCTAGTTTCGCATTTTGGTTTTCTCCAATGTGCGATATTTTAATGATCTTCTTTTGCAACGAAATCCATTTAAATGCCTTGTATCGTTTTAGAACGTTTGAGGATTGTTTTCTTCGGCAGTGTAAGTTATTAGCGGACATGTTGCCCAATACACTACAACGGAGCTTAGATAGCGAAGCTTTTTACATTGCCATCATATGATTTCTTCTAGACGTATCAGATTGTCCACTTTTCATAGACTTCTCAAAGAAAATTTTGATAGTGAATGATCAATTCGCAGTAAAGTGATAGGCAGGCCAGTAATACAAAAAAGGAGTCAACTATTATAATGTTTCAACTCTGGTGGATCGATTCTGAGCGTTTTGACGAAAAAAATGCTGTTGGCAGCAGGTTAAAAACTGATATTCACGCGTATTGAGAATGGATCGAACGCCCTCGCGGTTTACAGCACCTTTCAGTAATGGATACACGCCTGTTCACGAACAACAGCGTTAGCAGAAGCGAGTAGTAATCCACAATGTGTTTATTATTTGTTAAGTAACTGTCAAAAGAGCAGAATATATAATACACGCTATTAAGCGTTTTATGCTGCGTCAATGAACATTGAAAGTTTTTTGCTGTCGACATTTACGATGCTGACACGTTTATGCGCGACCCTTGAAATCTTGCCCTTACTAAATTATCTATCAACCGATAAGAAAAGAAGGATTAAGTATGTAGTATGATATTTACAATGTTTCCACGCGCCATATTAGTACGACAATAACAAAAATCACATTTCTCCTATATTACGTAAATAAAAATTTTGACAGCTGGCAACACCTTTGCTTTTTGGTAGAAGCAGAGTTAGCATACAAACTGTAGCTGCCAATTGCGTGCAAAGCAGCAGTTGCTAGAGTAGAATATCCCGTATCCATGACAACTGATAAACGTTGGCTCATAAACGAAGGTCCTTTCTGATATGAAGAGCATTGTCACAGTAGCTTGTGGGCTGCATTTATCTTCTAGAACATTGGGCGACCAATCGCATGTGAGTATGGGTTCCGATATGCTGACTCGCCCTGCAGGGAGAGAAAAGCCAAAAGTAATGCTGGGCTTTGTTGCCAAGGCCTTCTTTCTCTCTCGCGTTATTCCGGCTATCCGATGGAGAGAATTGATGGGCTCAGCAGCACACGTTCACCGCACCGTATTCGGGCAACGTACCTTATTTGATCATTTCTAAAAATAGTGTTTCTCCATTTCCTTCAATTATTTAGGGTTCACCACACACAACCCAGCTTAATTTTCACTTCTCTCTTGACACCACCACTGCCAGAGCTCTCTTCTTTCCAAGCATACACACATTTCAAGACCACCCTATCTCTCCTTACCACTTGTCTTTCTATTAAATAATGGGTTTCTGGAAATCGAAAAAAGATAAAGGCTCGCCCTCCATCTCGTCTGAATCGACCAATCCCTTCGAATCCGATGCTGCAAGCACTACCACCTATAGCACCCAGTCACCCGCTCCTTCTTACCACAGCACACCTCCTCCAACAAACGACTATGGAGCTCCCCGAAATGGCGGTGGTGGCCGCTATGGCACTCGCCGTTATGACGATCAGTACGAGGCACAACAACGCAATGAACTTTTTGCCGGTGCCAGTGACCGCCGTCTACCTCCATCACAACGCTTCGCCGGCAGTGCTGACGACGAAGACGAGTATGGTAGAGGCCGTAATGGTGCGAGCCGCTATGCCGATGAGGAAGATGAGGAAGTGGCCAACATCAAGACACAGATTCGTGATGTGAAGCAAGAATCCCTGGAAAGCACCCGCCGAGCACTTCAAAAGATGAACGAAACCGAACAAACTGCTGGTAATACCATGGGCATGCTTGGCGAACAGTCTTGTAAGTATTGGTATTGAACTTTTTTTTTCAGGAAGTCGATGATGCATAGGGTATGATAATGGTGGGGATATATATAACTGGGTCGACCGAGTGATTAATTGAACCAAATTTGGCGGGTGTTAATAGCCCAACTCGCCAATGTCGACCGCAACCTCGACTTGTCCAAGGCTTACTCTGACCGAGCCTCTAACCAAGCCAACGAGTTGCAACAACTGAACCGCTCCATCTTCATTCCTGTTGTGAAGAACCCATTTACCCGAAACAAGCGCCAACAACGAGAAATCGAAGCGCTGCAGCGAGATCAGCGGGAGCACATGGACGAGCGTGACCGCATCCGTCAATATGAATTTGAATCCAACGCACGTCTTGAGCAAGCACAACGTCGAAACGAACGTGTCTCGGCCAATGCAGGATACCGCCGCGGCCGATCAGAGGCCGATAAACGAAGATACCAGTTCGAGGCTGATGAAGAGGATGACGCTGTTGAGGATGAGATTGATCAAAACTTGGATCTGCTTGGTGGAGCTACGGCTCGTCTGAAGAACATGGCTATAACCATGAACGAAGAACTCGATAGTCAGAACAAGCAGCTCGACAAGGTGAACAAGAAGGTTGATCCACTTAGCCAAAAGTTGAGTTCTACCACTCACAGACTCAACAGAACCAAATAAGACCTCATCATCACTGTCGCTGCCATCCGTTACTGCCTCTATCTCCTACCATCATCACCATTCTCAACAAAGAAAAATAAAACTCTGTTTTTTTCTGTTTTCTCGCTCTTCTGCTGTAGATAATTATCAGAGATCTGAGAGTAGTTTATGTTTAGAAAATTTTAAAAGCGAACCAGGAAATATGGGGAGGAAAAGGGGATTTACTGTACAGATTATATGTGTGGAAAGCAAGGTCAAATGAGTGCGTGTGTTTGGGAAAAGGAAAAAAAAATACAACAGCTAATACAAAAAGAAAGAAGCAGGGAAACGATATACTAGGATGGTAGTAATAAGGGATATTTAATGAGCAGTCATCTTGTTGCCGACATTCGGATTCCATGTGGAAGTGGTATTATTGTCATCACTGGGAGAATTTGGGCCTTCTATACGACGCAACGCTTCGAGATAGTGATCGTGTGGGTCTTCTTCGTATAAGTCATCTTTGAGGTAGTTGCTGTACATGGCCTCAAAGTTGTTGTGGGTCATCGACGGCTGTTCCGGCTGTTCCTTTTTCGGGCGCCCGTAATAGTCTGTCGAAGAGGACCATGAGGTGACAGAAGATACACCAGATCCTTCATGGAACGAGCCCAAGGACCCACGGGCTGACGACTTGGATGGTGATGCAGTGGACGTTGCGGCCGGCAATGGAGGAAGCGGCTCACGTGGAGGTGCTGAAGGTGGAGGTGTGTTTCTGCCATCCACTATAGGGCTCTGTCGCTGCTGCGGATGATGATGATGATGATGATCACCCGCAGTAGTAGTAGTAGTTGTAGTATTAATAGTAGGTCGGGCAAGCTCAGCCAGAATATCGAACGAAGAAGCACCAGGACGACTTGCACCAAGCTTAACCTTTTTAAGCATATCCTCACGCTCGTTGAGCAGCTGTGTTAACAATGCCCGTTTATCTTCCAGTTCTGCGCGCTGCGACTCGACTTGTTCCCGTAACGCACGTTCCGAACTACTACTATTGTTGATGTTGACATTTTCTCGGGTCGGACTTGCCAAGCTAGCATTCCGTGGTGGACGAGGGGACACCTTGGGAGACAACACTGTCGTAGTAGAAGAAACAACGAGTTTGGATTCGAGGGTTGCGATCAAATCTTCTTGTTTTTTCAGCATTTGCTGCATTGTTTTGGTGCGAAGACGCTCTTGCTCTAGCTCGGATAGGTAGTGCTGCACGGCAATTTTAGTGCCTTGGTCTGCAGCACGGAGTTGTTCGGTGAGAAGGGCGATCTGTTGATGCTGATCCACGCTGCTGCTGTCTTTGCCGCCCCTGACGCTGCGTTCTTGAAGATGTGCTTCGGACCGATGCTCACTCTGCACGCCAAATGACGAGTTTTCATCTTCGTCGTCTTCATAAGCGTCTAGAATGTCGTGCATAAACTCGCTGTTTTCGTCAATGTCGTCTTCCTGGTGGTCATTGATATCGGGGTTATTGTTATGATAATCGTCGAGCAGATGGTCCTGTTGCTCCTGTTGCTGCTTGTCTTGATTAAAAATGCCAGACAGTCGATGCTGAAATACAGGAGAAACAGGGGTATCAAGGCTGCCTTGACGTTCACGATACATTCGCAACTCTTGCTCCAAGCCATCTCGCTCTTCAGACACCTGCTCAAGCTTTTGTGCAAGGTACTCCACTCGAATCTCATAATCGCGGACTTTGGTCGAGTCCACTTCATAAGTGGCAACCTCGCTTTTGAGTGTTTTGAGCTCTTGCTCGGCAGCTTCTGCTTTTGCGACCGATTCCTGATACAGGGCCGTCAGTTCTTCAGACAGCATATCAACGGATGTTCGGGTCATGCCAGTAGGAGCGTTCCTTGTTGTAGTACGTGGTGGTGGTGATGGTGATGACGATGATGATTTTGCTGTTGCTATTGTTGTTGTTGTTGTTGTTGCCGGAACAACCTTGGGTCGGGTGGGTGATTGTGGTGAGCACTGTTGTTTAATATGGTGCTGGTCATTGTTATTGACAGGCGATCTAGAAGTGTTTGTTTTAGATATAACATTGGCAGTAGCAGGAATCGGTCGTAGTGACGCTAGTTGCTGCTGTGTTGTTGACCGTTGAGGAGGAGGAGGAGGAGCAGGACGTGCAAGATTCGTATCGCTACCGAATTTGCTCATAAGCGATACTACGCCGTTACCACCGCCTGTCCTGATACGGTTCAATTCTTTGATGGCTGCTTCTGTCGTCGGCTTCTTGTTTGGTGACGCTGGGCTGGGCGATCGCTGGGTGTCCAGCTGCTCATCACTGTTGTTCAAAAAGGCGACAGCAGATAAGACGCTCATGGCAGCTATTGGTTATGAGGATGTCAAGACGCTCTCGTTTTGTCCGTCCGTCCGCCCTTTCGTGTATGCTTGGCGGTTGATGAAATACAGTACGAAAGGAAAGAATAAATGGAGAAGCCGAAAATAAACACACAGGTGCTTTTTGGGGGTGTTGTTGACAATCAGGGGTTCCGCAAGAAGAAAGGAAAAGAGAGCGAAAGAGAGAAGAGACGCAACACGAAGAGAGAGGAAAAAAAGTTTAAAAGCGGCGATGGGTGGAGCGGAAAAGCAAGTTAACTTCGTCCAGCCAATAGATACGAGAGGCCGTATATTTGATGCTCGTGCGTCGTTCACGACCTTGTTCAAATATGGAAAGTTCAAGCGTGCATAGCAGGTTTGTATTAAATGTTGTGCGCAAATCTCATGTCTCACCGCAGAGCCTTCTTTTGTATACGCATATACGTTGCACTATCTAATTTTTTATTATTTACACTACCTCACGTCACTTCCTTAAAGACAAAAAGCATGTTGGCTGGATGCTCAGTAAAGTAAAGCCACCAAGTAGCCATCTTCTTCTGAAACAATGCTTCTTTGGTCTTTTTCTAGTCATTTTTATTATTGTTACATTTGTTTAGCGCGCACTAAGAATAAGACGAACGGCTGGCTTGCCGGAACGGAACGTTGGTGAACAGGCCACCACAGATACACCGGCGTTGCAAACTACGATACCACAGCGCATAAGAGCAGGGATCCGTGCTACTGATGCCGGCCATGGCGTGCTGCTGACAGCGCACACATCGCCATACATGCTTGGCTGTCGAAGGTATCCGTCGCTTCTGTATGACATCAATCGTATCATCCGTGTCGCGTTCTAGGTATATAGCTGGCTGTGCACATTTCTCAGCAAACTCAGTAGTGATTTTCCGCAGCTTGTCTATCTTGTCGGATGGGAGCCTTGAGTGAAGTAACAGGTCCCAACTGTTTCGTGGTTCTGCAGATACATAAGAACAATACATGTGTATAGCATGTGAGACGATAAATCATGGAAGAACGTTTGAATAAACACACTTACGCTTGTCATCATCATCATCGGCACCATCCAATGCTTTTAAGAATGCCAACATGTCCTGCAAAGAGACCGGCTCGCTTTTGAGGACGTTGCTGGCGTACTTTTGCAGTAACGGCATCGATTCTGGAAGATGCTGGAGCTCATAGGATGATGAACGAGTGAAACGTACAAACTCGAACACCATCACTAGAATCTTGCATAAAGCTAACCGTGACTCTTTGTGGTAAAGCAACACAGCATGTGAAGGTCGTGCAGAGATATCGGCAAATTCTAAGATACGTGGGATTGTTAGTTGGTTTTGAATTTGACAGGAATAAACTAGAGCTTACTTGAACTTTTTGGCCGTTTGCAGTTAAACAATGTATTCCATTTGCGCAGTATCCATCGCACAAAGTCCAGAGTCCATGTTGTCAAGGATATCAAAGACCATAAACTATCTAGTGAGTGAGAGCACGCGACGCATAATTTAGTTATTTACAAGTTACGTATCAGCAGTGAAATTCATTCTATTTACCTGCTTCGAATTCCAGACTCTTTCCTTCTTCCGAAATCTTTAAGTCGTCTAAAAAAGAGTAATAGCTAGATATCAGTATTTATTCTACAGGTAGACATTGTCAAACGGGTCGATCATAGACAGAAATATGCACATACTTAACATTTTAGATACTGTCGCGTAATCTGACCGACAACTGCCTACGAAACATTCAAGTATGATAGGCAGTTGAATGGCTTTGCTCAGATTGACATATTGTATGTTCGTTGAAGATAGTCGGCTAGCAATTGATCGATTAATTTTCTTACCAGAGTCAATCTGCACTTTTTCTTTCCTTCCCTCTCTCTCCTTTTCTCATACGCTTAGGCGATAGCACTTACCGACAAGTTCCTAAAGCTAAACCATACGCTCGGCCTTGCTGCGGTAAATTCCAATCCCGTATTCCAGAAAGCGTATCGGGCTTTGGAGAAATCAGAACATCATCGATTCGGTTCTGGATACAATAAACTTGATATGACAACATAGCATTACTGATAATATCTTCAGCCGTGTTTTCTGGTTTATATTTACTGCTTAGTTGGTTTGTTGTCATATTTTGACGTACAGAGATTATCATCATTCGTATTCATGTTGTTTTACCTTTCATGCCGGGTAACTGGCTTAGCCGCACCAACTCGGAGATCAGGTCCAGATCGTCGGATTGGTTCAGTAAAGTGAGCTTTAACAGTTTGCTGATCATTGATAGTTGGTCTACATGATCCGTTATACAAACATTTGTTAATATCAACTTCTTTGCCTCGCTGCAATTATCATTATAAATCACTGAAAAAATATACGTTTGTTCTACCTGAATGGTTACTGTTGCTGGAATCAGTATTCGTTATGCGAATAACGGCCAATCTTCCGGAATACAGTATACTGATGACATGCGTTTCGTTCGGCGACATGGTTAATCCAGCGACGGCATCGGGATCATCATTGTCTCTGTATGTGCGTGGAGGGCCTGCTTGCCAAAAATCCGTGCCGATGGATTCCTCAAGTTGACCCGAATTGGATCGGCTACGTGCCACACCGGGGTATCTGTCGTCACGAAATTCGATGTGTACACTGCCATCAGATAGACCAAGAACAATGCCGGCGTACCGCGTGCCTGATATAGAAGTGACGAATCGATTCGGTATAGAAAATCCTGAGACATACTCCAGGCTCTATGCAATCGTTTCCGGATAATATATCGATCATCAGATTCAGCATACAATCAGCCATAAATGCACTGGCAACGTTAACTCACCAATCGTTCTGAAACCATAACAGTTCCACTAAAGTTGTCGCTCGCTATCACGTCGCCTGCTACTTTTTCTGTCTTGAGTTGTAAAGCCCATTTGCTAAAGAAACCACTACCACCTAAAATATAGAGTTTAATTCTGAATTCTCGTATTGCTGCTCTGCTCGTGGTGTACGATACAGATTTGATTTCTCGATTAACTTACTATCTGCATTGGCAAATGCAACAGCGAGTTCAATGCCAGACTGTTTCCGAAGCAACAGGATTTGTGATACACCAAACACTCCTTTTGTAAAATCGCCCAAAGTTGATGCCAGACTTTGAGCACTCAGAATAAGCTTAGCAATTGATTGACAGAATATAGCGCCTTCATTGGCTCGGCCGGGGAATCGTAACCGGATCCTGTATAGGTGAATTGCGTTTGGTTTGATATTGGCTTGTTGTGCAGCTAAAAGCAAACTCCCATCTATCAATTGTAATTTATCATTAGCCTGAAAAAAACAACTGATAATGAACGGTTCGATACAATTATTTGATTGATGACGGAGAAAAAAGTACCATGATCAAAAGTCATTGACGCATGCGATATCCGGAACCATTTGCCCGAATTGCTCAAGTCCATGCCGAAACAACCAATATCTGCACGGTTCTGTCCATTGTGTCCAGTCTGTGGTAGCATCGTTGAAAACTGCGAGAAGATCTTTCGACCTTGTTGATAATGAACACTGACCTCGCCGTGGACTGTTACTGCAACAAATGCAAAATAGCCATATATGTTCCGTGGTCCAACCAGCGGTTCTCGTACAAACTTTTCCTGCTGTGTTTGATCTGCAAGTGGTATATCATACTAAACAATTTGAAGGTTAGCGAATCCATTTTCTTCTACTCTTTAGAAAGAATAAATCTCACCAATCGATCGGTATTAAGCCATAGTAAGGCCGCTGGTGGTTGATGCAAATTGACACTATATGCCATCGTCCAGTTATCCGATGAATTCTATTATCCGATGATATACAAAGTTGATTGGCGAGCCAAACGTGTGCGTCAGCATAAATACAAACAAGCAACTCTTTGTCTTAACATATAATAGAACATTTTGCGAAAAAAAAAAACAAAACATACACCCAAAATCCAGAGTGCAATTCTGCCCGTCTCATCTGCTGAAGCGAGCGTTGTGCCTTTTTGATTCCATACGAGATGCGTAATCGTATGCTGATCGTGGTATTGTTCGGCCAATCGTAACGGCGTTTTGTTCAAAATGACTTTGTTGGAGTTAGTGGCAATATTTGACGAAAGAGTAGGTTTCAAAAAATTGCTGGTTGCTGCAGTTGTAGCCGCATTAACCGTTGTAGTAGTTGACGTTGAGGGCAAATCGAGTGTATAATGATCGCCAGTGAATGCATGGATGCCTGGGCCATTGGGTTGTGGGGGGGTTGTGACAACGACACTGTGCGTGGATGTACATATATGCTGTGGTGCCTGGCGATGTAGCATATTGGATAATATGCATTTGGTAGGGTATCGTGCTATGGGAGTTGGTGTCGGAATCGGCTCGACGCGTCTACGTTTTTTTGGATTCAGTTCTTCAACAACCATTTTTCTGAGGCCAGTAGTAGTAGAAGAAAGGAAACAAGTAGAGGAAGCAGTAGTGCAAGGACTGGACGCGAAAGAAAGAAAGAAAAGAAAAAGGGCCGATTTGGTTGTAGCAAGTGAAGCACCGTCACTAGCCTCTCAGCGATAGCCGCGCCTCCTTTCAAAAAAAAAATTAGTGGGCGCGTTTTTTTTTATTGTTAAAGCTCTTTTTTCTTTCCTGCTCTCTCTCAGTCTTTCTCCCTTCCTCTTTTTTTTTTGTCATCACAACCTTTTCACTGTTTACAATGTCGGATCGTAACTCAATGCAGTCAAAGCTTGCGGCTCTTGCAAAGAAGAGACGCAAAGACGACGGTGAGTCGCCTCAACCCAAGAAAACAAAGGTGTCGTCCAAACCCACTTCTAAAAAAGAAAGGTAGGCAATACTCGACTTTCTCTCTCTCTCTTATCTTTTATTTGTGTTTCTGACACACTCAAAAAAATTGTTTACAATCCAGCAACTCCTCCAAGGCTTCCGCACCACAAAAGAACCGCAAGCGCCCTGCTACCAAGGATCCCTTTGTTGTAGATAGCGATGAAGAGGAAGATGACGTCGATGAAAGTGAAGGTACTGTACTCGCCTCATTTTTAGTGTTTATAAGACCATTCGCTGAACTACCATTGGTATTACAATAGAAGAAGATGACGACGAAGACGGTAGCGACGTCGCCTCGTCAGATGAAGAAGTCTTGAGAAAGAAAAAGAAGCCTGTGAAGAAGGAAAAGAAGGTTGAGCGTAAGAAGAGCAGCAGCAGCAGCAGCAGCCAGAAGGTCAAGAAAGGCAGTGATGACGAGGCCTCTGGTGCGGAAGACAAAAGCGACATCTCAGGTAACGAGCTACAGTGGTGATGATGATAGATCACATCATAGTTCGACTAACTCTTGTCCGTTCAAATACCGCACAGACGATGAATTGGGAGCACTGGACACGTCTGTAATCATTCCAGGCGGCCGACGGACACGCGGTCGAAAGATCGACTATCGCCAATTTGGCGCAGATCCCGAGGATGAGGAATAAAGGGGAATGTGAGAGTGTTGTAACTGTGTGAATGTGAAAGGATATCTTCTTTATTATCGTTATTTTGTTAAAAAACATGCTGTTCGCACTACATTTTGGGAGTTTTCTTTTTGACTTCTTCTTTGACTCGTTCTTCGCCTTCTCTGCGATCCGCAGGTACTTTGAGTCGCTTTTCCAGTTCCTCTGCCAGGGCCTCGATTTCTTTGTCTTCCTTCTCTTCTGCTGGTGCTTCTTCTGTTGTCTCCTCCTCATTCTTGACTGCCAGCAGTGCTTCCTCTGCACTCCATTGTGCTTTAAGCTTTTCGTTTCCTTTTCGGAACATTTCGTGCAACTCGTCCTGGAAAAAGAACATTAATTACAAGTCATTACACCGCGCGATCACAACTACGCCAAATCCGCAGTTTAATATTACCTTCCAACCTAGCAAGTCGGCCATCTTTTCTATGCCGGCATCACAGTCGTCCAAATGAGCCACGTCGCGACGCTTATGTTTCCACTTAAAATCGAACCCTGACTTTGCTGAATTGCTCTATTGTTTTTTTCCCCTTGTTTGTCAGCGAAATTTCCCCACTTTTATCTTCCTCACGACCTTCCCGCCACGTTGCAAGACTTACTGCGCCAGCTAGTTCCTTGTTGATCAAAAGACGAGGTACATGATCTTCAACATCGTCAATGAGCGATGCAAAGGGTTGCACCTTTAAGCTTGTGCCAATGACAATGAGCAAGTCTGCCTCCTCAAAATCCTACATTGTGTTGCTTTTAGTGAGCATAGCTTTTCAACATAGCAACAGCGCATCCTCCACGCACAACACTAACTTACATCAAGTCGATCAAAGAATCGTCTGGGTAAACTTTCACCAAAGAAGGTAATATCCGGTTTGATCAAGCCATCACAATCTTCGCACCGCGCTACTTTTGCCTGGATCACGCGTTCCCGTACGACTTCCTCCTCAGCATGCTTGTGACATCCAATACACGATGCGGTGGCAAAACTACCGTGTGCCTCAACGATCATACCATGGTCAAGACCTGTCAGTCGCTCCAAGGTATCAATGTTCTGTGTAAAGTTGCGCAGCAGTAGGCCCTTTTCATGCAGCAGTCGGATAAAGTAGTGTGTCTTTGTAGGGTAAAACTTGCCAGGATAGATTTCCTTGGCTAGTGCATAAAATGGTTCAGGCTTTTCCTGTTTTGACCCATAATGACGCATAGTTTAGTTCACATACGCATGCATGTGTCCTCTTTATGTAGATCGCTTTCTTTTACCTCGAAAAAGTCGATATCAAAGATGGCTTCGGGATAGGGTAAATTGAACTTTTGCAGGTTGTCATAAAGACCCGTGCCCTTGGTGCGAAAGTCGGGAATCCCTGCGCCCGTCGATATGCCCGCTCCGGTCATCACAATCACCTTGCTAGCTTATTTCCAAAGAGTACACTTTCTGCTTAGCGATCAAACAAACTAGAAAACTCTGTGATTGCCTGTTCAAAGCTGAATCGCAGTTGGTTACCTTTCTTGTCCTTGATTAACTGTACAATAGACTCTAAAGTCTTGTCTTTTAATGGTGACGGCATGCTTTTGTTGCTGTTGCTGTTGCTGCTGCTGTTGTTCTTTTTCGGCATTCTAAATAAGTTACTGCAAGTTGTCCGGAAGAGAAAAGAAAAAAGAACTGCTGGTGTGCGGGGGATTGTAATAATTCGGTCTGAGCCCACATAACGCGCCACAACCACAGCATGCATAGTGACCCATCCCTCTCTACACCAGCTTTGTCCTACATAGTGCCACCCGATCCAAGTATGGTTTCATTCGATTCATATTCTTTGTTAGATAGTGACTCTGGCACGTCTACTGTCCGTTATTATTTTCACTATGTGCTATTAATTTGGCTATTTAGCAACTGAAGAGTAGATCTTAGTATTGTCCAAGTAATTTAACTACGCTGGCTCTTTGGTGTTCTTCTCCCATTCTTGGCTCACGTGACAGCTATGGATCCTGTTGCCGTCAACAGTGCGGACCCGGGCCGAAATCAGCGCGTGACTCTTTTCTTTGTGCCGGTGTTTGAAATCTGGACTAGGAATAAAGATATAAAAAGGCACCTTGTTTGAATTTTTTTGCAACTTTAACAGTGAGGTGGCTTGCTTATGCTTACGGGTAAACACACGAGAAGGCTTTGTCTTTCTATTCAACACCCGTGGGAAAGTCCGAGGAAAGCCGTAATGCTCTTGCCGGGCAGCCTGCGAAAGCGGGTGTAGGGTACCAGAAAACCATGACCTTCATCACCTATAGCTCTGGATTGGCTCTTGGGCCATGATGCTGGTGTTGTTGCGTTATTGAAAACCCCTGCTGGTGTTATGATTTGAAGTGCAATGCATAAGGCCAGTTTTTAGCTGGTAACTCAATTCGGATTACACTAGCTTCCTCGCTGTTTATCCTTTTTTAAATCAAATAAGAAAACGATAAAAAAAATAATATAATGAAAACTGCACTGAGGCTTTGTCTCCTTTGTGGTTTGCGTGGGCGTTTTGTGTTTTTTTTTTCACCCACCTCCCGTTCTCTTGTGCACACGTAATGGTGTTGTGTCGGAGATGGGTTTCTATCCTGTGGCTTATACATTCAAAAAAAAAACTTAAAAGGGGTCTTTTGCCGGGAACGATGTGTTTTTCTTTAACCTTACATGTCTATTGGGTTTATTGTGGGTGGTGTCCTTCCCATGGATGCTTCTCGACTCGATGGTCATTAGATTGATCGGGTATCCAGCGTATCTACCGATTGCTACGATTCACTACTGCAATTGGATCGTAGTTCTGGATTACATTTATTATATGCTTTTATTATAAAAAAAAGAAACAGAGAAAATGATAATAATGTTATTTACAAACTGAGAAGTGTCCACTGGACCATCTCAGAAAGATGCGTGAAATGCTGTTCTTGTGCAATGTTGGCAAACACTCGAAGCTTTCGTGTGAGTTCTGCCTTGTTATGAATGACCACAAAGTCGCTACCACACCGGTCGCACTGCTTCATCAAGTTCTCGCGTTTTACAACACGGCAACGCATGCACTGCAAGTCTTGAAGTTGATACGACGTCATCCAACGCTGGACCTGGCTAACCATACGCTGTTCAATCGCCTTTTTGTCGTAGGGTGCACAGCATCCTCGACACGGCCATGGCTTGGTTGATCCATCGGCGGCAGGCTGCAGTTCTGGGTCGCGGCAAAAGTCCAAATCGGATGGGAAGTTACAAGTCGTGCAGATAACTTCCGTGAGCTTGTAATACTCGCATGGATTACGGAATTGTGCTTCGGCGCTAAAGTCGCTTAGGCCACCAATAGCTTGCAGGGCGTTTCGTTTTAGCAGACGCACTTCGTGCTCCAATGAGCTATCTAGCCCGAGCACAGCACATATTGACTTGACACACTCTAGTACAGGGTTGGACAGTTTTAGATGGGAGCCGGATAGCTGAGGGAACTCGAACTCGGCACTATGATCTTGCTTGTGGATTGTTTCTGTCACGAACTTTAGCACTCGGGCTGTGAGCAATTCCTTTATGAAAAGCCGCATGTGTTTCGTTCGCTCGTCTTCTTTTTCTTCCGCGCCTTGCTTGCTGTTGCCGTTGGCACCTTCCTCCCCGTCAACATCCATGGTAGCGATTTGACGACGTATATCGCGTGGATACTCGACCTTGAACTGATGCGTTTTCTTGATGTAGAGTGCGATTGTTTGTCTGAATGTTTCCTGCACTGCTGGCGGCAAATAGTACATGACGTTCCATATCATCACCACCTTGCTTTGATCATTGACCTTGCTGACCATACCGCCATGATTCTGCTCATCCATCCATACTAACAGCTGCCAGTAGTCCACAAGATGCAAGTCGAGCACTTCGAATATACGTTTGGCTTGAATCGACCGGAATATGTATTCGCCGTACGGCATGGCACTCTCCATCGTGTCCTTTGTAGTCGCCAAAATGACCCTGTGGAAGTTGGCAAACACCACCGTAGCTCCCAACCGCTTACATTCGGCCATAAATTGCATAAACACCTTCTTCATCAGACCGTGCACCAGCGCATACAGGGACGGATCATGCATGCTGGATTTGGGACTTTGGAGCCAGCGATGCAGCACATCGACCATGTTATCACCCATCTGGCTGTCTTGACCAATGGATTCATGGAACCACTGCTGTACGGTGGCACGCAACACACCAAACGTCCTTGCTGAGACCATGCCATCACTAAATGCGGATGTATTGTTGACCAATCCGTTGCTATATTCATCAAGCGTGTGCGAAGTGTTGTCGAAACCAGTCGAATCGGAGGTACCTTCAAGTTCGTTGATCAAGTGTGATTCCATGATCGTATTGAGGCAAAGACGCATTACGTCCATTTCGATACACACGTTTTGATATGCTGCAGGGTTCGAGATTTCTGGCCACTCGGGCTCTTCGACCGCATTGTCGTCTTTCTCGCGACCGCCCAAGTCAGGTTTGCTTCCAGATGACCACCATAGTAGCATATCGCTTTTGTGCAACCTGCGAGCAAAGAGAATATCGGCGATGAACGTGTATGAGTCGTCGGGTATATTGCAGAGAGGCACATTGGCGTATCGCGCTTGTTCTATTTTTTGGTCGACCCAGTTGCCAAGGTTCAAATAACTTGTCAGTGCACGTTTTACTGCCGGTTGCAGCCAGCTCAAGGCCTGCATCGAATCGACCTTATTGGAGGGTGGCATGGCCATGTAGGGGTACTCATTGATCAACCGTGCGTGTTGTGTCAGAACCGAAACGTTGCGTGGCGAACGTACGACGAGCATTGTCATTGCACCACGCCTACTGTCTCGATATTGTGCCAGAACCTTGTTGATGCCGCGTAAAGCATCCTTTTCCCGGTTACAGTACGTTGTCTCGAATTCCAAGCTGCTCTTCATCTCTACCGTGGTACTGGCGTCTGGTTTATCCTTGATCATCACGTTGTAAAATTCAGAGTACATGCGCCGGACGTTGGGCACTTGTTTGCTGCTTTCAGACACGCCAACGACAAAACAGTGTGATTTTGGAAGCGCTGCACCCATCAGGATAAACAAGTGCCGGTTCTCCATGCTGACATGATGGAGATACACATATTGGAATTCTTTGGCTGAGTCAAAGTATCTGGATTTTGCGTCTAGTTGAGGCACAAGATCGAGCACGTTGAATTGATCCTCTATCCGGCTGCTGCCGGTCAGATCTTTTTTGAGCTTGCACTGGTTACCAAGTAACAAAAGTGCACGGATAATAAGTGGCAGACTGGTTTCGTAGGCTCCCTCTGTGGCAGGGTCGTTGAAAATGCTTGCAATTTTGCCAATTTCGGCCTGAAAATCTGCCTCTGACATGGCAATTTCAAATAGATTAAGGCATGGACGCGAACGTGGCAGTGTACGCACACACTTGGCGACTTGGCATGTAGGTCCGTGCTTGGCAAGTGTACTTGGCGCTTCTTCACGGCTGTTCAGATAGAAAATACGCGGTACCTGCAAACTGATAGTGGTCAGCCTTCCTTGAACCATAGCCCACATCTTGAATTCGCCAGGCGTATCTGTTCCGGCAATCTGGATCAGTTCCCATGCGCTGCTCACGAGCGAGCCTGTCTGTCGTCTAAAGTAGCCACCAACGTCTCCTTGCTTTGCAGCTGGTTGGGATGCACCATATGTTTCTCGGTTCTTTGCGCGCATAACACGTTGCCGCTTCCACTTGCGTTTTTGAAATTCCAAAAACCCTTGGTAGTCTGTGTGCATGTCAGGCATGTTCTCAGGTCGATCTTCTTCTGGAAGCGGGCCGTCTTCTTCGATAGTAGGTGCTGAAGCTTGCTTGCGCTTGTTGACACGGGATACGCGCGGTCCAAAGAATGCACTTCCATTGATCTGTTGACCGTCCTTGTTGCTACCCACATCAAGTTCTTCAATATCCTGCATCACGACGTCTTCGCCTCCTTCCAATGGTCCGGGTTTTTCTACGCGTGTAAACATGTCGGTGATACGATGCTGCTTATACTTATCATCCTTGTCGACCATTCGCTTGTGAAGCCAGTCAGGATGCGGCACCCGAGGAACAGGGTTGTTCACCTTTTGCATGGCGGCAGGAATGGTAATCAGCTTTTGGATCACTGACGCAAAACGCTCGAGATAATACGGCCAATCCAGGATATCACGAATATCAAAGCTTGTGAGCGAATTATCCTTGAGCCACTTGCGTAGGTAATGTCTCTTGATATCTGGCTCGGCCGAGAAGATGGTGACCGGGATGGCACGTTCAGAGACAGGTACGCCATAGGGACGTGCTGAGATGATGAATTTACATGCGAGGCCTTTATCCTTGACCATCTCATCACCCAAGAATTCGGCAAGACGTTTTGCAGTGCTGATGGCCGTCGATTTTTGCGAGCCGTAATCTTCCAAAGTTTTAGACATGCTTCGATTTTCCGAAATCAATTGAAATAATTCGTCGTCGTGAAGATTGACTGCTTTACTGTACAAGATATCTAGCCACTGGTTTGCCACTCTGGCTACGGATTCGTAACAAGTTTCCAGCGTCAACCCTTCCAAAAACACCTTGAAAATTTCAGACTGGAAATCCTTGATCAGTTTGAGTTCACCACGACGCTTCACCTCAAAACCCTTGAGTTCAGCGAGCGATCCGTCGTCGTTGAATACGGCGTATCGTTTTTTCAGCAGCTTGTCCTCGACTGTGGATGCGGGTAAAATCATAGCACGATAAGGACCGTCGATTTCGAAAAAGATACTGTTTTCGCTGTGCACCGAGTATTCGAGCTTTTCTTCGTCGACCAGTTGTTGGTATTGGTGATTGGTGAACTTGTCGTGGACAAGATGGTTTAACATGGTACAAGGATAGTCGATCTTGATTTTTTTACCGCTTTTTGTTGTAAAGGCAAAAGTCTCGGGGAAACTCTTGGGTAGGATACACCAAATACCATCTGTATCCAACTCAAGTGGACGGCCGATCCGTTCAACGAGTTGTCGTGCCATCTGAATAATGCGTGCACCGGTCAAGCACACGATACCAGCCATCTCCAACGAGTGCCATCTAGCACCCTTACGCATTACATAACCATAAAATGAGTTAAGAATACACTTGTGGGCCAGCTGGAGCGAATCGTACAGGACAATCATCTTTTTGGCTTCGTCGGCTTCCTTGAGCGATCCGCCTGAAGAGGCTTTGTCGAGATTCTGTTTCCATTTCTTGTGCAAGCCTTTGTATTCGTAACGGCGATCACGAAAAGCCTTAACAGTATCGACATAAAACGGATTTTCGCGCTGACAGATGATATCTTCTCGTTCGAAGGTTTTAGTTTCGCGCACCTTTTTATAAACCTTTTTACTATAATCAGTCAGACGTTTGCGGATCATTGTGCTCTGCTCGCCATCTGTTAATGCATGCCATGGTCGTGGAGGATCTGTTGGTCTCTTTGGCGGGAACGTTTCGGTACTCAACTGGTTGCGAATCATCATGTATTCGTTGCGTTTAGCTGGAAAATATTCACCACGCCATGACCAAGTCATGCGTCGATCGCACGTTTTGTCTGGCAAATTGAATTCGCATGTTGCACACATGGATTCATCGATCATAGAGTCTGGCTGTAGTCGGTTGGTGAGAATGATATTTGGATACATGGCTGCGACGTCAAGATGGTAAATAAGAGGGCCTTCGTGTCGGATCGGATTATCGCGCAAATCCTCTAGCCTCTTTTTGATGTCGTCGTACACTTCTTGATAGTTGGCAATGTTGTCAAGTTTCTGCTTCTCTTCCACTTGAAGTGTGAATTTCAAAGCAGAGTCGAGCTGATCAATGAGCTAAATTATGTTTTTACAGTTATGTTAATAAGCGTATGCGCTACTGTTACTTTGTTGAGGAGTTTTGAAAGAAACGTTACATACCTGTTGTGCCGCTGATGGGTCAACTTTGAAATGAGTATCTATATCGCTTCGAAATACACCAGCTTCCAGCGCTTCGACGTGACCACCAACGTATGTTTCGCTCTCGAGTAAATGTCCTTCAAACATTTTGTTGGTTTCTTCAACATGTTTGTTGGGTATAATGACACTGACATTGTACGCTTCGACCTATAGCAGCAAGATTAGTACTTGATGGCATATACTCAAACGGAGACAGAATACGTCATACGCTTCACACGTACCATTAACAACAACTCGCATAGCGTGCCTGTGCCTTTACGCAAAACTTCATCTGGTACGAGGGGAATAATGTTACAAAGCGAAAAAATGAAAGGATGGACATATTTCATGTAGAGATAGTAAGTGGCAACAGCATCGGAAACTGAGTATTGTGCAAGTGTTTGTGGTTTTTCAGCGGCGAATCTAGTATGCGGTAACAAGAATGTATAAATACCTATACATACATCATCGCCAAAATCTCATTGTTTGCATATATTACCTAGTCATGTCTTCAGGATCCAGTTCCATAGGATTGTAGCCGAGTTTTGCTGTGGTAACGGCCTTTAAACCTTGACTGCCTTGTGGTAAATATGAATCACGCTTCACCCATCGGAAAGCATCCATGTGTGATGCGTGTTTGCACTTGTATTCATCCTCTTCATCTTTATAAACACCAATTTCCTTTTATTGATAAAGCCATCGTAAGTAAAAGTAGCCGATGATCTTCCATTTAACAATCCCTTAACCACTTACTTCATACATATCCATGCCGTTAGCTTTTGCACGGGCTTCAATAAAGGGCCAATCGAAAAAGTCACCGTTATAAGTTACATAGATGGTAGGCTTGGCTTGCTGAATGTGTTCGAAAAACCGGCGAATGACCTCATACTGAAGGTAGGAAAGGGATCGTGTGTTAGATAAGTATTGTAGCGCGCCCCCTCGTCTTCTTTTTCATGGCATCCCTTCCTTCTTATTTCTCGTTAAACGATATATACCTCGTTTGCTTCATTAAAGATGGTAAATTCACCTTGATATTCGGGTTTTGGTGTATAATGGAAATCTGCAATATCTTCACTGACAATTTCTCTATTGGTGATGAGGTATCCCTGCAGCGTTCATTACAATTGAAATTAGTAAAACTCGCATCCTTCAATATCTAGAAATACTCTTTTTTGTTTATCATGTCCTGACATCTTACATTCCCATCGATCATATATGAAATCATCATAATGGAGTCGACTGTTGCATCAGGAAATTTGAGGGGTGATTTGGTGGTTTCAATATCGAACGCCATCGTGACAGGATCAGGACGTTGGACAAGATCCTCTCGCCGAGTAAGGACTACAGTTTCATCCGGCATAGCTTTTGCTGTATACCAAACTCCCACACGGATATCTAAAAATGTTGCCAGTCAATATTAGAAATTCACATTTTCAGCGCTCCCTGTGGCTGCTTTAAGCTAAGAAATTGAAACTTACTCAGATCAATGGCAACTCGAACATAGTAGGGAACATCATATTCACGAATGTCAATGATGTTCTCGATCGCCTCATTAAAGTTTTTCCGTGAAGACATTGATGCTAATCCAGATCCTGGATCATAGCGGATATGATTTGTCTCACTAAGTTGAGAGAAAGGTGTAAGTGTTACACACAATATGTTCATCCACCCCGTACCCCTCTTTTCGCAAGCTTTTTTTTTACCTGACTACTTCCGCATATGTATCCACGGCGTTGGTTTTTTCTCGATTCTTCTGGGCTGCTGGTAATAAGATTTTTCGTACAGACAATAAATCCGAGACATTGCGAAAAAATAGTTGAATCAAGACTCGCTTTCGACCGATAAGATGGTTTGGCTACACGAGGAAGTAAAGAAAAATGCTCTAATCAAACGTGCATATAACTGCTAATCATCTTTTATAAAATTATGCATACCATCTTCAAATCCTCTCTTTGCACTCGCTTGACTCGTTCGATTGTATTTTCAAAACGTCGTCGCAAGTATTCCTCCACTTCACCTTCTGTGCCAGGCTTAATACACGTATGTATTGATTTAGTATTGACGCTTTCCCTCCGTTTCGCTCTTTTTTTGTGAGCTACGAGCTTTATTTACCTTGCAACCAATGTAAAAGTATGGGCTATGTACAAGTGTCACTTTGAAAGTTTCTCCATTTTCGTCTAAAAAGTAATAGTCTACGCCTGCACGACCACCTGCCCATTCTGGATCTGGTACAAGTGTCTATATATAATTTCGACCATTCATTCCCAAATGAATAACATTTCTACCCAAAGGAGGCAATGGGAAAAGAAAGAAAAAGTATGGTTACCGCGTGCATATTAATGAGCCAACCAAGACGCTCAGGTCCACTATTATAACGTTCAAAGCTGAAGCGTTCCTCTAATGCATCGAGACGCTTAATTTCTTCGAAACGTTGATCGAGGTTGCTGGGCGCACTCTCTGTTCCTGAAGGTAAGCCGTATCGCTGAAGAGATGTGTTGGCGTGAGTGGATCCCAATCGGCCTCGACCTGAACGGCCGCGGGCGCCTCTACCACCGCTGCCGAATTCACGTCGTGTAGCCATGTGAAATTAGAACAGCAAATATATGGTTTATATATTGTATCTGTGCGTGTAGTGTAAAGAGAGGGGGAAGGGAGCAATTATACTGTGGAAAAAAAGGTTGAAGAAAAAAAAAGTTGGGTAGCATGGTAAAACTCAGTTTCGCGTAACGCGATTTCACGCGACGTGACCGGAATCATGTCTCAAGCGCACACGCGCTACGACGCGTTGTCCTCCATATCCGTTTAGCGTTGGGCAGCATGCATACATACTCGTGGTTTACGAAGGTAATTTATGCCACGTTGACCCTTTCCGAAGATCAATGTAAGCTGTATTACTGGTACTATGATATGTAATAAGTACTTAAAGATGTCGTGGAAAATTAACTTTACGTGCGTCGATAGTGAGCATGTGATCGCGTCCTTGCGGTACAGAGTGGGAACGGAATTTTAAGAAATAGAGTGCGATAACTGAAATCCGTAAGTTAGCCAAATTACGTAGTGTAGGGCTTAGTACTGTAAACGTATACCTTTGACTACGCGAAAGAAGGATGATGTAAGAAAATGGACATATATCTGGTGTTGGAGAGGACAGGTTTAATTGCGTTTTCTTGAGATGAAGCAGGCAGTGGCGAAGGCTGTGGTAGCAACGCATCATTTATTTCGATACTGATTCATCGTTGATATAGCTACAAGTGGGTTTAGTTTGAGAGATTGATTTATAGGGAACACGGGTAAATGACAGCTACAGTATGTCTACTATCTGGTCGAATAACATCGGCTTTGCCAATAAGTGTGACGTCGCACTTCTACTGTAAATATACAGTGCGAAGAAAATAATCTGTAAACGGTGTATTTGAACAACTTAGTTCAGCGGATGAAGTGTCAAATATGGTTTCACATCAATAGCTAGCTGGAAGGAAACCTTTGCTACAGCAGCTCTCTCTTAGTATTTTACAATAATCTCTCATCTCCACTTGCTTTTTGATACCGCGAGCTTTTTGCAACTTCCAGTAGTGATGGAAAGGGCCCGATACATGTCCTGAAGCAGCTTGTCTTGCCAGCCCTAGAAAAAGCCGACAATACGAAAAATGACTGGAGGAAATCTTTAAACCGAAGACTGCTGTTAATGACAGGCACAGTGGTCATTCGTTCCAAAACATCCGCGGCTTGCATTTACGGAGAAACTTGTTTGAAGCAATCTTGTAACCCTTCAAAGAAAGCCGGATACATTACACTGTACTGGAGGGGTATTTAGCATCGATTTCTAAAGGTACAGTATACTTCTTGCAACTTTGTCACTTTTGTTTCCTTCTTCTTACTGGAAAAATATTTTGCACGACATCTTTACTTTACTACCTGCATCCCAACTTGGCCCCTCGTGTCAAGGCTGGAACCAACAGTGCTGTGGCTATTTAAGGACGTTGTGTGCTTTTGCGCTTACCGGCGAAAAGAAGTCTATCATATCAATTCCATTCGCATCTTCTACATGTAGCATCTATTCTACACTACAATTTTTGCTCACTTCTTTTGTCGCTTATTCATTATGGCTACTATGTGTAACTTAGCTAAAGCCAGTTACACCATGATGCGTCCCTAGTAGCAGGAATATGAAAAAGAGGGATGAGTCAGCAATCTATTCGTTTCTATCAATAAGATAGAAAGCAATTGTGTTTTATCCAGAACAAAGAAACAATTAAGATAACCGGAAGCAGTATCGACTCTGCAGCATAAACATCTCCATTGGCCGACTCGCTATATCTGTAGCTCGCCATTTTTTTGATTCGAAGTCGAAATCGAAAAATAATTACAAGTAGAGGATATAATATATGCGGCGGACACGCTATTTTGGGAACATGTTATTATGTACTATGATATATTAGTACTACGTCGAGGTTACCAATGAACTTGAGACCTATTACTTATCCGTCAGATGAAAAATAGATTATGCAAGTTTCAATATTTTTTGTATTGGAATTCGCATATGATATTACTTGTCGATGACAATTTACATAGAAGGGCATGAAAGAAAAAGCAGGGATCATACGTATGCTCATCTTACGAAGCAATAAGTTTTTCATTGCTACACATTTTTTACTCTATTTTCTTTTCTTGATTGCACCTTTTTGACAGCATACTATTTTTTTGCAGCAGTTCAATGTATAATTAAAAATTAGCGACACGGAACCGTCCTGTTAGAGTTGACAAGCATTTAAATTTGGGCTAATGTTATAGCGAGACCGGTGGAATGTGCTTTTTTCTGGCTAATTAAACGAAAACGCTCTAAACAGAGCTGATGATATTATATTCGAGATTACAATTATTGTGGTACTACTGTCAAATATTTACCTAGTTGCTTTCTCAGCCCGCCCTCCCATTTTTCTAGTTTTGCATTCTGCTAAATTTCAGTCCTCAAAGCATGATCTCGTCAATATATGAATATGGGGCTGCAGCAGCAAAAAATGCAACAATTGCTGCTTTGGTTCGTGGTCCAATCCCACGACATGTCGGGTTCATCTTGGATGGCAATCGACGTTTTGCACGAAAAGTGGGTGCTTCCAACACAAAATTCGGTCATTACGAAGGATTCAAACATTTAAAAACGGTACACAATTATTTTTGTAGCGTTTATCCAGAAGAGAAAGAGAGAATATGATTTACTAATGAGATTTTTGCCTCTATTGTTCACTTTCTCTTTTTTGATAAAAGGTGCTTGATTTTTGTATGCGACTAGGTATTCAGTCGGTCACTGTGTTTGCGTTCAGTATCGAAAATTTCAAACGATCGGAAGAGGAAGTGGCCTATTTAATGCAATTGTTCCGTGAAGCGTTTGCAATCTTTTCGGAAAAGAAGTAAGCTGGCTTCTATATATTTTTGTTTGATTTATCTGTATGGGATCCCATCTTGCTTATAACAAACATATCCATGACATTACTTAGTGAGTTGGTTGATGAGTACCAAATCGGCATTCGAGTATGCGGTCACCTTAGCTATTTGCCACCAGATGTCGCAGAATTAGCACACAAGGTCATGGACCGGACAAAACATAATACAGCGTAAGTGGATATGCCTAGTGCTTTGTTGCTATGGATATGGAAAGCGTCGCTATAAGATACTTGAGAAAATGATGTTACCTTTAGTAACAACGGGGTTGTCATTCTTTATCTTCATCACAACAACAATAGACGATACTTTAATATTTGCTGCCCATATACCTCACGAGACGAAATGACCACGGCCATCAAGGAAAATGTACGGCTTGTAGAACAAAATAAAATGAGCATAAAGTAAGCGACTACTAAAAGCAAATGGCACAAAGATTAGCAGCTACAAAGGATTTTGCTAAAATGACTCAAAATAGTGACATTACTGAGGAATCGATACACAATCATTTGTATACCTCAGCAAGTCCCCCTTTAGATATCCTTGTACGCACATCTGGTGAAATAAGACTCAGTGACTTCTTGCTCTGGCAGGTACGTATCATACACATACACATGATCATTGCTCTCTACGTTGTTAGGTTTGAGCGGCCCAAGAAGGGTCTATAAAGAGAGGGGGGAGAATAGGAAGGGTACGAGGTATTACATCACATGGAGAAGGGGAGAGAGACCTGAGGAAATTCTCACCCTTATTTATAGGCGAGCGATCAGTGTCAAATTCAACTTTTAAACTGCTTTTGGCCAGAACTTACGTTCTGGAAATTCTTGCCCATACTACTGGAATACCAAATATATCACAGTGCATCATCACGTAGCAATAATAACAACACTACTAATAATACTACGGCCATCGAAATAAAATGACCAAGCAACACTACTTGCTACCCACGCACGAATACACTATCCACATGCTATATACTGATATAAAGCTTGCTACGACAAACTCTGTGCTGTGTTCACAATACGTGGTAGAGAAACTATTTATGTCATTATACAATATTGACAGAAAATAATTCGTTTTAAATGATTTCTCTGCATTGTAATATGGAGGGCTATTCACTAAACATTTTTGGGTGGAATACCATGCAATATGATAGCAGAATCAACCTATCATTCATTTTAGGGACGTCTGCAAACATATTTTGCTTCCGTATTGTCGTTTATCCTTTGATCTACAGTCTTATCATCATTCTCTTGTGCGTGCCAGCCCCACATTATCTTTTTTGTTTAGTGATAAAACCACACACCGTTTCGAGCGCTAACCCTTCAATTCTCTCTCTCTCTCTCTCTCTTTCTTTTGAGCTTTTTAAAGACACTCTTGCATTGCATAACTGTGTTGCAAAGGACTGTCTGAGCTTCGAAAAAGTTCGAGCCCAAGGTAGGTCCCGATGCTGAAAACCTTACGAGTAAAAAGATGATAGCAACAATGCTCGACCACGAAAAGCATACAGCGGTAAAGATGTAATGGCTAGTTTTTGAGTTAATGTAGTAGAACGTCTTAATCGATACATACATTTTATCACTCTGCGGTTCGTTAACTAATTACAGAGCTCCATGATAGCCATCTACCAACTTTTCAGGTTTGACTGTCCAAAACGAGTAAAACATTCGCTTAATGATTGGTCGACTAGATGGGTGTTCTGGATAGACATCACGATAACATGACCATACTACAGTACTTTCAATACTTTCTTTCTCAATCCGAGCGATAGAACACACACAGCCATATATAAAAATAAATAAAATTACTTTATTAATTATATTAAAATATAGTATAGGTAGTAAAAATAGTGATAGGAAATGACCATGATAACAAGATATTTTTTTAGTATTTCATTCCAGAGAAAAGTTTACTAAGAGACTCCTTTTTGCTGACAATGGATCGCATCACAAAGTTCCGCTCCTTGACGGAGCCTTTTTCGGCGCAACCACCAGCGCTACCACCGTGTCGAAGTGCAGACGTCGAAGACGACGGCATCATGTTGGGTAAAGCTGGTCTTGAAGCCGAGTATGACGAGAATGAGGATCCTGTCCAAGACATGGCGGCTACCTTACTCGGAAATGATTGACTTTTGGTAATGGTAGGAATCTTGCTTTTCAATGGCTGTTGTTCTTTTTGGGCACCGTCAAGACCAGATGACGTTGAAGATGACGAGGAAGATAACGAGTCGCGATAATGATCCGGCTTTGAAGAGGATGAGGTGGCGGATGTGCCAGCACACCTAGGCGCAAGATTTTTGCTGATGGGTCGGAAGGCAGATATACTGGACTCACTTCGGATGATGGTATTGGCCACGCCCATTGCACCATAAGTGCTCACCAAGGCATTGTATGCTTCATCTGAACCGGCTTTCTCATTATTGTCGTTGTTGTGCCCTTGCTCTTCTTCACTGCTTTCGTCCAGGTATTTGCCGCTGTCAGAGAACTTGCTATCCTTGGTCAACAACCCTTGAGTTTCGTCGTCATACTGTTGCATTTCTTCCACCATGGTTTTGTCGGGTGCGGCAGCATTCAAATAGCTCATGCTCTGGTTGTCCTCAGTTGAGCTTTGGTCACTGCTGCTGCTTGGCAAAAGTCGCGTATCTTCGGCATCACCAGCTGACAGACTCTTCTTTGGCACTGGACGATAGCAAAATGTACATGAGGATGATGATGTTGATTGCTGCTGTCGATGGGGGTGTTGATGTTGACGGTGGCGACGATGAAGTTGACTCGTATGACCGTGATAGTTATACCAGCTTCTCCACTGCGATTGCTTATTATTGGCGTCAAGCTTACTACCGTCGTAATCCTCTTCCTCTTCTTCTAGTTCTTCTTCGGTCCAATTCTGCTGCGGATGGTAATAACGATGGTAATTGGTGGCTGGCGCAAATGAATTGAAGCAGCAGTTGTTTGATGTCGAACCAGAACAGTTGGGTGCAGATGGTGACGGAACCAGCCGGACAGGACGTCGAGCACCAGGCGGCGACGTAGCAGCATTTGTAGCCATCACAGCAGCAGCTTGGTGCTCGATGGTTTGAAGCGATGGTTTCTTTCTCAGCTTGTCGTGGGTCCAATCGTTCGTATTCGGTTGGCCACCGGTGATACTACTGCCATTGCTACTGTCTGTCTGATGTTTACGGAGCAACGGTGCGTGCATTTCTTGCTCCTCCTCGTCGTCCGTTGATAATGCTAATGAGATTCTTGGGACCGTCGTACCTTTGTTGGCAACCAAACCCTTGGGCGCGTCCTGTACAACAGGCACTTTCGGAAGGCTGGCAAGCGAGGGAGAATGACGAGGCCGCCATTGAACCGACCCGTCCTCGCTACTACTACCACTACTGCTACTGCTGATGTACTGCTGATGTCCTGGACGCGGCGATATCCAAGGCGAAAACAAGGGGACATACCCTTTCTCTTCTTCTCGCGACGCGCTGGAATAGTGACTAAACAGCATTTGGCGTGTGTCGAGTGTGCGCTGCATCAATCGAAGACTGACAACGTTCATGGCACGTACCGCTTCACTAAGGCTTATTGTGTCACGTCCGTTCCATGCCTGTGCACACTCTAACATGTGCTGGGAATCCATCCATTGTTCTTCGAGGTATCGTCCAATGATATCCATATGCATTGGATGATTGACTCCAGGCCGCGTTGTAGTGTTTACGTTGCTAGTGCTGTCGTGTTTGTCAGTGCTAAAAGCGCTGACACTGCTGCTGCTGCTACTCACGTCACCAGGTTTTGTAGGTCCATTCATCGTCGTCGTTGCGGACGTGTCATTGTGATATTGTTGTCGCGTCTTGTGTAGCAACTGCTGGGTCCAATGCTGAACGAGTTGCTCATATTCCTGTTCGATTCTCGGGTCATAAGGGTCATGTAAAAGTGGGATACTACGTGATGGAGAGTAAGGATTGGAGGGATTGGTAGTGGAGCTGTTGCTACTATTGTTCGAATGATTGGAAGGGAAACTACGTGTTGCGGCCGGCGCTAACACTTGTTCAGAGGCACAGAGCATCCTGCTGTTTCTCTTGAAAACGAAGGAAATTGGTAGAGAACGAGTGTAAGGGAGAGATAAAGGCTTCTGATGTGTGTGTGTGTGTGTGTAATGTGGTTAAAAGTGATGGAAGGAAGGGAAGGACGACAGTTAAAAGAAGAGGCGAGTAAAATAAAAAACCTCTTTCTATGTCTCTCTCTGTGTGTGAGAGCACTAAAAAATTGCATACAGTTTTGTTCTTATTAAAAAAAAAAGTAAGGATGCTCCGATGCTACAGCAGTTGATCCTTATGCATTCCTTTAGACCCTTTGTTTGACGAAAATCATAGCCCCTTGATATTAAAATCTTGAAGTTTACGCGTATGCATTACCCTGTTATTCTCTTTCTGCCTTTGCGCTGTATCCATCAGGACCCATCATAACCATATCATAGATACATGAGTAGCATTCAATCGAAGTTTAGAACAGTGACTACATCTACGCGTAGTAGAGGAATAAAACAGGGATCACGATCGACACACTGTCCCACATCACTGATTGTGGCTATTTCAGAAGACGGAGAGCCGATCATCAGGTGTGTTGTTCCCAGTATGTATACGATGAGATAATGCAGACAGCATTCCGTGACTATTTCCTGGTGCTTTCCAAATGTCAAAAACAGTCATTGAAATGTGTGCGATATTCTGAGCATGTCAGTGCATATTTACATGAAAGAATATAAGCAGACGACAACATGCACTTTTATTAAGCAGCAGCAGCAGTCATGCACATATTATATGCTTTTTTTCTTCTGCTTACCCGACGATCTTTAACTTTAGAGCGTCGCGTCCATTTTTTGGTCTCGATCTCTATGTCAGTTTCAGCAGAGAGAGAGGGAAGGGAGAGAGAGAAAGCATGTAATTTAGACAGCACAAAATAACGCATGTCTTTTCATGTCTCTTGAAGAAGTATTAATCCATACAACATGAAACAAGTCAAGGCAGCAGCAATGATGGCTACACAAGACTTTCTGTTTGTTTGGATGTTCCCAGGAGTGGTTATCTTTTTTTCGCACTTGAAAAATAATAATACGCCCAACAACTTTTCTCTTTCTCTTTTTCCTCTGCCTCTTTATCTCTCATGGCTCCCAAAAACTCAAAGAAACAAGAGGCGCCACCGTGCGCTGCTACAGAAGAGAAGCAGTTGAAATCGCGATATTTTTCTGAAGGTAGAAGAATATGCTTGGCAAAGTGTACATGAAGGGCCCCGCCTCGCGCTACAGATATTCTTTTGACAGAGTAGTCTTTTTTCCTTTCCTAATAAACTACATGCGATAAACATGATAGAGAACGTTAGTGTGAACCATAGTCATCCTACAAAAATCGTTCACTGGAAACTAGTGCCTGTTCCAGACAACATCCGTATTGCTCCAATCTTGGCAAGTTGAAAGAGAAAGATATACACAGACTCTTCGGACATGATCTAATTTAGCTTGACACCGGTGGTTCAAAATTTTTTACATGTACAGGGCCGCGTACGCCTGCTTGCCGAAACCGCATCTGCATTGGATGATGACGAATCCATAAACGGAACCAAAGATGATCAACCTTCCTTGCTCACAATGACTATGCTTGAAAGGTGGCATCCGTTTCTCCTATATACGTAGTAGAACATTATGATGATAGTCACCCGCAAACCAATTTGCTAATCAAAACAATTACTTCTTCTCTTTTCCATAATCAGCCAAAAGATTGAAACTGTACGTAAGCAAAGCTTTTTCAGTGAAGAGCTGACAGAAGAAGAGCGCGACATTGTTGCCCAACGAGTGGCGTTGCAACAGCGTCAGTTTATGGAGTATGAACGACGTGAAAAAATCCGCAAGTCTAAAAAGGTGCGGGCCATGTTTGAACATGTTAATGACGAAGAAATCCAAGAAATGCTACTTGACTGTGACGAGGATGAAGTAATGAAGAAAGATTATCTCTCCGTTTCTACATTTTATTTGGGAGGATTTTAACAATTAGAAATGATAGGATGAAGTCATATATCGGCTCACAAAACCTGGGTATCTACTGGAAGTACGAAAGCAGGTTGCATCGAAATATGTCCATGAAGAGCATTATACAAGTAATTACATGTCGACCTTGATGAAGTCATTTGCTACTTTTTCATGAAAAGGAAACGTCGTTATCTCTACAATCACTTAACAACTTTAACACCATTACAAAAACGGAATCTGTTGACACAGGTCCGAAGATGACGGATGATCAGAAGGTTGCCTACCAGCAGCTATTGAAAAAACGGTCGGAGACTCTAAAAAAGACAACTAACGATAACGCCAAAAAGTAAGCGCTACGAACACATCGTTGACAAAAGAGATAAATGGATATGTTAAGGATCTGCATATGCCAAACACATTAGTCTGATGATATCTTTAAAGACAATACCGCATGGGAGGCAGACTGGGTCTCGATGAAGCACTGCAGCAAGTACAGAAACACCAAGAAATCGACCCAGAGAAAGCATTTGAAGGATGGTCGCAAGCGCGTATCCGTGCGTATCAAATGATTGACCAGAATCCAAACAGTTACTATTATCGATTCAATGCGCCCGGTGAAATTCAGCGTAAGGGACAATGGACAGAGGTGCGTGTGGCCCATTACTACTATTGCTCATAACCCGCTCGTCAATCGGCAACACATAACCTACAAACAAAAACATATGAAGTTAACGACAACACCGTTCAATGACATATAGGAGGAACAAAAACTATTTTACGAACGCCTTGCTGAAGTCGGCGCGAATGGACAATGGGGACTCTTCAGTATGAAGGTTCCAGGACGAGTGGGATACCAGGTAGATCATTTTCTAAAACTCTCCGTGATGCTAACCCCAAGGAACAGAGGGATTGAGAAGGCCAGACTTCTCAATTGACACGTTTTAAACACACACACACACACACACGTGGGAAACGTGTATGTCGTTCTAGTGCTCGAATTTTTATCGGCTGTTGGTGGAAACCAAAAAGATTAGAGATCCGAACTATGTGTTGGACGAGCGGGGCAAAGCGCATTATCTTTTTGACAAGAAGAACGCCAATGGTCAGGTCCAAAAGACGTTTCGCACGCATAGCAAGCATTCGTCGGGTAATCTTCCGCCGATCCCGGCTTCTTACACAGTGGGCGAAAGTAGCGGTAGTGGTAGCAATCATAATGCCACTGGTCCTGCTGTTGCTACATCGCCAGCATTCGCTACACCACCACCACCACCACCATCGGCATCAACAGCAGCAGCCAATGCTACTGCTAGTACCTCAAAGACCAAAACAAGTCGAGGCGCTTCAGCAAGCAAGAAGAAGGACGAGAAGCAGCAAACCAAACCTAAAACAACATTGGGCCAGCGGCGCCGCCGTCGTCGGGATAGAAGATGGTCTGGCGGTTCTGGTGAAAGTGATGATGGGTCATCCGATGATTTTATCGGTTATGATAATGATCGATCCGGAAGCTATACTGTACGCATGCACAGTAGCAATAACAACGACGACAGTTCACAAGACTATTCGGATGACACGCGACGCAAAAGTAAGCGACAAAGACGACCGACCCGACTTGCGATGGAAGCGGGCCTGGTACCAGGAAATAATAAGAAAGCGTCCGGGACGGCAACATGTTCGTGGAACGCAATTAAGAACAGGGGAAGAAAGAAGAAGAAGCCCAAGCACGAGCCTTCACCTGAATCTCCATCGACTAGCACACCGTCGCCCAAACAATCATCCGGTGATGATCATTCTGGAACGGTTGCAACAACGTCGTCTGCTACTATTGCTAGTAGCAGTGCAAATGTTACAGGTGCTTTGGCTAAGCCAACATCATATTTACGTGAGCAAAGCAGTTGTGCCGAAGAAGAAGAAGAAGAGGCCGCTGCCGACGACGACGACGACGACGACGAGGAAGACGACGAAACAAGGTTTGCAAGATCAACAAACCCACTTTCAAACTTTATTGATCCGATTACCTTGGAAGAAGTGATCAAGCCAGCAATATCAAAATATGGTCATGTGATGGGGTCAGTTTAAGCAGGCCATTCTATAACTAAAGATTTAAAGATGTCCTCATGATTGTTTTAGTATGATTGTATCAGCACGAACACACTTTCTGACAAAATCTCTGTGTTATATATATAGATACGATAGCTGGATGCGCTGTCTAACAAGGTGGGAAGGTCAACGAAACATTTGTCCTTTGACTAAAAGACCGCTGACAAAACGTGACCTAGGTACGTGCCCTCTTGCTGACCAATGTTTTTTCTTAAAGTCATGTCTAAAAAAATGTGTTATATATTTCACAAAACAGTTATTTTGGACTTTGACAATATCGAAGAGTATCGGTCAGTAGTAGTAAATGAGTACCTCATTTTGTGGTCAGCAGCTACAAACGAAGGAGCGCCTCAACAACTTACCAAAAAACGTTGTGTATTTTTTTCATAGGTCTCGCATCGTCAACTTGTGAGAGAATTTCTTTGGAGATGATACATAAAGTGCGTGTATGTCAACCACCCAACCCAACTTTTCCGATACACATGTATCAAATGCACTCACACCTATTCACTCCCCCCCCTAAAATAAATCAATTCCGGCTTTCCCCGTTCCGAAAACAAGATATGCATAGTTACTTTTTTGTTATCTGTTTTTTTTTATAAATAATCATGACATGCTAAGGGGGTTTTTTTTTCTGTAAAATAATATTATGTGGTAGTAGTTGCTTTGAGTGATGATGTTACGTGTGTGGAGGGTGGGAGAACAAATGAGATCAGCAACCCGTTTACCACCGGCGGTTGTGGTTGGCGAAAATCAGAAAGAGAAATAGATACAGTCGCACGGATTCTTTTGTATATAAAAAAAAAGGGAGGAGGTACCATACATGGAAGAAAGGTAGGAAAAGGTGCTACTTTCCCACACGGTTAGACACCGCCGCCACTACGACTATAGAACCAAAGCAACAAAATTATTTTTTTTTTCTTTTTAGTCCGTTTTATGCTTTTATATCCAACGGATGATAACTTCTTACCTCACGTCCCGTAAGCCAATACCGCGATTGCGTTCTCGCCAGTCTGCTCGAATACGTTCCATATTTTCCGAGTCATGCGATGGCTCTCCGGAGGGTACGAACCTCAGCGGCTGCGCAGAGGTCTTTCTGTTGTTCAACGTATAATAGGTCGTTGCTGCTAAGAGCGTAAGAGGTACACTCCTTTATTATGAAAAAAAAAAAAGCAAACCAAAGCTCATAAGTGTCAAATTAATAGTTTGAGATGTTTCTGTTTGGCGGTGTTGGAGAAAGGGAGATAAAGGAGGGTCGTTGTTGTTGCTGCCGCTGGTCGACGATTGATAACATCAACCAATTACACAACCTACCAGTATAAGGCAGAGCCATGAACGTGTCTGGGCATTCTGTTTGTATGTGTATATATATAACTTGATATTAAAGATTGAATAAAAAAATGTGAGAGGGAGAGGGGGTGGAGAGAGGGAGAAAGTGCGAGAAGGAAGAGAGAGAGAAGAAAGAAAGAAGAAAAAAAAACTGGTCACACCACGTTCAAATTTAATGCAGATGCTATTCTTCGGTGAAACCAGCTTTTACCATGGCAGTGATAATGTGGCGGGGTAACCTCCCTCTACTATATACTCCTTTTCCTCCCTCCACCTTCCACCATAGCAATTTTTACGTTCTTGGTTGGTACAGCTAGCTTCATCGTCATAGAATTTCATTACCATGACACTGGCATAATATTGCTGTTGTTAGGCAACACATTGTCACTAAGCAACGCACACTATTTAATGCCATGGTTACGACAACAATGGTCTCGGGGAGAAAAGATCTAGGGATTGTCTTTATGCTCACGTCAAATTGCGAGATCCTGTGACTCAAGTCTTTCAATACTGCTTTACACAACATCTGACTGAAAAAGCTCAGTCGCGCAAAAATAAAATAAAGGTAAGAGAGGGAGGGAGCTTATATATCACAAGTCTGGTGATTTTTTATTTTGTTTGTTTCAACGGAATCTGCGCTCCCGGCACATCGGAACAACTATTTCGCTTCTTGTAGGCTTTTTCTATTAAAAATACTCGTGGTATGGTGGGAATGTATTTATGTGCAGAAGTATTATACATGGTCTTTATTACAGACAATTGTTTAATTCACTTCTCTTCAGTTGGACAGTCCTCCCAGTAGCGCAAAGTAATAAAGAACTAGTCATGTCTCCTCGCGTTTATTACTGTCACAAAAGTAATAAAAACCAAATTAGATTTTGGCAATTGAGTAAAAAAGTCATGTCAAGTGTAATGGTATGAAAGTGTATGATTAGACACTACAATATGATGATAGTAGTATCAGTAGTTGAATGGGACCCACAGAATGCTATATAGAATACCGAAAAAGGACGGGTAAAGCATGGGTGCAAAGGTCCAAACACCCGACTGTATACACACAGGCCTGAAATCTAGGAGGGTTCTGCAGCAGCACGCAGTTCTATTTTTGGCAGGTCGTCGTCGGAAAAGTTCCCGCTTCTGGGGTTTTAAACAGGCAGGTACATCGTCGTCGTCCCTTACTTTATATATATGTGTGTGTGTTTGCGTGTGTATACATATACAAAGAGGCTTTTATGTAATATCGTATAGCTGTGGTCTATGTATTCCAATATGTTCGTTCACTTTACACCTCCACCGGAAGAAGGTGGAAAGTATTTATTTGGGAAAGGTCAAAAAGGAAACGAAAGCCAGCAGATCGGCTCTTCTGATTTATAAAATAAACCAACAGCAAAACGATCTTCAAAGAATAGCACCACCACCACCACCACCACTATCCGCAAACACTAGAAGCCGCACAGAGTGGTGTTATAGTAAGCTGTGCTAAATATGTGGAAATAAAAGGGAAGGAGGAGGAAGAGGAGGGAGCGAAGGGGTCTTGGGGGGAGCGGGGGAGGTGGAGGATACACAGAACAGTGAAGGAAGAACAGACTACAACAAGCAATAATGATTCGCAAGTGGAAACACATTGTGCAACCTAGCCTACCTACCTACCTACCTACCTACCTGTTCACCAACGCACGATCCTCTGCTGGCTGTGTGTCTCCTAATGATAGAACGACCCAAACACACCCAAAAACTCCTCTCCACTCTTCCTCTTCCTCTTCTTCTCTTTTCTCACTTGCCCAACCATCCATCAGCTGCACTCTTTCAACCACTTTTAACCCATCAACACACACACACACACACACACACACACACTCAACCACTTACCAGTCACTAGTCACTCGTCAAAAAAGAGACACATCTTTGGACTTGTTGCTCTTTCTTTCTCTTTCTCTTTCTCTCTCTCTCTCTCACTCACTCTCACTCTACTGTCTCTGTCTGCTGCCTACGAATAGTCCCCCACCCCTTTTTTCATATCTTTTCACAAAAGAAAAAAAAAATAACCCTATTGGCTTGTGCCGAAAAAATAACCAATGTCCACCACTGTGTCTTCTTACCGAGCATCCGCATTGACAGACGACAATGACTCATTGCAACAACAACAGCAACAGCAACAGCGACCCACACTTGCAAGCCGTCGTCGCTTTTCTTCCGCTTCCGTCATTGCACAAATTACGCTTTTAGGTTATCCACCCAAGATTCAGCCCCAATCCTCTGCCACGAGGGATCAGGGTCGGGGTGGTCACCGTTCTTCCACTTGTTCCTCTTCTTCCCGCCGCTCCCTTCAACAACACTCACCACCACCACCACCACCACAACTGCCGACACCCACAGAACCTGTCACTAGTAGTGACGGCCTGAACTTTTGTCCTCCGTCAGTTCGGGATTGTGGTGAATTGGACGCTGTTGACCAAGAAGCCGGTTGTATTCTAATTGCACTGGCTAACCATGACCCGAACAAGGTTGTTGTTGCCAAAACAACAGAGCTTTTGACCAAGGTGCGTTTTGACTACGTCTGGCCCAATAATCCTTGTTCAATTCTAACAGCCTCCCTTTTCCCACCCCCCCCCACACTTATAAACACACAGTCTGTGGTAGCAAAGAGCGATTCTGAAAGTACGACGAGTAGTAGCAGTTACAGCAGCGCAACAAGTACACCTACAAAGAGTCCAACAACGAGTAACAGTGGCAATTCAATGTCGATCAGTAATTTGCTAGGTACGTTGCCCCAGAACATCGATAGCTGATATAGGGCCAAGCAGTGGTCTGTTTTTGAGAGAAATCAAAAAGAAGAAGAGTTACTCATAATTTTCCATCCAGGCAATTCAGGCAATTCAGGCAATTCAGGCAATTCAGGCAATTCAGGCAATGGCACATTGACGCCTGTGAGTATCTTTATTGGAAAAAGAATGTGTTTCATGAGAAATGCTTTTTATGGGAAGTGAGGTTGATGTGTGTGTGTGTGTGTGTGCTCAATGGGGGGGGGAGAGAGAGAGAGAGAGCAGGGTATATATGGGGGTGCCCCCCCCGGGGGGTGGTTGTTGCGGAGGGTTTCTGGCGGATGGGGCACACAGTGTGTGGGAAATGCATATATTCAAACTCTCTTTTATTATTTCGTTCAGCAACAAGATGTCCACAGTCCAGGAGTACAGCAGCCGGAGACTGTTAGCAATGGTGATAGTCATACTCACAGTAGCAATGTGACCTGGCAAGAAAGTATGTGTCTTATTACTGACCCTGCCTATCTTTTTTTCCTTGCTCCTCTCTCTCCCACTCCCCCTTTGTATAATGCATCTCTGAAAAGTGTTACTCATCTTGCTGAACATGTCACAACTAAGGTCGGTCCGGTTATGGTGCTACTCATTCGACGACGACGACGACGACGACGACGTCGACAGCACCTGATCTTTCCGCAGAATCAGATCCAATCATGATCTTGGCAGCGGCGGCGGCGGCAGTGAACGAAGAAGATGAAAACAAAGCAGCAGCAGCAGCGGCAGGGTCAGACAGCAGCAATGCCCATTACAATGTCATGCGATCATATGGTAGGAAAACTCGTCATTGTTGGGCGCAAAGAGAAATTGCGAAGCAGAAGGCAAACGTTAGTGTGTGTATATACATCATATAAACAAAACAACATGAAACAGGTTACTCCCATGAGGCATCGGAAGAAGAAGAAGAAGAAGCAAGACCGCCCTCCAAGCGCAAATGGCATCACGGCGGCTATCAGCATCCCCATAATCCTTATAACGATGGTGATGCTACAGTGCCAGCATCGACGGCAGAGGAAGATGATCCAAGCGAGTTGTATAGCGACAAGCGTCATCGTTACAATCATCAAGCAGAGAACACGTGGCAGCAAGATCTATCGACACATGAGGTGAGCAGCATTACTCTCTCTCTCTCTCTCAATGCGGATCGCCAGTATTCACTAACCCCTCCCCCTCCCCTTTTTTTTTCTAGCTGGACAGCCGATCAGGATCCTCCAAGAACGCCTTTTCATGGCAGTACTTGTCCATGGTAAGTGCTGAAGGACATTTTCAATTCAGAGATTTCAAGGAGCAAAAAAGACTCGTTTGCTGCCCGTCGTGGAATCCTTTGGCCCTTTTGTTATTTTGCTCACATTGCAATTGTTTAGAAACAGAACCCGAGGATTAAGCGGAATGCAATGCATGCATACATTACATACATGATCTATACTGATATGACCCATGCACGATCGGTAAGTTGAAAGCGAATGTGAGAGATAAAGAGGACCGCTGGATGCTTTTGTCCCTCCCTTTTTACGGTTATTTTGGGTTGATCAGTCCCCATCAAACTCATCTTTTTTTTTTTTTTCATTTTTAGCGCTCTGACAGCAAGACATTCCCTCTCAAAAGTAGCTATCCACGTGAGAGTGCCGCATCCCCGCCCACTGCAGGTGCTGCCAATGGAACCGGCAGCAGCAGCAGCATATCAGGTGGCAATGGTGCTGCTGCTGGTGGCCAGTATAGTCCCAATCGGGGATACAGATTCCATACAAACGAAGAGGAGCGGACACCGGCTTACAATTACAGGCCAGAGCCACCCATCAATAGCAACGTCACCAATGGTGCCACGAGTCGAGGAACATCAGTAACATCAGTAACAGCAGCAGCAGCAGCAGTAGTAGTAGCACCACCACCACCACCCGCTACGACCACTTTGACCACGGCGACAGCGGCAGCGGAGGCCACTAGCAACAGTGCATCTGCATATCCAACCCCTACACACACCGACATTGTCATGCAGTTTTCCTCAGAGAGTAGCAATAGTGCTGCTGCTGCTACTACTACTACTACTACTACTACTACAGTAAACGTTGCTGGTAATAGCAGCAGCAGCAGCAGCAGCAGTCATCATCATCACCACGTCCATCACGCTCAACATCACAGTAACACGAGCACCAGCAGCCACAACCACTCGCACCATCACAACCACCACCACCACCAGCATCATCCTTCTTCGGCACCGTCCGAGTCGTCTTGGTATCGATCATCGTCCTCTGCATACATGCCGCCACCTCCACCTCCGCCTTCCTCCAACAATGAGCACCAGCGACTACATTCACCCGCGCCTCCTCCTGTGCCACCGCCGGCACTGTCGTCTACAGCCATTGTCGATCGACCGTTGACAGCGTTCTTGTGGGATGATACTACGTCATCATCCAAAGGAGCCCATGTACGACAGGACAGTAGCATTGCTCTTCAGCCATTATCATCTTCGACCCATCCGTTCGCATACAAAGAGAATTGAGCTCGATAACTTTTACAAAAAGACCGAATGGAAATAGGGTTTTCTTACCTTTAGTGTGTTTACTACCGTCATATCTCGTTATCGACACGTGCTTATATTCCCCCCCCACCACCACCACCACCGTGCCCCATCTACCCTTTTTCTTTCTAACCTCACAGACGTGGTGTTTTTGCTATTACATTTTTGCCCTCTTTTTTTTTTTTGTAATCGTTCTCTATCTTTTGTTATCCTTTTTGCGTGAACCGACCTGTTTTTATTGTTTTTGTATACACCAGTCCCCTCCTACCATCACCACACCACATCCTCATTATCCCAGATCTTTCTTTTGAAATGATATTGCGAATGTTCTGTCACAACGTAATGTTACTATAATATTGGGATTGTGGCTTGTTTCTTGATAATGGTGTGGCATGGTTGCCATCTAGCAGCAGAAGCAGTACCACCAACAACAACATTCATACAAAATGAGGAGGATGTTTGTTCAAACCGGTGGAATAAAAACGGTGCGTCGATCTTCTGGAACAGGCATAGTGCATTTTCAGCCAGCCCCGGTTGCTCAAACGCGTGGGGGAGGGGACGTCTACATGACAACACATCGAATACAGTAACTTGTTCGCTTCACCACAACCGTCATTGCTCTTACATAACAATAACCAAAGGTCTGTCGATAGTGCAGTATGTATATACTGTACAGGCTATCAGTACACAGTGGCCCAACCCCTGTCTTTGTTGATGGGTCGTGGTGAAATTAGCAGCACTTGACAGTTTCCATGTCCCCACACAACTCTGGCGGGTGGATAAGCATCCCGTCCCCTGACTCAGGACACAGCACGCTTGCAGAAGCCATCTAAGAGATTTATTGCATTCTATTGTCTGCTACAAAGTATTATTGCATGTGGGAAAAAAGGACGACGGTTCGGCTCACGCCTTTTTTTTGGTTTTGCGAGGAGGCGGTCTTCGAATGCCCCGATCTGTGTGACACGTAGCGATAGCGTCCCGTATCACTTTAAGCAACCCAAAACAGAAAAAAAGCGTAAAAAAAAAAAAAAAACGCCCTCCGCCACCCCCCTCCCCGGCTCTATTCATCTTTTTTTTTTTTTTTTGCGTCACACAGCTTTACTACTACTACTTTCAAAAACATTTAATAATATTTGCTGTTATGATGTAAATATCAAACGCAGTAATAATAATAATAATAATAATAACAATACAACAAGAAGAAGCAATGGAGAATGCGTGTGGGAGAGAAAGATAAGAAGGTGGTCGTGCATCTATCATCATTTTGTGACAAGTGTACATTGTGCTTGTGTAACCGAATGACAGCTAATTTTTTGATTTGGCGCAGGGCGGAAGGCTCCGGTCATGCCCTTTCTCTCTTTCATATAAACGTACACGCACGATTCAAATAGGGCAACTTTTCAAGAATGGGCCCCACTCTCACTCTGTCTGTCGATGCAATGGTCTACAGGTCATGGTCGTTATTCCCTCCTGGGCAGAAAGAGGAACAAGGGAAAGGTTAAGTACGTTCAAAGTCTCTCTCTCTTTGTGTGATCATAGTAGGTATCACAAGAAGAAAAGGGGATTGAGCTAGTATAAAGTATTACATAAAGAAAATGCACTCCATAGGCTGTATAACGCTGCAAAGACAAGTGCTTGAAGAATGAAAACGGTTCCTTGAAGAGGGGGTCCCACGGAGGTGAGCGAAGGGGGTACATTTAGATGACTGAGACTGGGGGTACTGAGTAAGAGGACCCAATAGACCGCCTGGACTGAGTGAGAGAGACTGAATAGATACACACACATCACACACACAACAGCAGCTCGGGCATTGGTGGAGACAACACACACACGCAAGAGAGAAGGAAGGAAGGAGATCCGGGTGCCTCGCCCAATGTGAAGCACTTTTACACAGATTGCACGGTCCTCTTTTTTTCTTTCTCTTTCCTTTTCTCTTTCTCTCCTCCTTCCACACACACACACACACACACACACACACACACACACAATCCACCTCTCCGCAAGTGTTTCGGAGAGAAACCCTCAACTTTCTCAACACTGTTCACTTGTCTCTTTCTCTCCTCCTTTTCTTTCTCTTCATTATTTGCTAGCACAACGGTCATACATACAGTGCGTTGTACCTCATTGCTGCTGCCATGTCGATCGCAAGTGAGGTACCACCACCACCACAACAACCACAGCCACCACCGCCAGCACCCATGCGTAGTGACCCTTCGCACGGAAGCACCGCCTCTGCCGATTCTTCTCGCGTTCTCGGCTCCACCTCCACCGGTCGCACTTCCGCACGCTCCTTGTCCAATAAACGGGCTTCCCATTCTCAGGCACGTCTGATGCTGCGTCCGTCATCTGCCCACAACAACGGCAGCCACGACCACAATCCATCGCCGCCCTCTTCACCGACCGTTCCTGTTCCGTTTGCAGCCGCCCGCGCCACGGAGGCCAGCTCACGGCGACAACGCTCAATATTTAAACCATCTAGCGATATCAAAGTGAGTTTTTATTTTTACTTTTCTTCTCTCTCTCTCTCTCTCACACAAGGAACCGCATCCTCGTCAGCCGCTAATAATCAACGGGCTTTTGTTGCTAGGTGTGGCGGTCACCTGGAGACAACTGTCAGATCCCCGACATCATTAAAGAAGCTTACCAACGCTTCCAACACTTACATCATCACCTATCAAATGCGCATCATCACAACAGCGACGACCCCAATGGAAACATGAAAAAGGAGCCTAGCATACATCTCCACAAGGTAAGCAACAATGAAATCCAAAATGTGGAGTCGCCCGTTTATTTTTATATAATAATATTCGGAACCAGGATCCATGGCGCCCCGTCTTCCGGTCACCTGACATCCTGCCTCTGCCACCCATCACCAAAGCCCCCAAACAACATGCCGTGTTCGACGCCAAGGTCCGCAAGGTTTTACCTCGTTCCAAAATACTGGAACTAAACCCACGCGACATTTACGTTGGCATGGAGCGTGTTGGCAGCGGGTGAGTCCAGCAAGTTCTTTGTCGCCTATTTTTTTTTTTTTTCTTACATTTTACATTGGTTCTTTCAAAACCCCTTTTTGAAAGTACTTTTTTCTATTGCATACATGTTGATGGAAGACTTGTTCTTTTTATTTACTTGCTGTTGGTTGAAAACATTCTCTGTCTTTCTGAGCCATCGCCGTTTATTGTTGTCGTCGTATATCTCCAAATTAAATTAAAAATCACACACACACACACACACACACTATTAGTGCAAACGGAGCAGTGATCAGCGCCAGCAAACGATCGAGTAAGAAGGCGCAGGTGGCGATAAAGCGCTGCTACATTGAAGACCACGACACGCATCACCATACATATATTCTGCGCGAGCTGCGTATCATGGGCTGCATGTCGCATCCCAATTTGATCCAACTGACGGAAGCCTGTATGTGGGGCGACTATCTTTGGATGGCCATGGAGCTCATGACGTGCTCCGTCTTTGGCTTACTCTTCAATGTCAGTGTCGGTCTGCCGGAAAGCTATGCCGTTCGCATTGCCCATGAGGTAAGAGAAAAAGCCCAACTTGGCAGTTGCGGGTTCCTTCGTTACGTGTGACTACTAGTACAAAGATGCTAAAAAAAAAAGAAAACACCCGTATGCAACATCATGTACAGTGTCTGGAAGGGTTGGTTTATCTTCATGCACGCAACTACATGCATCGAGATGTAAAGTGCGAAAACATCTTGCTGAGCCGCAGTGGCCAAGTCAAGCTCGGTAAGACACACCGATATCCAATTTGCCACAATTTCCACGCGGTAACAGCCAAAAACTTTTTGGATGGGAAATTGATGATGATGCTTTGGTTTTTTTGTTTATATCTGTTTTTAGCTGACTTTGGACTTGCAACGCCTTTGAACAAGACCAATTCTGCGCGATTGGGCACTGCCAAGGTAAACTTTAAAAAAACAAAGAGAGAGATTATCTTTTTTTGTTAATCGCGCCTACACTATAGTGGATGGCTCCAGAAGTGGTCTCAGAAACGCCTTATACAGAAAACGTTGATGTCTGGTCACTCGCCATCACCATCATTGAAATGATGGATCGTGTGCCGCCACTTTACTATCTGGATGGCAACCGTGAGATCTTTGCAGAGATCCTATGCGGCCAGCAGCCAAACTTTAATTTCACCATGCCTTCGCCTGCCATGGCGGAGCTCATCAGTTGGATGTTGCATCCTGATGGAAAACGCCGGCCAGGCGCCAAATGCGTATTAACGGTACGTTTCCTTTGCAATCTTATTGGCCTGTTAAACTTGTTTTCTTATTCGCGGGATATATATATATATAATATATAGCGCATCAAGCAAGAAATGATGGCCGGAGGACTCAAGTGTGCTCGTCCTGCCGATTTGGGCGCACTTGTCCAAGAAGTCTTTCCAGAACAGCAACAGAAACAACAGCAGGAAAAGCCAAAACTATAATATTTTTGTTAATTAATGATGATGATGATACATCCGTCCCACTAGCCTGCCTATCCGGTTCTCTTCCGCCACAGTAACACCCCCCCCCCACACACACACACACCTCCCTTATTGCCACCAACAACAAAAGAAAAAGGTCATCTTGATTCTTGTATATACAACGATTCTCCATCGCATCGTCTTTATCTCTCTGTACATAGGTACCTCCGCTTCTTTACCCACTCTTTCTATATTTTTATATAATATTCTATACTCTAAACTTCTTCCTGGTTTTTCTCTTGTATCAATAGTTTTCCATTTAACAACTATTTAAAAAAATATTTTATTACATATACTGACGACGATGATGATAATGAGTGCCGATGATTTGGATTTAGCTTGGTTGGTTGGTTGGTTGGTATAATATATACAGAGTTTCTTCTTGTTACTGGTCTTGCTTGTCGCTACTGGGAGGAGAAGACTGATGATGGCCGTCTTGTTGTTTTTGGTCGGTCAATTCCTTTTCTTTCTCGTGCTGAATGTCGGTCATTTCAGCAAGGAGAGCATCCACCTTGGCCATCAAGTTACCGGTTCTGGATTCGACTTGATCCATGAGGTTTTCTGCATCTTCAGCTTCTTTAAGCCATTTCCGCATGTCGGAATCGGTGTTATCATTGCCTTCTGGTGATACGGTTTTCTCTGAATTCACAATGGTAGGTGACATATTCTTCAGCCGTCGTTTTCGTGTGTGTGTGTGTATTTGGTATATTTTTTTAATAAGAAAGAAACGGGAGAGGAAATCAGCTGGGGACGTCTCCCCACTTTTTTATTTGAGATACATTTTTGTTTCAGGTTCTGCAAAGAGTTAATGCTTTTCCCTCTTGAAGTTCACTTACTACCACCCTTTCGTATCATTGTCATAGTTTAACAGGTCTGCCCAGCTAATCGTGAGTACGGAGCGTTGTAGTTATAATAAGCTATAGTATGTCCGCGTTATCTCATTAGAACGACAGAATACGCACTGTAGCTTAAATGCTACGTATTTTAAGACAACGTATGTACCTCTTTCCAACGTGTGGGCTATGCACATTTGAAGACAACTACCTTTTTATGCAAATGATCATTCTACTTGGAAGAATCTAAATTAAATAAACGCACACTCCTCAATAGAAATAATTCTAGATCACGCGATAACCTCGTTTAAAATAATTTTAATCCTGTGCAAGTCGTGATGTAAAAAGTGGCAGAGCAGTGCATTTTGCTGCAGTAAGCTTGGTTCTTGATCAAAATCACAATGGAAAGGAGTGTATGTCGTGTGAACACAACGAGTTGCCATCATAATACGTCAACTACTCCCCTCGAATGATGGCATAATAGTACTCATATGCGATCCTGCAAAGTACTACATATACCCCTTACATTTCTATCAATGTATTGTTAGCCATTTAATGATGGCCCACGTGACAGACAGAGAAGCTGTTAGACGAATTCAGGATTCTTAGCATCAGCACGCATTAACACTACAGTATTACAGTACAATGTGATGATTGCATATATTAAAAGCAGTTTTTAATATAAATGTTCTATTTATTCAGCAATACCAGCTAACTACAATGAGATACCAAAGTTGGTGATTAAGCATCTACAACAATGTGAAAGCTCAAACCACTGCTGCTGTACTGCTTGTCCGGGCCTTCAAGCGACGTTGTAAAAGCTGAAAGTATATAATTAATTAAGCGTAGTATATGATTGTACTCTCGAACCAGTAATAGATGGACATTGGCTTCCAGGTGAGAGTCTTTACGATTGATGATACATCACTGGTGTTATTATTGCAAGTTTGGATCACCTCACCGCAAAAAACTACCCCTTATACTTTTATATTATACGTCGTATAATGAAGTCTTTAGCACAAGTACCGGATAAAGGCATAAAATTATTTATGACAGACCGCACTCAGCCGGGCCTTTAGCAATACCAACGACTACTTACCCGAATTTTGCAGGACTTTTCTGGCTGAGCTGCGACGGTTTTCGTATTCTCTTTTTTTTTTTTGTTTCCTCCAATTCCACAGTCGAACTTTTTTTGATTTTTACAACCCAATGCCTAAAAATGACCGATAGCAATAAACAACCTCGAGAATCAAAACTAACGACTGTTCGAGACACGACGGTTACATACAGAGAATCTCCATTTTTCGGCGATTGCCGAGACGTGGATGATTTTCAAAAGCTTAATCGCGTGGGTGAAGGTACATATGGCGTGGTCTAGTACGTGTAACCTCCCCCCCCCCGATATGCAACACTGGCAATCTGGCTACCATGTCTCCCTGCTTTTTAAAACTTAACAAAACGCGGCATTGTAGTAGAGTTAAAGATACTAGAACCAAACAGATCGTTGCATTGAAAAAGATTCGAATGGAACGTGAAACCGACGGCATGCCAATTTCGAGTTTACGCGAGATTAGTATTCTAAAACGCATGCGACATCCGAATATTGTCAATGTCACGGACGTTGCTGTGGGAGCCAAGTTGGAGTCTATATTTCTAGTTATGGAGTACTGTGAACAGGTATTGTCGTGATGGAGGAGGGTGCTTCCTCTAATATATCCACAGTTACAATATATAATTTATGCTGATCGATTGCGGTATGGCGACCCGTGCTTGTGCGTTTTTCTTTGTTGTTGTTCTTGTTCTTGTTACAGGACTTGGGAACTTTGCTGGACATGGTGCCTACTGCTTATACTCCTTCTGAAGGTAAACTAAGAGCTGGAGTTGCTTTTCGATTGATAATCTGTTTTTGGATCTAATGGGTGTTTTGGGTTACTAGTGAAATGCCTGATGCTACAATTATTACGCGGCCTTGAGCATTGTCATAGTCAATCCATTATACATAGGTAAGAAAAGCAAGCCAATGAGGTATCAACAAGGGCAGCATGTAGTTTACAGTGTGGATGATGGAACATATTGAACTGAAAAAAATAATTGTACCTACAGAGATTTAAAGATGTCCAACTTATTACTCACATCCACTGGGTTATTGAAAATTGGTAAGCACATGGGATGTCTCTTGCTTTTGTCACTACAGAAAAAAAAGGGGGGGAAGAGAGAACAGGTCTAATAAGCATTATTACTCACAACGGCTTCTGCGTATTCCTCCTTCATCCAGCTGATTTCGGGCTGGCACGAACAGTCAGTCTACCAAGTAAACCAATGACACCCAACGTTGTCACGTTGTGGTATCGTGCACCTGAGCTACTTTTTGGAGAAGCCACGTATACCACAGCAGTGGATCTTTGGTCAGCTGGATGTATTCTGGGCGAGTTAATGCAACATCGGCCCCTGCTACCGGGCAACACGGAACAGGCAGAACTGGATTTGATTGTCAAGTTATTGGGTACCCCCAACGAACACATTTGGCCCGGATTTTCTAAATTGCCTTTGGCAAAGTCATTGATCTTACCAAAACAAGAGTAGGTTCCGTTCTTGTTCTTGTTGTTGTTGTTGTTGTTTTATACGTGATCACGCATATATATATATATATATATATATATATATATATACACATTACGATGAGAGACTGACGTTGGAAACTAAACATTGTGTGTGCCTGTTTCTCCATATCAGCTATAACAATATCAAGGTTGTGTTTCCGCGTTTCAGTGAAAATACTACGAACCTCTTGGCAGGTTTGCTGACATACAACCCGCGAACTCGACTGACGGTAAAACAAGCACTAGCTCACGCATACTTTTCCGAATCACCTCGAGGTAAGATGAGAAAGAGGAAGGGGGGAAAGGTTAAAGGTTTTTACTGAAATGAAAAAATCGATAATCAGCACAAGATCCATCCCTTTTACCAACATATCCTGAGATCAGAAACTTGGTTTCGGAAAAAGAAAAGTAAGTTTTGAGAAGATGTATATCATCTTCTTTATGGTTGTTTTCTTTTGTGGCATAGTAAGTATGAAAAAATAACGGATAATGTAGATCACGGCGGGCACATGATGACGAGAGGAAAAAGAGGATAGCGCACGCAGGGGAAGCTATGGATGGAGATAGCAGCGATATGTTTGGTACACAATACAAAAAAAGAAAGGTTTAAAAAAACAACGAAAAAAGGTACTTTCTCCTTTGGGATACAAGAAAATGGTTAGTGCGAGTGAATGGATGTATGTATGTATGTATGTATGTACGTATATGTATATGTATGAATGAGTGGTTGTATATATGTATGAGACTGGGGTGCGGGATCAAGAGCGCAAAGTTGAGAGAGTAGAGAGAGGGTATAGCTACACTGGAGCAGGGTATATGCTAGATGTTGTCACTTCGATGGGTGATGGGTCGTCGCAAATGGACTTTTCAGCTTCAGGGATGTTTGAAATGTCTCCAGTGGCAGGGTCAACCCGAGAAACTTGGCATACTCGCGCAGAATGCATCTGGGCCCATGGTACAAGTGGAATCACGCGATATCTGAGCACTCCTCGCACAGTTAATTCATATGGATAGCGTATCAGTAATGACCTTGATAAAAAAAAAAAGTTGTAGTGAGCATATACTGTACAACAACAAACTCAATAGATAACGATCATGTATCTTAACATACCATCGTTCATTTCCACTGCTGTCTCCTTTTGTTTTTCCAGGCTCTTTGATTTGTATTTGACTAGATGCGATGCTGACGCTGGGTTTAAAGAACCGCGCAGGTTGAAACACAAGTGGTTCATCAAGTTCATAAATGGTGCCTAGAAACTCGACAGGGGCTGCCATTGCTGCTATTACATAATAGTAAATGGAAAGGAGAGGGGTGAAGGTGTTAGCCATAATAGATGCAAACCGGACTAGTACACTTTGATATGGCGCATCATTACCGGATGATGTATTGTTTATTGCCATTGAGGAAGCAGCAGCAGTAGTAGTAGTAGTAGGTACGTAATGACTGGACGCGAAAACACTGAAGGAGGCATGTGATATCTCAATCGACCAGAAATTGGTGTTTCTAAAACATGAAGAACTTGCATAAGCTATTTTATTGTTTTTGGGCAACTTGTACCTTGGGAATGTTGGGGTTACTACGGCTGAACCGGGGTTGGATGCGACTATCTCTATGTGTTCCTCATTGATATACCCGCGTGCGCAAAAAAAAAAAGAAAAGACTTACCTGGCGCGAACATTGAGATCAAAGAACAATTCCTTGGCGGACCCGAGCACATTTGCTAGCTCCAGTACCTCGACTGTCGCCAATGGTAAGGCCGTGAACACCAACATGAACCACATGGTGGTCATGGCGACACAGGTGCTGAAAAGAGCCCAAAGGGCTATTGTTCTCCTCCGTCTCGTCTTGCTGTTGCTGTTGTAATGATTGCTATTTTGTTTGTGCAATCCCAGTTTACTGGGTGTGTTGGTCGACGAAGAAGACATTACAGGGATTTTGTACGCAATATAAACAAATATGATGTAATGGTGTTTACCAAGTTGTTACTTACCTCTTGTTACTGCTGGTGCTATTATTGTAAAAGGCACCTCCTTGCCGACGTTTGCGTTTTGGATTGGGTGATGAGTAACGTGGTAGTAGTAATGGTGCTGCTTCTTCGTCCGCGTCGCTCGGGTACCAGTCATGCTGCTTTTGCTTTGAGTGGAAGTAATGGTGTCGCTTACTGCTATTATTATCGTTGCTGTAATTACTATGTGGGTATTGCTGTGGTGGAGTTGATGGTTGCGATGGTGGACGGAAAGAAGGAGCCGATGCTCGAAGCATGGCTGTTGGAGGCAAATCAGATACAGCTGAGCGCAGTACTGGACGGCGTGGTTTCGTATAATAAGAGTCGCCATCGGTGTGTCGCTTATAGTCCTGGTTTGCTGACCATTGAAAAGAAGCCGGGAGCGTGGGATACAGCGAGCTATGATCGCGATACACAAACGCTTCCTGTTCATCCGAGTCTGAAAAAAGAAAAAGCAAAAGTTCGTTATTGTTACTGCAATCGACATCGTACATACACACACACACACACCTCCACACTTCTTCCACACAGAACCCTAATTTGTATATATCAGTCACTCGCCATGGGTTCCGATAGATTCTTCCACCAACAGCAACAACAACAACAACAACAATAGTAGTAGTAGCAATGATAGTCCTAATATGTGTATATCCCCACCCCCAACCTTATCATCCCGAAGTTTACCATTTGCATCCAGAACAGCGTCGCTCAAGTTTTGTGCAAATATCTCAGTCGGCTTGATCATGGATTTATGAGGCCGTCGTCTATTGCGTTTAGTGGTGGTTTGATGTGGTGCCCGAGTCGATTCACTGCCAGATCGCACGCTTTTCGTGTCAAAGAATTGTTACCATCAACCCCACATACAACCATACCCGTGTTTTTGCATTAATTTTGGTTTGCGTTTCAGTAAAGTTTTCATCATGCGAAACTACCTGCGACCCGCTGCCACCATGACGCCTGGTTTTTTCATTATGCGAAAACATCGGTTGTTGTTCTGGAAACACTGCAGTTTCAATAGTCAGTTGACGCTCTTGATTTTGTTGCTGCTGTGGTTGTTGCTGTTGCTGTTGCTGTTGCTGTTGTTGCTGCTCTTGCAACGACTCCTTTTTGTTCCCGGGTGACTTGAGGGACATGTTCTGTTGCAATCGTTCGAGTGTCATGAATCGAGAGGCGTCTGAGCTGTGAATGGTGTTGAGTTTCGGTCGACCTCCTCCTCCTCCTGCTCCTGCCGTTGTTGTTGTTGTTGTGGGAGCAACAGTAGCAGGTCTGCTGACAGTCAACTCTGGAGGAGGCGTAAGACCAGCTTCTTTTTTCAGCAGTGCCGAATCGTCTTGCGAGTCAGGGACGCTGAGCGAGACCGTGTCTTTGGATTTATCATCCATGAAAATCCAAAAAGGCTTATCTTTGAGAAAAAAGAAAGGAAAAGGGCCGGTGCGTAAGGAGAAAGACAAAGTAGTATTTACAAGGACAGGAAAGAACGATATGACGTGAGAAAAGAGAAGAGGGAAAGAGAAAGAAAGAAAGAAAGAAAGAAAGAGAAAACAACAAAAAAAAAAAACTTGTATCACGTATCCTCTCACACCTTTCCTTTCCTTTCCTTTCTATACACCACCACAACAGCAGCTGCACACACCATCACAGCTTTCTCGGCTCATGTATCGGATGAACCCTTGTTTATTGCTCATGACAGTCTCTTGAACACCCACTTGCTGCTTTCCTCCATCGCCTGCTCTTGCCTCTCCTTGGGCTTGATGAAGACCGAGTGCTCTCCAGTGGTGAGGTTGACATAGTCCACAGACTCGACCTGCATCACCAGAAGAGCAAAATTTTCATAACCAGCCTCAAGCAGCTTTTGCTTTGCAGGATCGTGGTTGACAAACCAGCCCTCATTGTCCATGTTCTCGATTGCCAGCGGCTCTCCGTCGCCTGCTTCGGGGAACGTGCCACGAAGCTGATCGTTCATCCGATACCATTGCCGCAACCGCTCAACTTGCCAATCGAATGTATTACCACCGTCACTGTTGTCTCCTGCTCCTTCTCGGGATAGCCTTGTCAAAAATGCCCGAGTCGCAAGACCAGTACTCGATGATGCACTCGTGTCCTTTGCACTACCAGCTCCTTTCTTTGTCACTGGGTCGGGCAATACTCCACGCAACGCGTCACTGGTTGTGCCTGCCTGCACAGCAACCATTCGTCCGTGGACGCGGAATTGTTCCTGTGTTCCAGCCATGAACCTTGTTTTTGCATTAGGCACCGTTCCCACTGTCTTGGGTTTCTTGTTCCTTCCTCTCGCTCCTTTCCCCTCCCAAAATTATTTTTATTTTCTGGTTGGTTAACCCCTACCAGCTGAGCTCGACCATCGGCTGCGCTGCGATATCTGCCATTTTGCGGGACCGTTTGGCTGAAGTTACTGTCAATAGTTCGCTTTGCCAGCCCGTCTCTGACCTATGATCTTCTCCTGCGAATCCTCTACATATAGCCAGGCATGATAGTTATTTTAAAAAAAAATGTCTCTTTGCAACCTTTTGAAGGGGCGAGTGTAATACTCTCTATTGTCAAGCAAACCTGAATACAACGGTCCGATTGGCTGGTGTGCCGTCAGGGCGAACAGTGGCCAGTGAAACATAAGTCGCAGACAAGCCTACTCGCTCAATGTTGGTTTGCAGTTGTGATGCTAGAAATGTCTTCCATGGTGAGCTTGACATTGTCTCTGGTTGGCAGGGAATCTCTCGCGGCAGACGAGAACGAGCTGTTTTATACGATTAAGAAGAGAAAACGTGCGTCCACATAAAGCACGCGTTGTGCCACCTTGGGAAAAAATGTATTCGGAGACATAATTATTTCCCAATCCGTCGGCTTGGATAATGCCTCTTCTGCATTGGCGGCCCTCCTCAGGCGTCCCCTTTTGTTCCTTAGCAATTATTGAAACTGTCAATATATATTTTGTAATTGGCATAAACTGCACCAAATCAATTCGCTTATCTTGCGTAGCTAGAGACGATACGATAGTCCCATAGCAACGTCAGCGAATAAGACGAGATGTTCTGACGTTGTGATCGGGAACCACCAACCACATGTACTACAGGCCTATGCTATTAGCTCGGGTTAGCGCGGGTCTCTAGGTTACATCTCTTCGGAGGGAAAGGAAAAAAAAAGAAAGAAGGCTATGCAGTACCGAAAGATCGCCGTGCATTATCCTTCTCTGATATTCAGCTACCAGAAGGAACGCCATCCACAACGATGCGACTGTTTCTTACTTGATGTGGGTTGCCACATGTTAACACCAAACAAATTTAAACTCATGTTAATCCATACTCATTTAGTAAAGTACGTGTGTGAGTGCATGATGCCACCGACAACAGCGGGTGAAAGGTAACAGAGTCTTGTCGCGTAGCAACCAATTAAGCATTCAGTCATCATATCGGCTATGACTTCCGTGGAAACATAGCCACAATCATTGCTCTTGTCAGACATTTAAACGAAAACATATCATACAACTTCACGCATCTGTAAAGACTGTTGTACTACTTGAACGTCATGGGTGAGTGAGCGAATATGCGCGGTAACTTTGCAGCAAACAAGTGCTGTGTTGCCAAGCTCCGCAAATGGTTACAGGCGCCTCTTTTTTTTTTTTTACTCTTTTCTCGTTTTTGAAACCTTGGTGACAGTTTAAAGCTTTTCTGTATTCGTTGAGAGAGGGAGTTAAAGAGAAAAGGAGGTGTGCCAAACCGAAAAATAGTACAGGAAAAACGACGATCCGCCTGCGAAAAAAGAAAAAAGGACGAATTCCTACCCACATACCTCATGGATAATCCTGCACAGGATCCAACGTTACCACCGCAACCACCGTCCGACGATAATGGCGATGTAGCCTTCAATACTTTTATAGGTGTCGTTGTGTCGGTGTGTGGTAATGTAAGTAGTTTTCCAGTCACCCTCTGGAGAAGGTCTGAATAATGAGAATACTAGCTTATGGTCATTGCAACGTTGTGTTTCTTCTTTGTAGATGCTTATTTCAGTTGCGCTCAATGTCCAAAAGTTGGCAGTAAGTTTATATTCGAGAAGGAAATGCGGGAAGAAAAGAGTCATATACACACTCGTATGATAGAAAGAGAGAAAGAAAGGTCTGCCCCAATTTAATAATGAATGCCGCGTATTTAGCATAATAAAATCCAAGAAAACCAAGTCGCAAAGTACTTTGCCAATATGGACGAGCCTCCACGCTGGATATCGACTGCGCAATCATACTATCCGAGCAATGCCTTTTTTCCAGACGATGGATACTCATCCCCACGTTCATCGGCAGAGCTTCCACGGTCCGAGCAAGAGGAATTGGATCATCAAAAGTTCATTATGGCTATGGCACAAGAGCAAACGCGAGGAGAATCCGATTATCTGAAATCCAAGCTTTGGTGGCTCGGTATTTCCTTGATGGTCTTGGGAGAAGTCGGTAACTTTGTGGGTATGTTTTTGCTATCACCTCATTTCCTCACTTTCGGTGTTCATGTGTGTGTGTCTGTGTCTGTGTTGGGATTTCTCGCATTGGCCCAGAGCCCCATTTTCCCCTTGTATAACTCCAAACTCACAACCTTCTATACTTCATATTCTCAAGCATACGGATTTGCACCTGCTTCGACCATTGCACCCCTGGGAACGACCACGCTCGTTACAAATGTAATCCTGGCACCCCTGATGCTCAAGGAAGTGTTTCGAAAACGAGACCTGCTTGGAGTGCTCTTGGCCGTTTTAGGCGCCGCCATGGTAGTTCTGAGTTCCAACTCAAAGGAAACAGCAGTAAGTTAGCATAGTCTTGAAACTGTTTCTCTGTTAACGGGTTATCCGTGTGTGTGTGTGTAATGTGTGCTAATAGTAAGGTTTGTTTTTATAATTTAGCTCTCACCAGATCTCATTATGGAAGCACTTACACAGACCCGGTCACTGGTCTTTTTTATCATTACAGGAATAATGATCACCGCCTTGACTATTTTGTCACCTATCTATGGCTCTCAAAGCATCATGATAGATCTCGGTTTGGTTGCAATCTACGGTAATTTGTCAATGCTACACATAGAATTTTGCGAGAAATGTGGATTATTGTTAGGCTTATTGACTGGACTGATTATACTGCTCAGGTGGATATACGGTGCTATGTACAAAAAGCGTATCGTCATTGCTAAGCTTAACCTTTTTCAAGATGTTTGCGTATGTTTGTGTTCTGTATCATTTGCTCGTATAAACAAGTTTCGATATCAGTTACTCAGGTGTTGATTTTGGTTTTTTTTCTAGTTATCCCGTGTCCTACGTGCTGATCCTTGTTCTGGTGCTAACGGCTATTCTTCAAATTAAGTACTTGAATAAGGCACTCCAACGGTTCGACTCGACTGAGGTGATCCCTACACAGTTTGTGCTGTTTACAATTTCTGCTATTGCAGGAAGTGCTGTTCTTTACCATGATTTTGATGATATGACCATGGATCAAACTTCAAGGTATGTTACAGTTTGACTTTACGATGCTTGATTCATAATGTATCCATTCTGATCAAATATGCGTAGATTTATGACCGGCTGTGCTGTTGAATTTCTCGGTGTCTACTTGATTACATCCAAGCGAGACAAGCAACCGCCTCCGTTGTCTGTTAGAGCAGACAGCAGTTCGTCAGTAGAGTTCACTACAACCTCAACCAACAATACACCGGTAGATGAAGCCGTTTACGTATCCGAGACGGATGAAGCAGTTTTATCATCCGATCACAATGGAGCAAATAGCACCTCGAATAATCCTGCTGGTACTGTACAACCAGCTGCGCCGCCACGTTCATCGTCGTCACCACACGCGCATTTCGCGCCAGACCCTACATTCCCGCGTCGCTCACTAACGGCGCGCACCGAGGGTCTACTCAATCCAAACAGAATGAGCGCGGCTTTACGATCGTCAACAGCAACAACTGTTCCTGTAACACACGACGAGTGGCATGGTAGCACCAACAACAACAACGCAGCCGCCACCGCCAAGCAACAAGCACACCGACGACGACGACGAAGCTCTGTGTTTAGAGGAATTTCGTTGACGTCGCAATTGGTAGACCGTATCAATGAGGAACCACCTAAACAGCAACCGATCCAACTGCCACCATCATCGCCTACGTGGCAACAAGCATTCGGGTTACACCATCGACGTGGAGACTCTTTAGGATTCAGTAATTTGATTTCAGGTTTGACAGGCCATAACAATCACCAAGGCAATAGCAGCAGCCACTCTGCTAGTGCAGCTACTGGTATCATAACATCAGGAGCATCATCACCATCCCATCACCCATCCACACCCGTCGGTAGCCACCATCATGATTCGATTTTACATATCGAATCCGATGCGGACGCCGTGGAAATCGATATCCCTACTGCATCCACAATATCCTCGCAGCGCAATAGCGAAGATGATCGGGAGTTGGTCCCAATGGGGTCCAAGAGAAACTCGGCACGATTGGTTGACATCGAGGAGAACACCGAATATAGAGATTTGAGTTGATGATACCCCCCCCCACTCTTATTACATTTTTTTTTTCTTTACCAAAACTACTACAACGATAACTTTAACTTTCGTTTGCCATATATATATATATATATATATTGTATCAAAAATCGACTGGATGATGCCTTCCCTTTTCTTTAATTGTGCCATGTGTTGTGGTCACTTAATATCGCGCCTCCCATCTAATCAGTATACTTGTTCTGTTTTTCTCCCAAATTTGTATCTCCCAAAACACCCTCATCCCCAGTCTCTCACTCAACGATAACAAGAATGATTCACCATACACATATCTAATCAAAAATGAATATCAAAAGAAGGCTTGTTTTCTTTATTCTTCTGCAACTTTTCGCTTCTTGTTCTTGTTGCGAGCCTTATCCGGGGGTGTTTGAACAAAGTCAGGAAGATCGAGCAATTTCCGAAGACCAAAGATGGTGTAAAGATCAGGAAGTTTTTCCACTACATGTACCCGATTTCCCTGTTAGCAAATCCAAACCGTATATTACAAAAGCTTATTCCCAAAAAAAAAAAACTTACCGAGACCAGTCTCAATAGCGTTGACTTGCTTGACAAGTTCATTGTCAGCGGGCAAACGCTCATACTACAGAAAAAAAAAACGATTGATTTTTAACTTTTACTGTCTTCCTCTCTCTGTGTGCCTGGACGTTACTCTCGCCTGACATCCGATGTTCTTCTAATCCTATAGGTCTATAGTTACCTTTCCTTCTTTTTCTTCAAAGATCGCCAACAATTCGCCCTTGTCTCCTTCAGCTGGAGCAAGCGATACCCATAATTTGCCTTGCGAATCAAAGCATGCGTCCAATACTGTGGATCCAGCTTCCTGGGTGCTCTTATGGACCAACTTGTTATCGGTGGTCCATTCCAAAAGCACAATAGCACTCGTTCTATATCATTTTTGGTTGGTATACTTTAAGCGAAGAAAAACAGACAAAAGATAAACTTTATAACTCACTTTGCGAAGACAATAGCAATCAACTTTTTGTTTGCATCAATCACAAGTCTTCGTACCATTGGTTCTTCAGAGTTAGCATCGGTAGCCTATCCGATGTATTAGTCGCATAGAAAAAGGTGAATCATTTTTCACATAGTATACCAATTACCTTCGCCATATATGGTTGAATGTATTCTTTGATAGATAAATTCTGAAGTTCTTTTCCCTTCGAAAAGTCCCATACACGGATAGTGGTATCACCACCAGCAGAGATCAGCAGAGATTCATCCCAGGGTAAAAGCTGGATGTCGGTCACAACGCTAAACAAGAACAATCAATCACCCACGGCTAAACATACTAAGAGGGGTATTTCAACTCTCTGAAATTTTGATCCTACTTACTCAGTGTGTCCAAGACAGAAAGATTCAATGTTATAGCCATTAGGATAGTTGCTCACGCGAATGTGTTCATCTCGATCAGACGTAATAATAAACTTTTCATCCTTTGACAGAGTCTACAATAGCCACGAATAGCATTAGTTTTAGCTATTCTCCATTCCATCGGTTTTTTTGTGCTAACTCACCATATCTGTCACCATGGAAACATGGCCCACGACGGGCGCCAGCTTTTCATCTTCCTTTCCATCATCACCCTTAGCAGGATGGCTAATTGTTTCAAACGTCAAGGCGAGTCATTGTACACTACGATCATTGCAATGTAAGACGAGGTCAAACTTACCAGTAAACATCACCAAATTTATCTGCACAAATAATCTCAGTCGAGGCATTGTTGAATTGGAACGCATTGACGCGCTTGTTGGCCACTCTAATTTTTTACACACAAAAAGATCAGATCCAAATCCTACTTGGGTTAAGGTCACAGCACCATAATCCCACATGTCCAAGGGTGCGTGAGCGTGTCTAGTGATACACTCAGAAATGCATATACTTATTTACCTTGAATACTTGAGTGTCCAGTTCGAGGTATCGTATACATTGATCTTCTTGTCATCGCCTGTGGCTGCAAGCAATGAGCCGTCATTGTTGAACGTCATTATACGGTACAATTCGTTATACTCCTGTTTACGATCATTTTCAGCAATGGGTTTAACAGCTTCACCGGTGCTATAGTCAATTGTATGATCGATCAGTCTCTTTTTGAAGCGCGTCTAGATCAAAGTCTTCTTAAATCAAAGTGTAGGAAACAAAAAGTCACCTTGTGTTAACAACGATGAATTCTTTTCCATTGGCGAGTACGATCTCGGGTTTAGAAGGGCTGTGTGCCACAGTTGTGAATGGGATTCTGAGTGACATGATCAAGAAAGTGTCACAAAAGCAGAGGAAAGTGAAAAATAAAGTGGGACTTTGAAGTCGCCAAAAATTGCAGCAATTTCCTTTCGTCATATGGAAACCATAGCAGCCAAAAAAAGAAAAGGCAGCTTGTGTTTTCTTTGTTATACACGCATCGCTTTGGGTCAATCTAAGGCCACTACTATTGTTAGATAGCACGTTGAAGAGCCATGTTTTCATCGTGAGCTCTAGCTGTACGAAAAAAAAAAGCTTTCTTCAAGGATAATATGGCTTCTTTGCGCCGGTGCTAATGCCAAGTAAATCCTTTCCAATATTGCCTTTTCACAAACGTGCTTATTCTAGGTTTTTCATTTTTAAAATGGCAATAAAGAAAAGGAAGATAGCCCATAAGGCTTTTGTCTCTATACTCCAATATCTGTAACATTTGGTTGAGCTACAGTGGACAATAGAAAGGCAATACCAAAAAAATTCATCACAAGCAACGTTTTACTAAAGAGGTTATTACAAATTGGTCACGTCAAAAATGACACCATCCACCCCCGTTACATTGACTTGTGCCTTTTATCTCTACTCAAAAACGTTCTATACAACAGCTTCGATTTTATAAACCCAGTTTGAAAGACAAATCAAAGAAGGGCTCTTCATTAAATAATGTACGAATATCATGGAAACCAAGATATTACAGGACATTTCGAACAAAGAACTTGTCCAAATGTGTGTGGGTCGGCTCTATCATTCGCGACATCGGGTAAACTTAATCTTGACCATACTTCTCTCCATCATCTCCAATATTCCTGGGATGTAAGGTCCCAGTAAAGACGGACATGATCAAAAGCACATATTAATCGACTTCACTATCTTGCGATGGTTTCTTGAGCCGTGATTCATAGCTCAAGTGCTTGGTTTTTTTTTTGGAAATCAGTCTCTCTACAATTTATCCAGTAGAAAAATGACGGTGCCTGATAGCAACTCTAGATAATGACACAGAGTACATAGCACTTCAGCAATAACAAATGGCTGTACATCCCGAATCAAAAAAAGGGCTTTTTTTTTTCACTCACATTAACTTTTGTCACCTTTAAAAACCTTTTGCTAGCTTGTTGAGCTGTGAGCCCCAGGGAAACTTTCAATAAGTTAATAAAAGTTATTATGAGTAGAAACAGTATTTTTTAAACCCAGGATGTCCTCGTATTGTGTATTAGCAGACAAAGAGAGTTTGTTAATAATCAGCTATCGCGAGCCCTCCACTTGACTGGAAGAAAAAACCATGGCTCCCTACTTCATTGTGTATCTCTTCCGTCGAATACACGGGTGCGCCTTAATGCTATTGTGTTGTTTCACGGTGACCTTTTGATTCTTGGCCCATTGACAATAAATGGTTACTTTTTGATAACACAGAATGTACGTAGTGACAGATGCTCTGCCTTTCCAATCTCTACATGTATATTTGACCATATAAATCAGCGTTTCGTCGTCGGCGGCGGAACCACCACGGTGAGGTTTGTTTGTTTTTTGTTTGTTCGGAAGAATAATACTGTATTGTAACATAAATAGCCCTCTCTGTTACGCTGATCAGCAGTTGTTACTACCCCACAGTCTGTGTAACTGTGTATTCGGAAGACCATGCTCCGTTCTACATGTAAATGCGCCATCATCTCTGTGTGTGCACCAGACAGGCTCACAAAGAAGAGCGTGGGTGTCTTCTGGACATTCGAGCATGGTGGTTGAGAGTATTTCGGTTCCCATGTCTGTACATATAGTAGCAACAAGACTGTTGCTGTAAGGCGTTCAAGGAAGGCAGAATATGTCTTATCATACTCTACTACTTTATACTGTAAATTGGTCACGTTTCCAACGACTACATTAACTACACATTCGACTTTACTGAAGAGGACCCAAGCATATGCTAGGAATAAGGGACAGAGAGCAGAAAACAGACGGCAGCAACAGCGACACTTATATACGGACCCACGGTGACAAGATGAAAGTCGGATGTATGCGATGTAGTATTTAGGTTTTCGTGGATGCAATATCGTGTCATTTGTAGAAACTCTTTCTTTTTTAGCCCGTCAGGTTAGAGAACAGACATGTCGTTCTCTGTGATACTGTCCATTTGCACAAAACAGCAGAAGATGTCCAAGTTTTTCTGATATTCAGGAACCCCAGCAGCAGAAAACTTAAATTGTTGGCGGGCTGAAACTTTAAATTGATAATAACAACCTGCTACATGTTTGTTTCATCCTGGTTCAAGTAGCTGGTTATCGCGTCATTCCTTCTTCTTTTGTTACTGTATCTGTAGAACAATGAAATTAAAAGATTCCTGTAGAAGATACATATCGAAAAGAAGGTTGGAGAAGGGGCAATGTGCAGGTGCGTAATAACGAGGTACCTGCACACATATCCCGTGATCGTGAATCGCAAAAGAGAAAGTATCAGATACTCTGGCATATGACAGAGTTATGAGAAGAAAGCACATGCGGGACAGCAATGAACATCCGATTTGCTTTTAACACAAGAGATGAATATGAGACCTCAATGTTTGCTCTCGACTAACACAATCTCCTATGAAATATCATGGATCAAAGAGGAGTTTCGCTGAGCTCCGGTTCATCACAAAAAGAAAGACGATAAAGAGGGTTACAAGAAAGTCTCTTTCGTGAATGATGTAACCCGGCAGATGATGATACTCAAAACAGGTTGTCATTACAGCATTACGTCCCATAGCGCGTGTGAGATATGGACAGTGGGTTGATGCGTCAACAGGTAGCACAAGATTTGCCAAACAGAGCAATGGGACCCCATATGGTTGCTTTTATACCAAAATCGATAAAGCACAGTGGAGATAAGGTGCCATGCACACATAATGAGGTGCGTGAACCAGTGGGAAACACAATAGGTGCGCATGCCTTCTTTGTTTCCAAAGTATACGACTGGTTTAAGGGGATAGGGTGGTGCTAAGTTGGCGGGGCAGCCAAGCAGCTAGTGGCCAGCCCCCTTTCGCAGTCGGGATTCCAATCATTCATCAACGATAAAGAGCGGACCGAGTCAAGTCCACCTGACTTGAACCTTGTTCCATGTCAAACGAACAAAGGGAAATATAAAAAGACACCCCCACACAACCCCCCCATTCTTTTGGACTTCTTTTCTTCTTTTAACTATTTCCCGTTTTATCCTTTTTTACTCTTTCTCCCTCTTTTTGTCATGGATCGGTCGTCCGACGGAGAAAAAGGTCGCCAGCGCCAACGAGATAATAACTATGGCGCCATCAACAATGCGTCCTCTTCGTCTGCAGAAGTCGAAAGCAGCGACACTACAGCTCGTCATACCAACAGATTAAAAAAGCGTGCCACTGCAAAACAGCGCGACTACAGCAACGACGAAGCTGGCAAACAACGCGACCTCGACAACGGCAACAATAATAGTAACAGCAATGAAGACGACGATGAGGGTGAAGACACCACAATGGACGACAGCGACCATCGGTCGCCCGACGACGCTACTGATAGTGCTGATAAGCTCCGATCGCGTACAACTCGATTCAGCAATGGTGATGGCGACGATCGAGCATCGATCGATAGTGGAGAGCATGAAATGACACTCAAAGACAGACAAGAGGTATGTTCACCATCAATAAATCATGATTCCCATGGTTTGTCTATGTATCTATCAATCCATGGATCTTTAGTAGTTGCTGCATATATGATAACCACGCTAGTGTGTATATCTCCTATAGCAAATGAATAAGCGCCATCCGTTCGGTTTGCCAATCTGGAAACCAGCCTTGTACAAAAAATCACGATCCGTTGTTCGTCGAGCCAATAGTGCACTACACTCGTCCCCTTCATCGTCCCCAGAACTGTTTCTGAACCCTGGAAACATTCTATGGCTCCTCATTTTCGGCTGGTGGCTGGCGCTGGTAATGTTTATCATATCAGTCGTCTTGATCGTAGTACCACCTGAAGGGTATGCATATGCCCGTGTCATGCGTGAACTCGCATATTACTTGCTATGGCCATTTGGTCGCTATGTCGAGCACCACGGTGAAGTGGTCATCAAGAACCCGCTGTCTCCAGCAACATCCCGTAGTGCCACGATCAGTCATGTTGAGGATGACGGCTCCTCGATCGTGTCCATAGTCACAACCGACGATGGAAGCGATGAGGATGAGAACGATGAAGAAACTGGATTACTTGGCAGATCCAAAGACAAAAAGAAGAAAAGAAAAAGAAAAGGCGTTTTGCGTTCGCTTATCGATATCGTCAAGACAGGCCCAGCAGGATGCATGTATTATCTGCTATTTTTCATTATTGCCAGTAAGTTTGAATTGTTTTTATACTTGTTAAATAAAACAGAAAGGGTGTTTTTCTTGCTAGGGAGGGGGATGACGGGAAGCATTGATAACGTCTAGTAATTCTCACGATGATAATTGAATGATTGATTCTATTAGCCCCTCTGATGTTTATCGTATCAGCGATATGCTGGCTTTGCGTGATCACTATTCCCATGTCCAAACTCAATTTCATCCTCCTTCGACACCTTCGTCGTCATCCGCTTAGTCTTCGCTTTAAGTCGAGCCCATCAGGCCAAGCTCACATGCAGCAGACCGGGCGCCCGGCAGTCATTCTGCTGTGCACATACCAAGCCATCGGCTTGCAGTACTACAAGTACACCTATGATGGCATCAACATCATGTTTATCAACTTGATGCCGCTGGTGTTTTTCGTAATCTTTGACGAATACGTGCTCAAGCACTATTTCCCAGACAGCTTCGTCACAAAACCAGCTGTGGTCTTCGCGCTGTCACTTGCATCCGTCATTCCTCTGTCCTATTTCATTGGAATGGGAGTAAGCTCGGTCTCGGCCCAGTCCAGTATGGGCATCGGCGCCTTTTTGAATGCTTCATTTGGCAGGTAAACAATAACATGGTGAAATCGGGGAACATCACCTTCGCCTACCTGCGTCACGATCCCGGACTAATCTGTGCTTTTCTTTCTCTGCGCTTCTAGTATTATTGAAATCATTCTGTATGCAGTGGCACTCATGAGCGGCAAAAGTGCCCTGGTTGAGGGCGCACTGATAGGCAGTGTCATGGCGGGTGTGCTGCTCATGCCTGGGTGCTCAATGATCAGTGGAGGTTTCAAACGCAAGGAGCAAAGGTTCAACGCCAAAAGTGCAGGTAAGTAGAGATGAAACAGTTCATCAGCTACCAAACAATAACATTGACAATTCTAACTGTGGCATACAACACTTTGATAGAGGTGACTTCGACCATGCTGATTATGGCCATTATTGGCGCTCTGACTCCTACGTTGTTTTATCAAATGTTTGGATCGGTAACGTCCCTCCCACGAACTAATTGCAGTACAAAAAGATCGGTGTTTCATATTTGTTTGCTAATATGGACATTCATATCGTTATTCAGTTTGAACTTCGATGCGCTGGATGTCCTGACACAGTTGAACCGGGTAGTGGCGGCACCATCGCATGCTCGCGTTGCTATTACGATCAGATGAATCCGACAATCGATCCGGTGTATCAAAACAGCGTCAAGCCATTAATGTGGTTCTGTGCTGCCATTTTACCTTCGGTATGTTTCATTCACTCTCTCTCTCTGCTTCTCTCCATACTACCACACCTGATGCGTTTCTTTTATTATGCTATTTTTTTATCATGAAGGCATATGTCATTGGCATTGTTTTCAGTTTGCGAACACATGTTGACATGGTGTGGAAGAAACCTGAACACAGCGCACCTCTACAGCATGGCTCGTATTATCAAAAATTGATGCCAGGTCAATTTATTTCACACTTGATCCACCATCCTGGTCAGCAACAACAGCAGCAACAGCAACAACACACAGATCAACAACACGGGGATCATCAGAATGGAAAGCAGCCGCAAATGAGTGGTATGTCGTGGTTTTTTTTCCCTCTGGGTGTGTTGTTATACGCGTATATAGTCACTAAGTAAAACACGGTTCAAACAGCAACAGAAGGTAGCATCCAGCTTCCATATAGTCCAGTTGTTGCTATGGCACCATCATCATCTACAGACGGACGACACCCTTCGCCTCACTCAATCAACACTACGATCCACCCTTCTCATTCAGAGTCTCACAAGGATAGTCCAGTCATACCAGCTGCCGTTGCTCCACTTACGTTTGTACACGCGAAAGAACCCGAAGAAGAGGAAGAAGAGGAGGCTGCAGGACACGACTCGCCGAATTGGAGCAAATTCAAGAGTTTCACCATCTTGTTTGGATGTACACTGCTCTATTCGATTATTGCTGAAGTTTTGGTTGACACTGTGGATGAGGTCATGGATAACCTTGCAGTAGATGAAAAGTTTTTGGGACTGACACTTTTCGCTTTGGTAAGTTTCATTTCTGTCTATGACTCTTTTGCTCTTCTTTTTGTTTCAACATCCGCTAAGCCTGACCTTATTTTAACTTTCTGGATGCTAGGTACCCAACATCACCGAGTTCATGAATGCCATCTCTTTTGCTTTATACGGTAACATTGTGCTCAGGTAAATATGGAAACTATTTAGAACATCAAATCGAATTGTCTCTAATTATCCATTTACTATCAGCATGGAAATCGGATCAGCATACGCACTGCAGGTGTGCCTAATACAAATTCCAGCTATGGTCGCATTCTCGCTGTGGTATAATTGGGGGAAAGAAGAGTTAGCACGCTACTCATTCAGGTACTTTACAGCTCAGAGCAGTGAAGAAACTATAAACATCTACGAGCGTTTGTAGTGGGGAGTACGATTACGATGGAAAACGTGTTAATACTCACCCACTCTAATTTACAATTGCTACCATAGTCTCGTGTTTCCACGGTGGGACGTCATTTGCGTCATTTTCTCGGTGTTTCTACTAACATATACATACCAGGAGGGTAAATCCAACTACTTTAAAGGCTCGATCCTCATCATGAGCTATTGTGTATTGTTGGCTGGATTCTACTTTATCCCTCCTTTCACCGAAAAGAGTATCCTTATTGGATTTGATCCCAGTGTAGGAGCACAACAGCAAGTGGTTACTGCACCACCCTTGATACCGTAAAATATTTAGATATACCTCCTTGCCCTTCTTAATTCACACATACAACAAACCGTACATTCCTATACACTATTCACACTACACTCGCCTGTGTGCATTACATACTCCACCAATGTCATACAATCGTTTCTACTGCCGCCACCGCTGTCCACCGGCTCCGCACCCCATTCTCATACTCCTCCTCCCTCCCCACCGCCCCAACCCACTCACCCTATTTTCCAGTACCTCTGTATACTCTTTTCTTCTCATTGTATAATAGTTTTTTGTCTCCAATATTTTGCAACATTTCTATATATTCATACTATGCAAAGTAATTGAAAAGCTCTCAAGAAAAATATGTGCCATATCACTAAAGGTTCAAATGCTACTATTTTACTTGACTTTAATTTAAGCTTTTTTTCATACATCCATCCTGTGCACACAAAAGCTGGTTTGTGCGAGCTTTCTTCGGCAAAATTACGCGACAAAGAATTGTTTGGAGCGGAGACAGTCGCTCTTCGCCCCGTTTCAATTATTACATTTCCACGTGCGGGTTCATTGGGAAAAGTCTGTCATACTTGAAGAAATGCTAAATCTCGCCATTGTCCATAAGGCTCTAATCCTATTATGGAAGCATGAACGATCAGGGCAACTTGTTTTACCGGACTACTGAAAATTGAGTTAAAAGGCGAAAGGTCGGAAAGCAAAGTACCTTTTTCCTTGATTCAGAAAACTGGTTCGCAAAAAAGTGGGACAACAATAGCGGCTTGAATAATTCTTCTTTTCGCACACCTGATTGTTCTGTTCTCCTTCTTCTTCTTCTTCTTCGATCTTGATTGAACTTTTTAACTCTCAACTACTTTTCTTATTTTATCACAACTTTCCTTTTTGCTTATTTGTTTGTGAATGCTATTACGACGACGCTTCTGGTCAATTCCAGCTACAATTGCTGTTGCGTGGATACTCGCTGCGTCTACCGTTGTTGGCATCGTTTCCGCCATCGCCGTTGCCAATGATGCGAGCGACTCCACTATTACACTGACTCTACTTCGTAACCAACCTGTCCTGACACAACATCGTCGTCGTGCGCTTCTTGGAAAGCGCCAAACAACGGGATCAGTCGAGACAGCTGCTTTGCAAAATATGTACGGGCGCGAGTACAGTGTCGAGATGGGATTTGGTACACCGCCTCAGCTCTTTAACGTCACTATTGATACTGGAAGGTGTGTCTCATCATACCCGGCGAAAGCATCACCCACGTGATACAATTGTCAGTACTGTATTAACGCACATGGCTGAACATCATGCTAGCTCTACCCTTTGGATCGCTTCTACCGAATGTCCTCAGAATCTATGTCCCGGGAAACGATACGATCCAGATCAGTCCTCAACATACAAAGCCAAGCTTGGAAATATTCATTTGTCGTATGCCCAAGGCTTTGCCCGTGGACAAGCAGCCACCGAGACAGTAACCATTGGCGAGAATTTAGCGGTGGTAGACCAAACCTTTGCAAAAGTCGAGAGCACTCGCGCAGTTCTCACCAATGCAATCGACAATCCTAGCAGCGGTATCCTTGGTCTTGGATTTCCTGCACTTGCAGAAGCCACAGGCGGAATCTATAGTGGCGAACCATTCGTATTCAACCTCATCAAGAACAATTTGATCGCATCACCGGTATTCTCAGTCTACATGAATAGCCAGTACCAATATGGTTACACCGGAAATGCAGAAATGACATTCGGTGGTATTGACGAATCCAAATTCACTGGGCAGCTTCAATACACGGCGGTCCAAAAGTACACAATACCCGTGGCCGGCATCAGCGATGAATATCTCTATTGGGCCGTTCAAGGCGCTGGTGTTAGTGCAACATCTTCTGCCCAAGGCACGAATGATTACACATACGACATAAGCGATAATTTTGTATTTGATACTGGTAGTACTGCTTCATATGCACCTCCAGATGTGGTGCGTGGTATTGTTGAATCACTCACAACAACGGCCACTTACAACACCGAAGACCAGCTCTACTTGGTGGACTGCAACATGTACAATGACGAGAATGCCGAGGTGACTTTCCGATTGGCCGACGGGATCAATTTGACAGTACATGTACGTGAACTGATTATTCCCAACGAAACACTCGATCCACGCGACGCGGAACTGTGTGTTTTTGGTATCCTTCCAATGGAAGTATCACCCAGTGGCTATGTCTCGTATATACTCGGCCAAACTGTGATGCGTTCATTCTATACTGTCCACGATGCTGGCAATTATCGTATGGGCTTTGCGCCGGCTGTCATGTCGCCCATGTCGAATGATTCGTTAAACAAGACTAGACCAACGCCTTCTGACGATGGTTATTGGCGACCTCTGGACCCATCAGGCTCAGTGAACGGCAATGACGGTTTTGGACCTTATAGCGCCTCATCGACTCTCGGCCTTGATCACATGGCCTCGCTAGTACTGGTGATGCTTGTGACTTTCAATGTTGTTCTACTGTGATTATCTCTATAGCAAAGATTCTATGTAATAAAGTGTATATTTAACTTTCTTCATATTTGTATGGATCTATAGACCATAAACATCAATCTGCTAAAGGTAAAAACAACATCACTTCGTTCAGGCAAAAGTAGAATTTAGGCTGTGATAAGAAAGAGTTAGGGATGCGCGAATGGTCCATTACGGTGACGTATTTTCAAAGAGGCATGTTGTTGAGCATTAGGTAGGTCGCATTTCTTTTTGTGCCTTGGAGTTGCATGTCAAACTTTTCAATTGTAGAGTCGTCTGCTTTTTGGAGACTGCTGCGTCGTTGTTATCCTTCCACTTATCGTAAAAGCTGCGCAAGTGCTGCGGTGTCTGGTAAAAAATTTCGACTCCGTCGTCTACGTCTATTACGATCAAACCGACAGAACAGTTTGGTGTCTCTCAAGATCTGAGTATGCTGAAATAGCAGGACGACCAATTTTTATTTCTTACCCCATCACGTGGAGTTTCGAGGTTGCCAAAGAGAAAACGCATTCTGCATTAAACAACTCTGGAGGCTTTATGCAGATAGTCAACTTTCGTAAGCCACTGTATTCACTAGAGGTCCCTCGATTTCTCATAGGTTTTGAAAGATGGGATTTCATTAAGCAGGCTATCGTTTTGATGCGTAGTGCAGCAAATAGTATTTGCACCTTCAACGTTGAGTCAAAGTGTAAGACTTGGGTTTTGATTTAATATACGAACAGAATCAAATGAAACTCTTGGACATACGAGTGAGATAGATAGTTAATTTATTGCTTATTTTGGTAATTTTGTTTACTACTAATTGCTAAATGATGATGGTGCATGATTTATGCAACCTAATGACGGCGCACTTGATAGTCCTCTGAACGCGGTAATTGCTCATCTCACATGAAGTTCAGTCACTCATGTGACAAACTCATCCCCTTATCTTTATCACTTTTCTGTTATCCACATATTTGTTACCCTTCTCTCTATGATACTCGTCTTTTTATTTCGCACACCTATAAGTTTGACCAGTTTGTAACACTGGTGAGTATATTTTAACCATGCCAATCACTTGAATTATTACTCTAATATGAAATGAAGGTCATTTTCTGTGTACCCAATTCATTCCGATCAAATTATGTTTGTCTTGTCACAATTTCAAATTGGAAACACATACAACCAGAGATCCAGTGGCCACACGTAAGCACACTAAAGAAAATAATTACTGTGGCACTGTTCGATAATATGACTGCTAATGATTGTTATTACAACGGGTGTTTGATGATAGAGCTCCTTCACTATTTTGAGAAGAAGGGTATCGACGCGACATTAGAGAATTTTTGCAAAGAAGAGTTGAAGTTTGTGATTGCGAATACCTCGGCACTCTTTTTCCTTCTCAACGATGTCGCACCAAGTACGCACTTCCAACCGCACTGGCACCATCCAACACCATCCCTATTCCTCGCCTGCCACTTTGCTTGACAGTAGAGCAACGGCACCGCTCTTAGCTCCCAGGACTCGGCTACTGCTAGCAGAGCTGGTGTACTTTCCACCGCATCGGTAACATCGAAGAGCGCCTGGCCTCAGTGCAAGAAAACCAGCGCAACATTTTGCTGGCTGTTGCTGAGCCCAAAGAGCTCATCATTGCTCAAGGGGAAGCACGGCAGCCTGCACCAATGCAGCAACAGCAACAACGCGACGGTGCATTTGATGTAAGTCAAGTTACTATATAGATTCAGCGCTACTATAAGAGTAAGAAAGAGGTACTCAAAGAGATAAACACACATTTTATGTTAGGCGTCTATGCATTTTGCGTACGCCGACTTCTGTCACAAGCGCAACAGAGGCTTCGATTTTGCGCTCCCTTTTGGACGCCTACTACCAAACGGTGTCATTGCCAGTTTACGAGGCACTCCGTGGTGAGGCTGCGACCCGGCCGCACATCCAAGACTGGACTCGCTTCGTCAAGAGCAAGCTCGAGTCTCACTTCAAGTACAAGAAGGAGAAGAACCGACAAAGGGTGAGGCCGAGAACAAGGCTCGGCATCGTCGGCAGCGAGTTCTGCGTGTATTTTTTTAATCTATTAATACGAAAGTGTTTTTAAAGCTTATTTAATTCTCCTGTATTTTAATTTATGAAGAAGCTGCAACGTCGCGCCGGCATGTACGAGGCCCAACGGGAAGACTGCTCCAGCCACTTCTCCATAGAATGCGTCCAGGCCTTGTCCTTTGACTATATGTCAGAGGACGAGACTGACGCGGAGGAGACGGCTTCGTCGTCTACCCAACAGCAAGAATGTTGGGTGACGAAGCGTCCAAGCCGGAGAAGCAAGAAAGTTAGTACTGTAAACAGTGATTTAAAGCAAATGACCTAGTGATACTAATCAAACATATACTTTTCTGTAGGCAACTGCTTTACTGTACCATTTAGACGCTCGCATCGTCTATAGGCAACATGCCTATAGGCGATTTCCAAAGCTTTTGGTGTAATAAGTATGACGCTGCATGCAGAGTGAAGGAGTTGCGCCCGGTAAGTAACGATAGTTGGGAGTTAAGAATTACGGGTCGTTATTACGTTGGTATTGTGTATTTGTTAGACATTGGGAAACCCCAACTGGGGCGAAATTGCCTGCGGATTATTATGTACTCGCGGGCAATTACCAAAAAACAACGCCACCACATCCATTTCAACATCCACCACCAGCGTCCCGTCATCGTCATCCAAAAAGCTAACTGCTGAGGATATAAAGAAAATCGAGCTCGTGTACGAGAGAATGGAAGAAAGCAAGATGTGGCGCCTAGCGACAGGCAAGCTAGTCAAAAGAAGTGACGTGAAAGCTCTTTTTGGACAGTAAGCTGCAGAGAATGGATATATAGCCTGGATCGAGCTCCAAATTAACGTCAGTTTTTTTGTTTTGAAAGCCCTGCACGCTCGGTTATCATGGACCTGTCTGACCAGGTATGGGCGAAAGGCGGCCGCTAAGCCATAAGCATTTGACGTCGGGTATCGTGGAGCTCATTTCGTCTTCTTCGCGTTCCATGTCGAGAATTAGTTCTAGAGCCTCCTTGTATAAGGGCACTTGCTGCACTAGTCCAGTCAAATTGAAGCCGTCTTCAATGAAATCGTCGTCGACTTGACAGTAGTATTCATGACTAGCAAGCGAACAAAACCACTTGATCCACTATTAACAGATATATTTAAGTAAGGCGTCAAATTGCGTGTGTGTGCGATATTTTTTAGTCATAAAATAGTACCGATTGCGGTTGACTACTGGTTGTACTAGAAGAGTCGTGCATTTCCTCGTCGTCGTCCATGCTTTTATCTTTGAGATTGTCCAAGAATATGTACGTGTGTGTCGAGAGGCGACGCACGCATGACAGTGACTGTTATGGTAATTCGCGGACCAACATTAGTCCTTCCAGTGACACGTGCACTGTGATGGGCCCGGTCGTGTATGTGTTGATCCGAGCTGCTTCCGATCCGTTAATATTACGCCATCAATCTCCTATTTTGTGATTGCGATAACCCAGTGAGCCCAGGTGTATGGTTTACTGTAAGGCAAGTCACCATAACAGCGTAATATCAATACTAGTATCGCCAAGGAACCCATTTGAGTAACGCTTGTCCTGTAAAGACTATATATACAAAAGAACAGGTAGTTTTATTACTTTTCGCTTGCTGAATCGTTTACGTCAACTACGTATCTTAGTTATAAGATGTGTGGCGCTTCATGCGGTAGCTCCCCACCATACAAAAAGAAAAAAGCCAATGATTTATCGATCGGAGGATCCCATATTCATAATAAAGCAAGTTAAAAGCTTGTATTATTGACTGGGACTACATACTTATGATAACAAGCAGTTGGATATTATAAAAAAGTTCATCAAGTGTAATCTTCAGGCATACATCTTGAATATGTACGTGTACATACTCATTGATTTAATCAAGGAATATATATCTTCTATAAGTGTCAAAGTCAGGTGTAGCTCTACTGAAAGGAACGAAGTCCTTGCTTTAAATTGACGGAATTCTTCTAGATGGTAATCAAGCGAGTGTCATACTAATATGAAACGGAGCGTCGTTAATGTGGATTATCATCATCACTGTTTCACGAGCTCGCGGCAGACCTATCACTCACGGACGACAGTTGCTGCGACCAGCTTTGAGGATTTCTTTTTACTTTTTTGGTATCAATGTTTACATAATTTCTACATAGGTAGCTGATCTTATTAGCTGAGTATCGAGTTTGGTATCAGTTGAATCCAGATAAATTAATATGGACAATAAATATAAAGTGCAACCAATGTGGACATACCTTCTTGGCTATTACTACAGTGCTAAACTTTTATATGATAAACCGCCAAAACAGTCCATTTACATACTACATACTGCTACACATTACCCTGATTCCGTAGCAGAACAAAATTGGGCTAGAATCGCTTTGATCATAATGGCATGGACATCCCACACCTTCAAATATGGAACCGGCTAGTTCTGCCAGTTTGTTCACGTGCTGGAGAATCCGGTATTCGATGTGAAATTTGTTTTGACCAAAAATTATGTCGCACAGATCCATTTTACTACTAAAGTTTACTTGCAGCGCAAACAATTAACAGCGTGGCACTTTTTCATACATACAGGTATAATCAGTTGCTCTGAATACTGTAAACGAGCGTTGCCACGCACTGAAATGGCCAGCAGCCTATTGACCTGATGAACTCCCTGTGATATTATTGTTTTTACTGTTCACTGTAATCCCTAGCTTAAACAAAAAGGCATTAACAATTATTCTTTAGCCCCACTTTCTGAGACAATATCTCCCTTTCTGCAGGCAGCGAAGAAGAATTATTGATGCTTTTACTATATTTGCGTATTTCTTTCGTGCCATAATATTGTACAGTCTTTTGTTCCAAGAAAGCGACAAGCATTGGGGGAGTGGGAGGTCGGTTCTTCCGTCTGAGTGTAGATTAACATTGGATGGCCATGGTCGTAGTAATACTTATGTTGATATGCAAATAAAATACGATCTGCAACCTGAATTTGATCACAACGTAAAGAGTGGGCTGACTGGAACCAAACGACGCTATCAAATAATCACTGTCGTCGGCTTTTATTGAAGAAAGGCAGAATTGCTTGTTCGACATGATTTCTGCGTACTATGTGCGTGAGTCGATAGCTGTAAATTATTTATGCAGGGCATTGACCAACGGTGGCGTTGTATACATCCTGGTAAATATATGCTGTATGTATCCCTAGTATGTCGTTGATTTCTCCTGAGCATTATGTTATGATAGACATGATCATCTGCTACACGGTCTTTGATGTAGCCTTATTCTCAGATAAGTATTGAATACGATAGAACCGGCGAGATAAAGCAAGTGGATATAATGGGCAACAACCGGACTTTGTCTTCTTTCACTACTACCACACCACCTTGCTCACTTTGATTCTCCAGCAACACTTCTAATATCTTTACATTGCGCATATTTCTTTTTATAGCCGAAAAACATGGATGGTACATCATTGGCGCAATTACCCGCAGAAGCAAAATGTTCCTCTATTCGTTCGAAGGCAGCGGAAAAGAACATGAATGTGGCTATCATCGAAAACATTATCATAGATCCAACAGCTCATGGCTAGCAATGCAACCCTATGTGTGGCAGTATTATATGCGAGCCTGGCCTTGGTAGCTAGTATAGTGTTTCAATGCGGATTTCAAATTTAGATTGGCTGTACAATATTAAAATGTAGGTATATGTCGTTGAGAGACAGGGAGAAAGCCAATACATAGACGTCACTATCAATGACGCTAAAAGCACACCCGCTTTCCTCTATGATGGCCATCTTGATGTTCCTGGTGTGTGCACATGCATAAGAGACCTTACGGACTGCGTGTAACCCAGTCGAGCATTGATGTTCTGGTGCGAGCTGCTCTGTGCCATTCAAACAAGAAAAGAGAGACTTGATTTCACATTCTTCCGTCTCTTCTCCTCGTCCACATAAAGCACTTCTTTTCTCACTCCCACTTCTCCTTTAAGGAACGAACGTCACCAGCAAAGGTGACGACAAGCACTAGCAGACGCGTGACGACGGTGACATGTAAATAAGCAATGTACCAACAACACCACCAGAACAATGGCTGTAGCGTCAACAGCAGCAGCCGCAACAGCGACAAGAATGAAGAGTTCTTCTTGGACGGTCATCCTAGAGACAATGCAGATGCACCGCCAGAGTACAAAAACCCATGGACATACGGCGAGAGTCTGCTAATCTCATGGATGTCACACGCGCCTGTACTTTCAAACGCGCGTAAGAGCACAAAGTGTAGTGGGGCTTCTGTAAGCATTGTACCGATTGCCACTTGGAATCACGGATCGCCGGTATAGCTTCCCAACAGACAATGCCCCCGTCATGCGCCATTATCGATAGTCTAGGCCTTGTGTAACCTCAGTGTCGAGTAGAAGAAAAGCGCGTCATTATACTTTAACAAGTGGAGACACTTCGTGAGAGCCTTGTTGAAAGACAAGACTAGTGTGTATGTGTAGCCTGAAGTGAGCACATTGTAAAGGGGAATGTCAGTGAGGTTGCATTCCGAATGCCTCGGGAGATGACAGACCCATAGTTCGGCGTGTCCAACACTGCTTGTCGGTGTAACATGGCATCACCTGGGCTGGCAAGTGACGCTGTCAATTTTCTTTTTTTCCTTTTTTGGATCAGCTGTCCAAGCGAACAGATAAGATTTAAAAGCACTGCATGGAAATAATTTCTGCTACTTTGCTCCTCTCTCTTCCTCTCTCTCTCTTTTCTTTGAATCATGAAAATTGTGACCAAGATTTCGAATGCAAAAAAGTACCCGTGCACAGTGTCGACGAGCATAACGATGAATCGGGATGGCCGCGTCCAAAAGTTTGTCGTCTCAGCCAGGACTACCCGTAGCAGCAGAAGCAGTGGCAGTAGCAGCAGTGGTAGCAGTGGCAGCAGTGACAGTAGCATCATTGGCAGCAGCAGTGGTAGCGGCAGTAGCAGCAGTGACAGTAGCAGCAGCAGCAGTGACAGTAGCAGCAGTGGTAGCAGTGGCAGCAGTGACAGTAGCAGCATTGGCAGTAGCAGTGGTAGCGGCAGTAGCAGCAGTGGCAGTAGCAGTAGCAGTAGCAGCAGCAGCAGCAGTGGCAGTGGCAGTGGCAGTGGCAGTGGCAGTGGCAGTAGCAGTGGCAGCAGTGGTAGCAGCGGTATCAGTGGCATCAGCAGTGGCAGTAACAGCGGTAGCAGTGGTAGCAGCAGCGGTATGTAGTAGTAGCAGTATGTAGTTTAATAAAAAGCATTGCGCTGTATAAAATCAAAAGATACGTCGTCGTTTTTCTGCTATTACGTACGCGTGTACTGTGTGTGTGTGTGTGTGTGTGTGTGTGTGTTTGAGAAACTTAAAAATCACCAGGCCTACGAGAATTATGGTGGAGACCTGAGGCAAAGGATGTGGTTATTAGACGCTAACGTCGCTTCCCAACTGTTGTGACGTGTTGACTAATGCATTCACTGTTGACAAAGACGGTTAGAGTGTCCGATGGATACAAGGGGTTATCGTGTATACACGTTGGTTTGGGCTCGTTGCGGCCAGTAGTAGATGCATCGCTCGAGAAATCATTCCGAATGTCATGTCTAAGATGCATGAAGCTTGTTGCCGTGCTTTCCACATTAATTTACATCTTACGACGCTCAGGATAAATCAAAAAATGAACGAGGAGACGCGTTTAATACCACTACTACGTACGGAATGCCACCAACTGCAAAATTTAACGCTCAGTAGTAGGGGGGGTATTAGGATACCAAAAATCCTTGCCGAGTGTTGTTTAGCACTCAGGGATTCCTCAGGCGGAAAAAGGCTACGATACCATTCGTTATACCAAAATGTCTCCGCAGCAGAAATACTCACACCGCAGGCAACAGCAATTGGTTGTCAATAAAGCAAACTCATAAGCCTTACCAAAGAAGGGTTTTCATGGAGCGCGAAAAGCGAGGACATCTTTGTTAAGGTCATTGGCTGGTACAGTACAGGTACTCGACCGCTCACGATAAAGACCAGATGTTGGAGGTCTGACGCACGTTCATTGGTAGCCTTACGTCGAAAATTCATGTTTGCTTTCTGAGATTTTTGAATGCTCTGGAAAGCTTTCCGAGGCTTTCGAAGGCTTCAAAAAGCATCAGGTTACAACCTTTTCTCTGCCGTCCCTGCTACTGCCTACATATCTGCTGCCAGTCATCCTGTATACCCTGACTGCTATTTTCAAACTTAGAACAAAAGCTAAAGCCATCCTTGCTAATTACATGCGCTAAATATATCGAGTAGTGGATGTAAGGAGCAACTCATGCCGACAAGAGCAGCCAGGTGACGACGCGCTCTAAATTTCTTTTAACGTCACATCGACAGGTTGTCGCTCCCTGGCGGTGCTGCTGCTCTTCTTTCTACTCCTTCTGTTCATCGACATTCTGGTTGTTGCGGCTGTGTCCCTTGACCGTCACTACCACTTCTTTCTTTGACTCGGCCGTTGTGACATATTTTGATTTTGGAAGTCAAACTTACTTGGAGTGAACTTGGTAGTGATTTCCATGTTATTGAATTGGTGCATGAAATCATAAGAGATTTTTGGTGTTACACACACTTTCGGAAATGTTCCCACTCGACTCTTGCCCCTTATGCATATGGTACACCGATAAGAGGCAAGCTTCAGTGAACAGAAAAGAACGAAACTCATCGTGATCGCCAAGTAGCGAGATGGGACGAGTGTGTGCATGGAGCCTGGAGCGTCTACAATGTGCAGGTGTTATCGGTGTGAAGCATGGCCCTTGAAAGATTGTCATCCGTTGTTCGCGATCCTTGTGCAACATCGGATGGTCAAACAGGTCAAACTGTGACGCCTACAAAAGAACTGGACTCGACTGCGCATTTCCCTTTCTCTTTCTTCTTCCTCACTGTCGAAAGATCTTTTCCACCTTTTCCACTTCATTGAACGATACCCTTTTCAGCTTCTTTATTGAAGGGTTGCCTTCTGCTACTTGATCCGAGTGGATGTACGTGCAGAATCAGTATTCGTTATTGTTTTCGGCGTACATTTGCGACTTTCATTAGGATCTTTGTGGCGCAGTGCACGAGTCGCTATTGCAGCGAGCCCTATCCGTGAGCGCACTACATGCCGTAAAGTTCTTTACCGCAGTGCACTCACAAAGTAAGTATACACGTAATTCCCCCCTTGACAAACTGCTCTCACCCATCTTCTTCTATTTGAGGGCTGTCTTCTACTACTTGGGTCCGAGTGGGTGTACGTGCAGAATCAGTATTCGTTATTGTTTTCGGCGTACATTTGCGACTTTCATTAGGATCTTTGTGACGCAGTGCACGAGTCGCTATTGCAGCGAGCCCTATCCGTGAGCGCACTACATGCCGTAAAGTTCTTTACCGCAGTGCACTCACAAAGTAAGTATACACGTAATTCCCCCTTGACAAACTACTCTCACCCATCTTCTTCTATTTGTAGTGATTTGTTATTGGGAGGTGTAGGTTCCTTTGGAACTGAGGCTTGAGGAGACCAAGGGAGAGCAACCTCTCCTTTGAGGAACGAAGGATTCATATACAAGCCGGTCATTTGCAAGCAACAATAAATAAACGTGTCTTCTTCTGTCTTTGTGTACAATAAATTTTATTGATTTCGTTTCTACTCTCTTGAAGAAGTGTTTCTAACTATCCTGAGCATGGGCTGATTAAATAACTCTTATAATAAATGCTTTTCGAGGAGCAGCTTGCTGCAGGAAACGAGACCAGCCAATCTCTGAAAGGAAATGATGAATTGTGCATTTGCCGGTGTGGTTCCGTGGACAGAGCGATCCATTTACTAATAATACAACCAGAAGTGCGATCTCTGGCGTGCCGTTGGAGATGTTCACTTTTAAAAATTTGCCGACCACAGTGTTGTATGGCTTTATAGGAGATTTGTTTGGATTTTCATGTTTAGCTCTAGGATCGGCAGCGACACTCTATCTTATCTATGATGCTGCTGTGAAATATCATCGGGGCGGTCAAATCCAAGTGTAGTTACTATCTCCACAAGTAGAAGTAAAAGAGACTTCTTTAACACACATTGCTGAACAACCAAGCATATCAATCATTGGTCACCCAGATGTCATAATATATGTTTTAGTACATAATTATGCTCGATACTGTAATTAATTGCTGTTGTTGTACTGAAATAGCATGACCTTCCTGCGAGATTGTGGACGACTCATTCTGCTAAGCAGATATTGTTTGATTCTTGATGTGTTATATGATAATATTCATGATGATGTTTTCAGTGTTTTTCCATATATATTTTCGTATGTAGTACCATCGAGTTTTGTTAATGGCAAAACCGCCGTTATCTATATTTTGCACAGCAATAAGCAGTTTATATCGATGCTTTCAATTATTTTATGCGGATTGTATGAGAACGTGTCTGGCATTATATATTTAATTTACGTTTGCTTTTTAATTCAACTTTCGTTTAAAACTTGTGTCAGAAGCAAATCAATGTTCAATGGCAATCTTGGGAGAAATATGTTCATCTTTGCACTATTGATCTAAACTTTCAATATAATTTGCATCCAACATGTCGAGTCTTGCTGATGGAAACAGACATGTAGCTGACAGCAGTCAGTAACAATTCCTAGAACCAACAATACGTCTTCCATTGATAATGCCAATCATTTTTGCGCCGCCACCTCCAGTAGCGAAAGAATGAAATGTGAACTATCCATGCCTGTATTCGGTACGCGCACGGGCAGCAGCAGCAGTAGGAGTAACCGATTACAGAATAGCTACGAATCTACGGCCTCTTATAACTGCTCGACTACAACAGCAACAACGCTAGCAATAGCATTGGTCCGTTTATAATTACAACAACCAATCTATCATACGCTGAATCCCATTCATCTACCGTTAACATCATCATCTACGCCATTGCCGCTCAAAAATTACATACTATGATGGTGGCACTGACAATTCAGACTTTGCACATTGCTTCTTTTTTGGAGCCTACTGCTATAGTGGCACCGAAGTAGTAGTAGGGCAGGAGGACGATTTACAGTATTCAATTTTGCTAAACGGCCAACGAGAGAACTCTATCACCAATGATGAAGCATCTCTGGGAATCTCGCCAACAATTCTCCAACCTAGTTAACATTATCATCACGAGGTAACAGAAGGAAGAAGAGTCAGAATCAGGGCTTTGCTCTCATCATCACCTAATGCGGATTACTATCTTGGTCAGTCTCGGGTATGTGTATATCAAATATGAGGAAAAAATCCGGCAGATAATCCTGATCAATGTTCTCTTACATCATGAACAGCAACAGCAACAATTACATGTAAACTCGGTGGTAGGCACACCATCGTCAGTGCACGTCGTAGTCAAGAAACAACAAGTGCAGCAAGAACAACAATGTATTTTCTATATCCAAATTACTGCGTTTATCCAAGCCCATCAATGGGTGCTACCGTGTCAACGAAACTGCGAAGCGGAAACCGAGCAAACGGTGATGGTGAGACTTCACGTGCGTTTGGCAGCTCATCTTTGCCGATGGATTTTCGCTGCGCCGCTGTGTCTGGTGATTACAAGACTTAACCCAGCCCTACCAGTGCTGATGCGCAAAGCATTTTCTTTGATGGTGGCGGCGGCACTTTCAGTAAGACAAGGAATGCGACGTTTGATGCAGCTGATTTACGTATTATATATAATAATAAAGCAGCGCATTACGCATTTACATATTCCTACTAGTGGTACACATCATTGGCAACAGTCGGCTATATTACTAGGGGCAACAAAACGATCTAGAACTTCTGTGGTACAATCATCAATTACAGCAGTGGCATCGGACGACCCCGAAAGAAGAAGTAGGAAGAATGAGCCTTGAGAGAGCGGGATCATGGACGACATGGAGACACGGTGCATCTTTGCTTAAAGATCCATACATGCGTTGGATGCGGGCTGTCCTTTCCACGCAAATATACCTTGCTTGCAGCGGCATGAGCGAACAAAGAAGAGCCGTAGTTGCACCACTACTACATAGCACCATCCTTTTTCACTTTCAAGTGCCAGGTGTCACATACTGCATACACATAGCAGTGCCGGTTTGTTTTTTACTATTTGTAAATCAAAATGTAGTATAAAATTTGACATCTAGTTTGTTATTTTGGTTGTAATTTCCTCATCAATCTCCGTCACTTTTACATTGATCATTTTGAATGAACATATGACTAATATAACTAGCGTGAAAACATTGTAAATAAACAAAGGGCATAGATGGTCCCAAACATTTGCCTGTCTCAAACAGGACAAATATCATTTAAAAGCAGTCAGTTTATTAGATCTTGGTTGTGTTAGCTCACGAATGAAGTGAACCACTGAACTACCTTCTTTCTCCATGGCTTGGTATTCCGTACGAGAGTTACGGTGTAATAGTAGCATTGTCGATAGCTAAAATAAAAGAGGACGGATATTGCTCAGAAAATTAGTGTCATTGATAAAGTTGCGAGATACGGGTGGTCTCTACGAAATCTTTTTTTTTATCAATTCATATATACTCCATGAGGAAGGGGCCCGATCCCGGAATCAATGCGATATATCAGCAGTTAGAGATTCTATCACTCTTTATTAGAATAAGAAGCCTACTATCAAAATATTACCGCGATATGCACATACACATCATAGTAGATACAGCAGCGATAAGTAGTAGTGTGAGGCAAGGGGGAGTGAAAATAGGAACTATGTGTATGAGAGATTGTTACTTCTTTACTGCAAAACTTAACTTCTATTGGACAAGTTTTGCTCTCCCAAAAAAAAAAAGGATTCGCGTTTCATATTTCCTCTTCAGCCTCTTCTTCCTCTTGTTGAAGCGAGGATGCATCGACAAAGCCAACAGCAGCCACAACAGCATCAGCAAGAACCATTTCAGCCCAAGCGAACTTCAAGAATTACGCACCCACAAACAACCCGAGCTCACATGTTTCCCTCCCAACATCGATGAATTTGTTGCGTCTTTCGATGAGAAAGTGAGTATAAAATGAATATCGTACCAAGTTGCTCAGCGCTAACTATGCATTGTTGCCATAGGCTTCCTCGGATGAGTTGTACGCTCACACCCGCAGCTTTACGTTCAATCCGAGAACAGAACCAGAAATGTGTTGGGCACCGCTATCAATGGAGCAAGCGTTATTGCTGATGTTCAATGAGAACCTGAACAACGAGCGAACAGAAGTAGACCCGATGAGCCGCGTTTGGGGCTTTATCGGCAGCTGCTTTGGCTGTGGAAAAGACGTAGTGTGTAACAGGTAATAGCAATAATGAACCAGTGTGTACAACTAAGTACAATAATCCCTTAAACAAACATAAGAGACTTACTACTGTTGGATTCGCTTAGTGGGGAAAAGGCCAGTGGGGCTATGGCAGAAGGCCAGAACCAGTGGTACCAATGAAGCTACCGCAAGGAAGAACGTTGGCACCAAGGTTGACTTGCTGTTCTCCACCAAGCTCTTTGAGCTAGGCGTTGTCGAAGCTGGAGCTTTAAGCGACCGCAGCAGCATCAAAAGCATCACTGAGTTGAATCTCAAATGCCCCAAAGTCAATCAAAGACATGCTCGTGGAAATGGAGCATTTCAACCCGAGCAAGGTGCATGCTTATAAGAGCTGCACATTGATACTATCAGGTAAATAATTATAAGAGCTGTTATGGCGTGATTACGTGCAACCACTAATAAGAACATGCTTGGTAGGCCTGTATATGCAGTACGTTCTCTTCGACTGTCCAGCAGGGTACGCTTGCCGAGTGATGAAGCTTCTGGACGGGCTGCCCTATCCTGGGAGCCCAAAAACATTTGTATGCGATTTTTTCGCTTTATTACAAATGGCATAACATGTACGACAGTTAAGCACCTAGACAAAGGTGATGGTAGAGACGAAAGTCAAGCAGACACTGACATTAACCGCTCCTTCAACAAGACTTCCTCCACCCTCCTTTACGCATCCGAAAAGTAATTCCAAAAGCGCAAAACCATTAGGCAGACGACAACAGCATCATCTTTTTCATAAACACATCCTCTTTGGTTGTAAAGTATACCACTTACCCGAAAAGTTCAAATTGTACAAGTAGTAGTTCATATTACATTAGTAACTTCCCTTATTTCATATTCTACTACATACCCCATTAAATCGCAATACACCAAGTATATACACTAGTCTTTGCGCCGGTAATTATTTACTCCTGGAAAGCTTTTTTTGCACAATGAGTTTCATTATAAGACAAAATATCATCCGACGCATATTGAACTGAGTTAAAGCAAGCCAAGCTATTGAGAACAAAAGACTGAACTGGACGGTGACGAGAATGGCGCACCTAACAACTTAAAATTGTACGCATGATCAGAATACTAATGCTCAACCAGCTCAATCTTTTTTTTAAAGCGAAATTGAACCTATAAATCTTGCTGCTCTTGACATCACCAAAACTTAGATAATGCTTTGATACCATGACAGATCAACATTATCTTCGTCAGCACTCATCCTGCTTAAGCATATGTCTTAATTTCTCGACTTTTTTTCTATCCTAGCACAATTTTCTTTCTCTCTGGGATATTTTTCAGTCATTAAACCTATTTTATACTATAACTTCATACCAGATGAATCCCATATGATAGAACAGTTTGAATATCTTTCTTATGTGTTAAATATATATTGGTTGCTCCCTAATGGTTCATGTTCGGCTCTTCATTTCAAGATGGCTGCAGAACACTTCTAAACTCGAGGATATTACTGTATGTTCGTCGGTTTTGAACAAAGTGATACTGTATCTTGCAGTAAACATGAGAACACATACTCGCAAATAGAAAAGGTTCTTCGGCGTGCTCGAAAACAAGCTACAGTACCACGAAGCAGCACTATCATAAAGAAAGTAAAACCAGTTTCTTATCCTTTCATGTACAGTCGGTTATATCTAGGGATATGTTATGCTTGTTCCTATATCATACATTGATGTCACCGCTAGACGGTCATGCACCGCGCATGACGTACCAAGCTGCACCTTAACTATTTATGTATAGTAACCCCCCCTAATTTCACATCCGTTAAATTTCACATCTTCGTATATTTCACTTCAAAGGATCATTCAGGGTTGTAGCCTGATCGGTTATAATATAAAGTGCTATTCTATATATCATATATTCTCAGAAAATAAGCACTACACATTATTTATTTCAACTGAATTGAAAAAGATTGAATGTAATAAAATAATTATATTTAAAAATATCTATAGAGCTTTGCCTAGCAACTAATTTTGCAAAGCTTGCCATGTAACTTTTGTACTTTGGTAGGAGGATAAGTTATAGTTTCTTCATCACACCATCAGAAGCCAAGAAATCCAAAACAAATATTAACGTGATAATTTTTTGCTCTCGTCTTCAATGGTGCTGTTGGGCGGCAAGCAGTCTCTGTTTCACTGGGTGCTTCTTGGTCGTCCGTCGTCTCTTCATTTGGTGTTTCTTTTTCTATTATGTATGTTCAGACAAGGTCAAGACGGCGAGGTAATGTATTGGATTACACGCTATGGGATTTACGTGACCATTATAATGACAACTTCATGATGTAATTGAGAGACCAGTATGTAGGGAAACGCTCAAATCCAACAATGATCGCAGTGATAGGCGACACTGTAATAAATTGGTTTCAGAATAACGATTTAGTACATCTAAATTTATAGTACTACAGACCTAGAAAAAAGACCGTTGTTTGTATTTTGTGTTTATTGTAACTTACTCAGGGCAACACAAGAGCTGCACACCAAACCGAAGACAACAGCAAACACCATTAGCACTCCCATATTATCGGCAAACACCTAGATCAAGAATGTACGCACAAATTCTAACCATCCTATCACTGAGGTATCTGTAGTGAAGATAAAATATAGGTCTTAGTCTTCTCTCTAACGCAATTCCCTTTTAAGAAGAAATAAAACTTACCCAATGGCGATGCAATCAACACAATACTAGCAGCCATGACAGCAGTAAGACTTGTGCAGTCCGAGTTCGACAAGTTCAAGCACACGTACATACAACCAATAAGAAACATGATACGTACCCGATCATAACACAGTTGAACGCATTCCATGCATGCGCCGACCAATAAGATGGATTAGAGAAACCAGGTTTATTATAGCATATTCCGGTTTATTCAGGTTTACATACTTACGATGCATATGTAATAGAAGGAAAATTTCAGTCACAAATGTTTTTGGGCAAAAATCAACAATGCCACAGCCGCTATCTCTGTTTTATTTACTTATATTGATGAAAAGAAAAGAAGAGAGGCCACTGATAAACTTCTTTTTTCACATGATATTGTGCCATCACAGGCTGGGGTAGCCAGTCCGGAAGCTTCATCATCCGGCAAGCGTACACTGCTGGACAGTCGAAGACAACGTACTGCATATACAGGCCTACCAAGCATGTCTTTGATTGACTTTGGGGCATTTGAGATTCAACTCAGTGATGCTTTTGATGCTGCTGCGGTCGCTTGAAGCTCCAGCTTCGACAACGCTTAGCTCAAAGAGCTTGGTGGAGAACAGCAAGTCTACCTTGGTGCCAACGTTCTTCCTTGCGGTAGCTTCATTGGTACCACTGGTTCTGGCCTTCTGCCATAGCCCCACTGGCCTTTTCCCCACTAAGCGAATCCAACAGTAGTAAGTCTCTTATGTTTGTTTAAGGGATTATTGTACTGTGTTGTACACACTGATTCACTATTGCTATTACCTGTTACACACTACGTCTTTTCCACAGCCAAAGCAGCTGTCGACGATGTCAAAGGATCCTCATAAAATCCAAAGAACTGAGACAAAAGTCGGATCGGGTGTGCCCTTGACGAGCCCGTTCCATGGAAGAACCAAACCGGAATCGTCCCAGTTTTCTTGCTTAAAACCGAGAACCGAGCACATATTTACAAGGTCATTACAAGCGAGAGCATTGACTGTGAAAGAATTATTGTAAAAGGCGAAACGACTTTAATTGTCGTTTTTAAAAAGAAAAGGGTGGGAAACGTGAGGAGAAAAAAAAAGTGGAAAGACAAGAACAAAGAATGATGATGCTAATCATGCAGCATGTAGTGCTGAGAAACAAAGTCACGCCAATTCATGCATACGGCATCACCTCAATGGTCCAGCCCGGCAAGGTCTTTGTTCCCCCTGCTAGACCAGCAGTTAGAGCACAATTTATACTTAACTTTCAACCACGCACAATCATACTGCTATCGACAATGAGATAAAGCACGTCTTTCACTATACACTACATACGATAGTTGCGTCTTCCCTTCGATTTCACGCAGTTATTACTACAACCATAAATAATCCCGTCCCTTTTTGATTTTGCGACCTAAAATCTCGGTTCCAATTCTGGCAGAGAGTCGACCCTTCCCGACCGTTGGGGATCCATAACGGAGCCCCAAACGCGTCTGATCAGATCTGTGTTCTGTTCGCTGTTTGTCCATGCACCTTCTTGCTGCTGTCGTACACGCCTCAGAGCGACGTTGATCATGGCGATCTTATACAGGAGAAGATCATCGTACCGTTCGTGTTGAAAAGCAAAGAACAGCTGTTGTGACATAGCAGGGGCTTTCAGATATTTTACATATCTGAAAGTAACATTAAGCAACAGGAAGCTGCGCCCACCGAGAGTTTATTTCGTGAGAACGTCTTTTCTATGAGGAGGAAGACGGCAGACATGTTTTCAGGTACGATACGTGTTTCTAACTCTCACCCTACTCTTCTGCTGCTCCCTCCAGTGCATCCGTTAGTGATGGATTGTGATTGCTTAAGCATGATTGAATTATAAGCACATACGGGAAGTTTGCAACTGCAAACACCTGAAGATGTACAAGTGTCTTTTTTTACTGGAACACTATCATCTATACACACAGGCCATCCAAATCACAAAATGTGCACGTAACACATGACACCACGAAGCACCCGAGTGCCAAGCATTACTGAGCCCAAAAGACCAGTTTAAGTAGATGAGCTAAAAATACAATTTATCTTTGGAAAGAGGGGAGATGGTGGTCAAGAAGAGATGGCAAATGGTGGAATTTACAAGGCGTCGAAGAACGATGGGTTTTTTTGTTTGCTTGCTTTGGCTGTTTGTGAGAGAGATATGTATGATGATACTTCGGGAAGAGGGCACAGAGAGAGAGATAGATAGGATATACACGGGGAATGGATAGAATGGCTTGTTTTGTTTCGTGAACGTTGTAAGAATGTTACAACAAACACACACCAACTATAAACAGACATGGTTACGCGCCTAGCACACCGCTTGGAATCATGTCTGCTACGCCACCTCCTCCTGTCAATTCGGACAAAGAAGAGGCGGGACAGTCAAAGTTTGCACTGTTGGAGATCTTCGGTGAGATAGGAATGCCAGCTACGCGGATGGTTGGCGTCACTTCATAGTCGATTGTGAGCTGGGCGGTTTGACCACCCATGAGCCCACACTTGGTCAGCAGATCGGCTACGATGGCTTTGCTGCTATCGTCAGCTGCATCCACCTGGATATTGAACGGGAAGCTAATGTTGGTCATGGCGTTCTTGTCGATTTTAACGTTGTCAAGCTCGCCGCCACCAATCGAGACATCGTGATGGTCCGGATAAAAGGCCTAGATTGTTCAAAGAGGGGAATGCTCAGCCAGAAACTCTAAAAGCCAAACAAAAATAATCCAGCCACCACTAATTTTTTTATCACAAGAAACCTCACCTCCGCCACAATCTTTTCAAACGTGAGTGAGATTCCATTCGGGTTGTCCACCGAGATATCCAACGTAAAGTTCATGTTCACCGTCGAGCCAGACATGCTAGCCAGTGGCTCGCTTTCCAATCCATTGAACTGCACGTCCGGCATCTTGAACACCGCCACCATGATACCGATCGCAATAGCCAGCGCAACAATAATCAGGAACAGGATGCAGCAGATATAGCGCAGCCATTTGGGGAAGCATGTGCAGCAGCCGCAGCAGATCTTATCGATACACGACCGCCGCTTGCGCTCTCGTGGCAGTGGCCCGAGGTCCTCATCATCCGAATCATAGTGTCCTGTAAGCTTCATGTCCGACATGCTTCCGCGAGGATTGTTCTGCCAACCCAACATGGCTGTGGTATTGTTGTTTGCGCCCCTTCCATCGTTGTAGTAGTCGTCTTCTGAGAGTCGATGCTGCTGTTGCTGCTGCTGCTGCTGGTGGTGGTCGAAAGGTGTGGGTGGATACGCTGGCTTGTTGTGGAGCGTCACATCATGCATGTTGTTGTTGTCATACGGACTGCTCATTACGGGGCTTCCGACGTGATGCGGAGGAGGTACGGGCGGTGGTGGTGATGCTGCTGCTGCTGCTGCGCTGCGCGGGTAGCTGTTGTTATAATAATCGTCACGGTCATATACGGACATGTTATTTGGCTGCTATTGTATGAAAAGGCCCAAAAGAACAAGAGGCAGAAAAAAAGTGGAGAAGAAGAAAAGGAAGAAAAAAGAGAGAAACCTGAAAAAGGCACCCGAGAAAAAAAAAACTTTGGAACGGTTATGGGAGTGTGCTAAGCTAATGCACGCATAGGGAGAGCAGCAAACAAAGGCACCAAGCACACCCGTTTGCCGAGAGGAAAATAGCACTGAAACTCAGCCGTGTATTTTTAGCTCAAACGGTGTCTTTACCAAATAAGGCAACCGCCTGTTTTTGTTTCTGACGTCAAAAACAAACCTACGATGGAAATGGTTTAGCGTGGGGAGCACAGCAAAAGACCCGTCGATCCTTTCTCTCGCTTGGCATTTTTCTTCTTAACTCGTTCCGCACAAATCATGCAGGATTTACTCACTTCAATTAATTTCGTGTCGATCGGTAAGCTTGTGGCGCTTTATTACTGCTACTACTAGCACCTACTCCCTCCGATTTTAGCTCACACACATAGTGTATTTTGCTATATTTGACTGCAAGCTATTGGCGCATCCTATCTGTATCTCGTCAACATCCTAATGCACTTTGGGCTCATTGGAGACCGGTGGTCGGATGCCATGGATCGGGACAAGGGTGTGAAGGATTGGGTGCACAAGACACGTCCCAACGACCAGTGTGGCTGGGACCAGTGTTGTGAATTTGCACTATACGCAGTTCAGGTAGACATGTTTATACTTTTGCAACCGAAAAAGATCGATGGTTTGTACTAGTAATACTGATGGAGAATACCGTACCAGACATTCTTTGTAATGGGCATGATGAACTTGGCCCAGGTTGACTGTTACAATCACGCATTTCAGCTCGGTCTATTTTCCTATATTGCGTATACGCTTCCGGATATTTACCGTTCTTACATATGGGAAGGTCGTCCCACTAACTTGCTGGCCATCAAAGCAGTACGCGGACTGTTGGGCACTGCTGGTTTAGCTCTTGTCTTACACCATTTTGGAACAGATATTTATTAGTAGTTAGCTTGTATATATTTACAACGTCCATTCCATGATCACTGTGTGCATAGTGTATAACTGATGTATGTATTCAGGAAGAGAAGGAGGAAGACGATGATATATAAAAAAGGAGGCAGATTTCTCTACTCTTTTTCTTTTTTCGTCGACTGTGGTGCGCAATGAAATATGGAGAGGGCTGGAAGGGATTTGTATAGTAGAAGAGAGAGAGAGAGAGAGGCTTAACAGAGTGGATTAAAAGTCGGGAGTAGAGGGCCGTGGTTTTGGAGGAGGCGATCATATTAACAGCTCTTTTTTGATACATGTATTCTTACGCCTTCCCAGAAGTGTCATGCACTGCTTCTAGATCATCGTCTGCACCGCTCATGATCCGATACTCGTTCAGAATATGCGCCTTTTCTTCAGTCCAGTAGATGAACCCACGTCGATGGATCAACGCCCATACGTACGGGACAAAAAATTCGCGTGAGTCCTGCTCTTCTTCGTACTGGAATTTCAAATCAGGTATAGGCTATAATTTTCAAATTAATTTTGCGTGTTTTAGTTTAGAGTCGTTTCAATCTCTCTCCCATGTCGTTTGTATAAGAGATAAAAGTTACCCCAAGTCGATTTGGTGTCCACGTTCGTGCCGCTTGGTCAATCAGATCCAGAATCTCACCGGTGGAAGGTGCTTTGATGTTAGCTTCGGACACGCGTACATGGAAATAATCAATAACGGTTTCAATGTTTTTAATAAGATCAGCGAGTCGTGCGTGGTTCCGTAATGGTGCAAAGATTTCTCGTTTTAACAAAAGCGCATACACAAGTTGTGTGTTGTTTTTTAGTCGATGATGTAATATTGAGTTAATGATTTCCAGCACGAGTGACAGCATGTCTTCGTAAACGGCAATATCTTGTGGTGAATGCTGCTACAATATCGAAACATTCATTTCCCGGTTAGCAGGGTTCTCTTTAAGAGCACTGTGTAGCTGATGTCGTCATGGTACCTCGTTACTGTTGTCGTGGGCGATTTTAGTTGCGAGTTTCTGTTGTCGCCGCGATATAAGTTCAAACAAACTAGATGAAAACAGATCAGAGTTAGCTTGGAGAAGCAAGCGAGGGGAATTGTTTTTACCCGGGAGAGCTACCTGATGATTCGTTGGGCGACATAGGCGTGCATGTCCAGAATTGTGCAAGACATATTGGCCAATATTGCCAAACAATTTGTATGGAAATAAATGTCCTATTTGTGTATATCCCGGGAGAAAATATTCAATAATTTTCCTTTCTCTTCTTCTTTTTTGTGAATCGATGATGCTCTTTCCACAAACCTTTTGATGAGACAGATTGAACTGTAATGTGCGAATCAGTACCAAGATCACCATGCCGCCAAGGGATATCGATTTCAGTAACGGTCGTTCCGTAAACCACGTCAGATTCGTCACAGTCTAGAATTTTTTGATTGTTGGATGATTAGACGCTCCTACAGCCCTTTCAAACATGAACTCATTACTTACGATTTTTTGGATCGTCTCATTGTTTACATCATCTTGGCTCAACACCAGTAATATGATAAGTAATATATACACTTGGGAATAGTTTGTTTTTCCTTCAACAGCTTCGTAGATGATTTTGAGAATCGGAATATACTAAAAATTGTTTGTTTGTTTGTTTGTTTGTAAGTCGAGACTGTTTTGTTGCTGTATGGCTCTGAGCTTACAATTGTCTCGGGATCCGTCCTTGACAATACATAGACCCGGAAGGAATCGTTCTCGACCAGCATGACATAGAATAGAAGCATTCGTTCTTCAATACCAAGCGATCTAATTATTTCAATTTACCATTAGACCCATTTCGAGTTAACATGTATATGTGCACTTACTGGCAAAAGAGGCCGAAAAGGTCCTTGAAAGAAATCAAGTGGTATTTCTTATCACTTGCTTCTAAATCGGAAGCCAGTACTACATGTGCGCATCGCACACTATTAGTCAAGAGAATGTCTTTAGCTCTTTTCGGATCGAAAGTGTTTACCATGATGATCTCGAAGATTAGCAAACGCCAAGCGATACGCAGATGCTACACCAGAAGTCTCGTCGTCGTTCAATATCTTTGACTGTGTCGCTAATAGAAGCATCAACAATAAACTTCGATCTGCTACTGGGAACGTGTCAGCGTCCGATGCCGAGTTCTGCCGTGAAGAGAAAAAATAGCTGTATGCATTGTACACAACATCTGTTCCCATCAACCAGACCGTTATCAGTATCTGCTCTTTCTCGCTGTCCGTAGTTGTATCTCTTTCTAAAAATGAAAGAAATGTTGTCTGATCCTTACTTGATGATTGTGGTGGTGGTACTTTTTGCTCTATAAAGTTTTCCAGTAACTTTGCAACAACAGCATTAGCGCGGTCACTATGAAGGAAGCAGGTTAGGAAAATGGAAAGGATCTCCCGCACACAAATCGTATTTAAGTCACCTGAAACGTTGCAATAATATTTCCAAAAAGTAATTGCTTTCCGTCAGCTTTACTCGGTGTAATTGTGTTGATAGTAAGACGAGTAGCGTATTAAGCACCTCGACATAGAATTCGTATTTGGAATAATTGCTACTATTCAATCAAACATTCAATCAGATAAACCGGTCAACTCGTAGAGCCCCATTCTTTTTTCCTATTCATCCGATTACTTACTTGGGATCCATGTTAATCAAAAGTGATAATAACGCATCCAAGAGTTGTTCCGCACGTGGTCTGCTGTCAGCCTTCACTTGATCACTGATAGTCAGCTTTTCCAAATCGAGCGCAACCGAAGAAGGATCATTTGTCGCAGCGCCGGCGTATTGATTATTATCTACAGAGAAGGTTGCATAATAATGTGAGTTACCGCGTCGTGACAAAGCAAAGGTTACTAGTGCAAGCGAAAGGCACGAGGGGCATCAAAAGAACGAACCTTCGAATTGCTGGACGATTTCTTGGTTGGTCAGATTGCCCGCAAAGTGTTTGGAAAATACACGTGTCAAAAACAAGGCATTGTACGCCTCTGTCGGGATCGACCTAAATTGTGGTGGTGAATTGACAGGTGAACACGCATATACTTTCACTCTCTTTGTAAATTTTTACTCTTTGGTTTCCCTTGGCAACTTCCTCAAGCCTTCTCTTTTACTGTCTCGCAATCCTCTCCGTAATGGTGATGGTATCTTACTCTGGCTTGGTCTCTTTAATATGTTGAATTTGACTGAGCAAATGAAGCACGAGCTTGTTAAAATTTCGTGTTCGAACGTTATTGGCAGCTAATACATAGTAATATCCTTTTAATCAAGGGATTTCTTCTTTTTTGCAGTTTGGTAAAGCGAGTCATGTCATACCTAATTCAATAGATAAGCTAACAGTAGCCATTTCCAGATCGTATGTGTCGTTCCTGGAATGATATAGATATGCATAGCTTAGTTTCACACTGCCCCAAAATATCATTCTGTATCTGTTGAAAGATATAAAAGGCACGGGAACAGCGCCGGCAGAAGATAATGGGAAGAGCAGGCTTACGGTGAAAGTGTTGGCAGAAACTTGGTGGTTCTTAAGAGTGTTGTCCAAAATGAAGGATCGTTTGGATTGAGAGGTACAGGCGATGCTAAGGTTTTGAGTGCCACTGTTTGAGCTGGGTTGAATAATGTTTCGGAAGGTCGTCTCAGGAACGATGAGGTAGTTGAAGCAATCGTTTGCTTGATGGAGTTGGCGGTAGTTGTAGCGATCGGTTGTTGGTGTTGGTGTTGTAAATGCTGCTGTTGCTGTTGCTGCTGCTGGTTGTTGTTGTGGTAGTGGTGGTGAAGAGGCGGAGAAAGCTGAGAGAAGGTGGTTGTATCAGGCAGGTCACTTGAAAGAGTCCGAGTAAGTGGCGACGTGGGTGATCGGGCTAAAGGTGAATTGGGAGACACTGGCGAATTTGAAAATGTGGATGGACGTCTTGATGGTTTTGTTGACGCGAGAGTTTTGTTCGGCGCACTCAAGGTGGTCGGCAAGGGGGGAGGAGGGGGACTGTTGGACTGCGATGAGCTCATCTATTAGTAAGGTTTGTACCGGGACGTGAAAGGGGTGGGTGTTTTCTGGGCTTTTATGGTTTGACTGGTATGTTGCTGGTTTATGGGTCGGGGAAGGTGGGGGAGAAGGAGCAATTATAAGAGTGGGGTATATAGTAATGCTAGTATTACAGATACTGAGTTGACAAAGAGAGAGAGAGAGAGAGAGAGAGAGAGAGAGAGAGAGAGCGTGTGTGTGAGTGTGAGTGTGATTGTGTGTGCGCAAAACACCACACACACAAAACAATAGGGCACGCGTGAGCTGAGATTTTGCCTATTTAGTTTCGAGCAACAGCTCTGCTTTCTTTTCTCTTTGCTTCTTGCCCTCTCTTTTTTTATTCTTCTTGTTACTATACTTCTTTTATTTAAGGACAAATCAACTTCATGTCGGGCAATAATATCAAGGTTGTCTGCCGTTTCCGTCCGCAAAATTCCCTGGAAATTAGGGAAGGCGGCACTCCCATTATAGAAATTGACAATGAAGGTTCTCACCTCGGTCTTAAGGTGCGTAGTAGTCCGTAACAGACAATAATGGACGGCTTCCTCGCATTAGCCCACCTACTACTGCTTTTGTTACTACTACTACTACTACTAATATAGGTAAACACTACGTGTAGGGTAAAGACGTTCAAGGAAACTTTACCTTTGATAAGGTGTTTGGCATGAACACCCCACAAAAGGACGTTTTTGACTATTCCATCAAGACCATCGTTGACGGTCAGTGCTATAATTCGACAATCCGTGTATACCAGAAACCATACACACATAAAACACTCATTGACATGTATTATCATGTGTAGACGTCACGGCTGGTTATAACGGAACCGTGTTCGCTTACGGTCAAACTGGTTCCGGAAAGACTTTCACTATGATGGTAACGTGTAAAATCGATTTCTTGGATGTGTCGATCGCCATAGTAGGGTGGCAACCCTCGGTTCTTTTACTGTTGTTGCATGTGTGCTCTGTGCTTTTCAAATCTCTCTCCCCTCCCCCAACAAAGAAACAAGACACATTCTCTCTCGTTCATCCATTTTCCTCCTTCGCCCCTCCGCCCCTTGATCATGCTATTTCTTTTACACGGTCTGCCACCCCCTTAGATTTGTGACGGTAATGGTAACGAAACAAACAACTTATACACACACACGCTTGGATTTATGTAGGGAGCCGACATTGACGATGAGAAAACAAAGGGTATCATTCCACGCATTGTGGAACAGATCTTTTCAAGTATCATGGATGCCCCAAGCAACCTTGAATTTACTGTCAAGGTTTCTTATATGGAAATTTATATGGAAAAGGTTCGCGACCTTTTAAATCGTAAGTTAATCCTGGTGAACCATTCAACTAAATTGACGAATGCGTGATTGGGACGTGCTTGTGTGGCGATAAAGGATCAAATCGAAGAGAGAGAGAGAGAGAGAGAGAGAGAGAGAGAGAGACATAGTTACGGCGAATTTTAATTTTATTCTATTTGGATCTGCATAAAATGTGTAGCTTCGGCGGAAAACTTGCCGATCCACGAAGATAAGACCAAAGGCGTCTATGTCAAGGGCCTTTTAGAAGTGTATGTTGGCTCTACGGACGAAGTTTATGAAGTTATGCGACGAGGCAGCAACAACCGTGTTGTCGCATACACAAGTAAGTTGATTTTGTTTAGAGGAGGTGATACACACAGTGTGGCGTCTCTTTTACTGACCTGAATGTAATATGTGTTGTGGGTGGGATTATCAGATATGAATGCAGAGAGTTCGCGTAGTCACTCGATTGTCGTTGTCACCATTACGCAAAAGAACGTTGACACCGGTGCTGCCAAGAGTGGCAAACTGTACCTTGTCGATTTGGCCGGTTCGGAAAAGGTAGAAGAAAAAACCAGTTGATGGTGGTGCAAAGCTTGCAAATTCCTCTGACTCCTATCTTTTCTGTAACAGGTCGGAAAAACTGGTGCTTCGGGTCAAACTTTAGAAGAAGCGAAAAAGATCAACAAGTCCTTGACGGCACTTGGTATGGTCATCAATGCTCTTACCGATGGCAAGGTAAAAGAATAACTAACCAGGGATTTCCCTCTTTTCATGCAATGCATGCACACTTTGCTTGGGTAATAACCATCATCATGTGTTTTTCTTTTCTATTCTCTACCAATCACAGTCCAGCCATATCCCTTACAGGTAAGGGTGCGAGGGGTGCGTGTGTGGGGGGGGTATGTTTCTGAGGGCTAGATCACGCGAGCAAAGGTTGTGTGGTCTGCAGCAGCTTTTGTCTCGGTTAGCTAACAGTACGAATCTTCCCTAGAGACTCAAAATTGACCAGAATCCTACAAGAATCCCTCGGTGGTAACTCGCGCACAACTTTGATTATTAACTGTTCACCATCCTCTTACAATGAAGCCGAAACTTTATCAACACTTCGTTTCGGTGTACGAGCCAAATCTATCAAGAACAAGGCCAAGGTCAATGCTGATCTGTCGCCGGCCGAGCTTAAAGCCCTGCTCAAGAAGGTCAAATCCGAGGCCGTCAGCTTCCAGACCTACATTGCAGCTTTGGAGGGCGAAGTCAACGTGTGGCGTACCGGAGGCACCGTCCCTGAAGACAAGTGGGTCACCATGGATAAGGTTTCCAAGGGCGATTTTGCTGCATTGCCACCGGCTCCAGGCTTCAAGAGCCCTGTCTCAGATGAAGGCTCTCGTCCTGCTACTCCCGTGCCTGTATTGGAAAAGGACGAGCGTGACGAATTCATCAAGCGGGAAAATGAGTTGATGGATCAAATTGCGGATAAGGTTACTGTTGTTCTCTCTTGACTATGGGTGTCTGTCTGCTTTTTACTAAATCATGCTATTCTACAGGAAACTGAGCTCACCAACCGTGAAAAACTGCTCGAGTCGCTCAAGGAAGAAATGTCGTATTTTAAGGAGCAAGAGCAATCGGTCACCAAAGAGAACCAGCAAATGACGACGGAACTGAGCGAACTTCGACTTCAATTACAAAAGATCTCTTATGAAAGCAAGGAGAATGCTATCCATGTTGATTCTTTGAAGGAAGCGAATCAAGACTTGCTTGCTGAACTTGAGGAACTCAAGAAGAGTCTCGTCGAAGTCAGACAGGCTCACAAGGATGCCACTGATGGCGAAAAGGAAAAGAAGAAGGCCGAAAAGATGGCCCAAATGATGTCTGGCTTTGATCCGTCGGTAAGCATAATCGGTTGGATTCCTACATTAAAGAGGGAGAAACTAAGCACTGGTGAAATCTAGGGCATCCTCAACGAAAAGGAGAAGCAAATCCGCAATGCACTTAGCAAGCTGGACGGTGAAAAGCAGGATTCTTTAAGCATTGAGGAATTAGTATCTCTTCGCCGCGAGCTTGCCGAGGCCAAGGTGCTCGTTGAACAGCACACCAAGACTATTAGTGACTTGGCATCTGACAAGGATCTTCTTGAAAAGAAGAAGGCCGAATTGGAAGGTCGCTTCACCAATCTTGAGAAGGAGTACGAGGACCTTTTGGATAAGACCATTGCCGATGAAGAGTCTCGTACTCAAAAGAGCAGTAACATTGCTGATACCGTCTCTGCGCTAAAGGTAAGTACCCAAAAAAGAAGTTGCTTCAAGGAGAATATGTGAATTGTTTTCTATACAGCCGCACACACGCAACAGATCATCTCACTCATACTCTCTTCCCCGTATAATAAACAGATTAAGCTCGAGAACGAGTATGTTACCAAAAAAGAGTACCAGCAAAAGGAAATTGACGAACTCAAGCGTGAAATGGACCGCAAGGTGGAAACTCACAAGAAGCTCAGTTCTGCTGTTGCTGATCTTAAGGCTGCAAATGAACAGCTCCAGGTAAATTTGAATGATACATAGAATCTTTGTTGCACACAAGCTAAATATTGGAGCTTTTTTTTTCATCTTTCATGCTTTTTTTCTTGCATGTAGGCTGTTTTGTCCGAGCAACCTCACCAGTCTTCGTCATCAGAAGGGGAAATGAGCGAAAAGGAAAAGGACATTGAGCGTATGCGCAAGTCCATGGCTCAACAGCTTGCTGACTTTGAGGTGATGAAGAAGGCTTTGATGCGCGATCTCCAAGGCCGTTGCGAAAAGGTCGTCGAGCTTGAGATGTCATTGGATGAAACACGCGAACAGTACAACACTGTCTTGCGTGCTAGCAATAACAAGGCTCAGCAGAAGAAGATGGCATTCTTGGAGCGCAACCTTGAGCAACTGACCAACGTGCAGAAGCAGGTGAGTTTTTCTCTACATCAGTACACTGATGCAAAACCTCGCTCTGCGGTTGCCTATGTTAACACATGCTAATGTTGTTATTATTTCTCAGCTTGTTGAGCAGAACGGTACATTGAAGAAGGAGGTTGCTCTCGCTGAGCGCAAGTTGATTGCTCGTAACGAACGTATCCAGAGCTTGGAGACCTTGTTGCAAGACGCTCAAGAAAAACTTATTTCTCAGAATCAAAAGTACGTTGTATATCCAATATGTCGGAAATCACATCACTAGCAGTAGTAGTCTCGTACTTATGCGAAATGCGCACTATAGGTTTGAAGGCCAATTGCAAGCCGTCCGCGAACGCTTGGAGCAGGCCCGTTCTCAAAAGTCGCAAAACTCCATGGCCGCATTGAGCTTCGGTCGCATCGCTAAGCCTTTGCGTGGTGGCGGAACTGCCGCTGCTGCTGTTGAATCCGGCAATGATGTCCCTGCTTCTCCAACTTCAACTGATAAGCGTGACAAGCGAACATCGTTCTTTTCCGGCTTCATGAATTCTTCTCGATAAATATCGTCGCGGTCTTCGTTCTACTTATATACATTTCTTTTGTTGTGATATACTTTTACTCTCTACTATCAAACCTTACAATTACCCATCTTATATATCAAGCAAGCTACTTCCCCCAGTTCCTCAACCCTTTTCTTTCAATGAGAGGACAGGCTTCTTTTGGGAGGGGTCTTTGTTTGTATGTGTAAAGTTTTACTTATTATCTATATCTCCCTTGTGAACATATCTCTCTTTCTTTTTCACTCTCTCTTTTCTAGTATCTTCTCTACATACTATATCATCCCTTGTCACATTCTCACCCTCTATATATATCATCCCGTTATCTCTTTGTTGTGACAAAGATATCGGTTGACGACGAATCTATACTACCCCCCCTGTTTACATATATCTATATATGCCACTCGTTTATGCCCTCTCCGTCACTCACTCTTCTTACTAACAGACTCCTTTTCCCCCCTATCCTATTAAGTAATTCTTTACATACAGAAAAATCTAAGTAAATATATAATTTTTGTTATATCTCGTCCAAACCACAAATTCATGACATTTCATTTAAGTTTACTTATGGTACTCAAATTGTAAGTGGAACAACATCCAGTATCTACAGTACGAACGTATCAACGTCTAATCTTTGGGATGCTTTGTAACAACATTCAGTGACAGAGGGGCCATTGAAGAAGGTCATTTTGACTAATGGATAAACGTCTTTTCTTCCTGTTGTATAGATCGCAAGTATTTGTGTCCCTATATACCGCTTGCATACAATGTTTCCATTGCGTATTGATTTTTCATATAATGATGCAGTTGTTAACCGTCTATAAACCATATCGCGTACGTGTATCCTCTGCTCCACTTTTGGTCTTGAAACTAGTTTTTTTCTTTTTATTTTTTTTCCGTCTACTAGGCCCATGAATACTATGAAATCGCCTGCAGTTCGTGATCAATGTACAGAATCAACTGGCATTATTCACCATGGTTAAGTACAGTAGTTGTTGTCGCTGGTTATTACGTACATACAAACATGCAAAATAAGGTTATAATATGATTGGGAAAATGGCGATGTACAACAACACCATAGTTCACGATCGCCTGGATCGCGTGGTATTGTAGGATGGGTTCGTTATGGGAAACATAGCTTGGAGGTTGATAAGAGATCGAAACACATACTACTCTAAATTTGTTTTTACGAAACCACAACACCTACACATTCTGTAATACATGGTAGTAACAAATGATGAGGAGCGCTGGCCGGGTCCAAATGCTCGTCAAAAGAATAGAATATGTATCACAAATGTAATTTAGTTACACATCCGTTCTCTTGGAATGTCGGGCGAACCAGCCTCGAGCACAGAGTAATCAGAACCTCGTAGTATACAGGTATGGCAAGGCATGATTCCCTCAGGACAGACTCACCAAGAGGTTTAGCTGAATCAACAGTACTACCTGGGCCTTTCGAGTATCGTCCCTAGCCGATCGCCGAGTAGCGCTAGCAAACAGACTTGCCGCACTGGTAGCAATAGCCAACGACGTATTTAAAACATTTGCTGACATCCACGTAATTTTCAGTGCATGCGCGATATACTTTTACAACTTTATAACCCGATGTTCTGACTACGCTATAACTCGATGACTTGGCCACATCTGGGCGCCACGGAGATAATCAAGTCATCTCGTGGTCGCTGTATCACTCTCATTATATCCTCTCAATCCAGCTCTTATAGAATCACACATCATTGTTTATACAACAAAGTTCTGCTTTTTATATTATTTTTGAATTATTAAGTCTATGAGAAGAGGTTTATGTTCCCAAAATGTGCTGTATGTGTCTTCTTTTACGTATGTGATTGAGAAGACTTATATACTCTGTTGATGAAAAAACTCATCGCAAAAGTGTCAAAGCACTGGAGCTACTAGTGTTACATGAAACATCCCATATACATTGAACAAAGGCAATTATTGAAGATGAATCGAACACTTTTATCTATACGACAAGTACAATTATTGACTACCGAGGTTGACAATAGTACTGTATAAATAGTTTTACCACAACAGGCTGATGTGAGGCTTTGGCAATATCTTTTATCTCTAATCAATGTCGATGGCAACGATAGCCGGAGATTTCTCTATAATGAAAAAAAATCAATACGCATATGAAACTCGAGCTTAAACCAAATTCTATTAACCGGGGAAGACACCGATAAGAGATACTGCACTGCTTCCAATGCTTACGACAGCTGGTGACGAGCGGGATATGACGCTTCAATTCTAGATATTATTAATCAGTTTGCAACAAATCTTGGTTTACATGGTATATCATTCATCCTTTCCATCGTGTCGGATTGTCTCAAACAACAATAATAATGGAGAACCTGCAAGTGATGCAATGTCTTGATAGTTTCGATAAGTGTAAATTTACTTAATAATAATTAGACGAAAAGCAGTGAAGATGTTGAACAACGGATGTTATAGTATAAGTAGATAATATGAAAGATAGATGCTGCTGGGATACGTATTACTATAGAATAAGAAAGCCCACTGGGTGTTTAATGGGTGAGAGGTGCTAATCAACAAGCTTGAAATATGTAATGTGACTCATACATTTATGTGTGTATTGCACATCATATGTCTGCTACTGCTCAGCTTAAAACATGTAGATCAAGAGGTTCTCTCTGAACTTTTTTGAGACAATTTGTTGCTGTGTAGCCTGCTTTGCTACTGGCTCCGGGGAGCGGGTGCGTATAATTCCTTGAAAGAAGCGGCGTCTTTGACTAGCTCCTCTTTTAAGGCATCGTCGAGGGAGGTGTCTTTCTGTTGTGTTCTTCCGTCAGTTGTTTCTTTTGTAACTATCTGCAGCTTCGATCTGGACAAAAATTTGGGATGAGCATTCGCTGGCCTGGCAGCGCTTGAATGCTAAATGAAAGATAAGCAGCTATATAAAGATTAAGCGCATGGTGCTGTAGTAAGTGATTTTGAGTGATTATATAGTAGGAATTATAGGGATATTAGGCGTGTTAGCTATGTATGTCTGATAGTGCTCAATCGTGCTGGATAGTGAAGTGTACCTATATTTTTTGTTGTTTCTAAAAGGATATAAATATAATAGCGCTCATCATATATTGTGAGGCACATACTCCTTTGATACGTTTTTGTAAGGGATTGGGCCCCTTTTCACACATGTAAATCGTCTGCTCGAACATACACTTCGCGTCCAAGAAAAGAAAATAGGATATGATAAACATATGCATACTCCAGTTTATCCGGAGAGTGTGAGAGGGTAAAAGAGAATGCATTGCATACTTACTGTGGTTATCATCAGTTTTATGTTCATAAAGAAGGCTGTAGATATGTTCGAAATGATCACGTAAATGGTGTGTATATTTGTTGAAGCAGAGAATTCATCACATTCAAACATGTTTTATCAACAGTTTGTCCAATTGGAGAATGAGGTTCTCTATGCTATAGACAAAACAGAGAACGTTCTCAGTGTTTATTACTGTATTACAGTCTATTAAAACAGGTTTCTATTCTCTTAAACCTTGACGCTCACGTATATGTAAGTCATATCTCCAGGGATAGCTGTCGTTTTCTGCTTTGTTACATAATCCTCATTAGGTTTAGGGTATATAGACCACGATGATCCGATCCTTCTTCCTCAGCTTGATCAAGGAAGCAATAACGTACATAGTGACCTAATTCAATAACGAGTTCGTTTCGTCGCGCTTTGCACTTATTAATTACCTGAATTCAATGTTACTGCTTATCGTGTCTGTCTTCTGGAACGTCCTGATAACCAGCGAAAACAAGGTTGGTTTGGCATGTATATGGCGGGATATGACCCTACTTCACGGAGAAAATAACCAGGTGGATTCCGAATCTCTATGCACTAATTTTTCGTGTGCATTATTTTGCGGCGACAGCTCGATATTGAGAACATAATAGTGCAGACAGCGAGCATAGAACATGCGATTCTATTGAAAATTTTATTTTTACTTCTTTTTGAACCCACCTAGTCCTTAGGACTGACCTTTTTTTACACTAGAGCAATAGACTTGGAAGTAGCGGCCCCAAAAAGCCGAGATCATGATATAACACTATTTCGCTGCAGCAAACTTGATAAAGAGTTAGCCACGGCCCATATAAGTTAGAAACAGTAGGTATGCATTAGCACCTTCCCTAAAGAGGAGTATGACTTGCTATATGTCAATCGTGATTCAGCTAAATTATGTTCCAGCTCTCTTTTATTACCAGGACGCATACCAAGCTATGTAGTGGTACTTGCGATTATGAGACCCCACCTGCATATTTACCCTGGCCTGTTGGCTAAGTCCAGTGTATCCCGCGTTTTGCAATAACATCAAAAATCCAGACATGTAATTTCCCCCTGCCTTTGGACGTTGATAGTTAGGGATGTTTGCTCTTGTTAGTATAAAGATATAAGTTACAATGCCCTCCTCAACAGTTTTTTTATAGAAATTGAAATAAATATCTAAACATCCAACAAATTTAGAGTTGACTTTGATTGTACTTTAGACTTCCTGAAGTAAAGGTAAAATATTTAAAGGACTCACAATCTTTTAGTGTGTAATAAAAGCTTGAAACGTCCCCAAAAAGCATTTCGGCAAAGGTTGTTAGCGACCTCACTGCAATATCTGCTACTTCACAACCGCTACTGCAAAAGAAAAGGCGGGCTCCGCTTTTATTACTTGTTCTGCTGTATATATGGCCTTTAAAAGTAAAAACTATCTTGTGTGAGCGATGAAAAAATACATTCTAAAATGTAATGATTCCCTACTATCCGTCAGCAAGAGATTGCTAGTCAAAAGATGTATGCATATGCAGTGTTGATAAGGTTTGATCGGTATTACTAGGTGTTAACATATATATCGAGTTACAGTAAGATGATCCATAAAACGGTTTGCACATGAAAACAACTACCGTAGAATGGTATGCTTTCTTTGCTATTGTTATGTACTAATTTAGAGACAAACTCGCTGCTACAGACTACACACAAGCAAGTTCACCTGCTTATATAAGCATATGTACAGTAGCTTGCCATCCTACATGGTACAACCAAATGTTGAGAAAAATAG